ATAAGACAGAGAAGTGGGGAAGTGTGAGATGTAAAAATGAGAGCTAAATATGGTTAAAAAGGAGGAAGTATCGACCGTATAAAAAAGCCACAAATGTTTGAGGAAATGGGCAGGGCAGCACAAACAACACTCTCACAAGACATTGTACAAAGTGGATGAAGAAGTTGTAAAGTGTATTGGTTAGTTTTATGGTGAGAAAGTCATTAAACAAACAGATGCCTTTCAAGGTGAGAAAGGGAATTGGATAGGTTTTTGAAAAGGAAAAATTTGCAGGGCCATGGGGTAAGAGCAGAGGAGTGGGACTAGTTGGATAGATCTTTCAAAGAGTGAGTCCAAGCCAGCACAGGCTCGAAGGGCCGAATGGCCTCCTTCTGTGCTGTAAGATTCTATGATTCTAAAGAACTTTCAGAGCATCTTTTCACTTTGAGACATCTCAAAACTCTCAACAGTAATCACTGTAGTGATCGTTTTTTTTTGCAGCCAAATACAAAATACCTATTTTCTACACAGCATTAGGTGAATGACTGATTGTATCTGGAGCGTTTGTGGCCGGGACACTGAGAGAAACTCCCTGCTCTTTTAGAATCGTGTTATGGGATCTCTAAAGTCCACCTGAAGGACAGGTCATCGGGACATTGGTTTAACATCTCACCTGAAGGATGACACCTCTGATGGTACTCTCCAACCTTAGACTATGAGCTCAGGTCCCCCTATAAGGGCTTCAGTCAATATTCTACTGGTAAGAAAGGGAATACAGGGGGTGGGGTTTGAGGTACATGTTTTATAATAGACTCTAGCACCTATTATCCATCCGGTCACTGGAAAGACTCCTCAGGTTGTAGAGAAATAGGAATTGCAACGAGATTGATGTTAAGAAACTCTAGTCCTGAATATTTGTGATAAAAACAGGTTTGATGCAATGCATGCAAGAATACCGCAGGTAATGAGGGCACAGAGAGAGAGAGAGAGAGAGAGGGGGGGGGGGGGGGAGACAGGGAAATGGGATTGAAATGTTCTCAGCTCATTTAAATGCAAGGAGACCAGATAATTTGCTATTTTCCCAGGATCCTGGGAAGCGAAGTGGGCGAGCCAGACATCTGCAGCAAACAGACGCTGGAACCAAAACCTGGTCAAGTGGATTTTGAAGAAAGACAGAGGCGGTTATTGAGAGAGACAGTTATTGCAGCAAATTCATATCTGTCAAAGGCAGCCCACACACTATATCATAGTATCATAGAATTATACAGCATAGAAGGAGGCCATTTGGCCCATCGTGTCTGTGCTAGAGCTATCCAAATCAATCGCACTCCCCCGCGCTCTCCCCATAGCCCTGCAAATTTATCCTACCCAAATAATTATCTATATATTTCCTAAGATTCTGAGAGCAATGAAATGATAGATACAGTAAATATAGTGGACATCAAACACTGTATCTTGTTGTTTGGATTACAATGCCTCACAACCACTCTGGCCTTTCTGGTGTGAAAGCTCACTGGATCTTGTAAAATGGGTGAATAAATAAGACCAAAGGAAAACAGCTGTAACGGTCAAGTTATTAGCAATGCATCATCCAATGCTCCTCATCTACAAATGATGTGGACGAAGGTGTTAAAAGTAGAAGTTGTTAGTCTGGCACAATGAGCCACACTCGAGACTCTGGGTCAAAATATTGTGGGTTCACAACTCTGCCTAAGGAATTGAGCTCATGTCATGGCCTAAGATAATACCCCAAAAGCTATTGGAGGTTCTGTCCTTCAGACGAGACATTGAACAAAGGGTCCTCTCCTCAGGGTTCACGCGAATGTTAAAGATCCCACTTGAAAGAAAGCGCTATTTGGAAGAAGAGAAGGTTATTTCAAAACAAATTTCAAATTCTATGTAGGGAGTAGTCAACCAGGGTTCCTGAGCGCTAGCCAGACACTGTGAGGGCCGGGTGGGGGGGGGAGGCAGGAAATTGCAGCGACAGCTCTCGGTGACTGATGTGCGCAATTGGCTGCTGGGTTTCGTCCACGAAATAGAGTCAATTCACTTTGGAACGTCTCGAAGATGTGATAAGGGGCCATATCAAGTGCAAGGATTATTAGCTCTCAGCTGCTAAAGCCTTTGTAGTGGTTTGTAGTGTATGTATCCCGAGCGCAGTACGGCAACGATTTCTGTGGTTTTGGGTGTGTTACAAACCTCCAGCAAAAGAGCTGTAAAGGGGCCCAATCTATCAACTTGTGTACATTTCAAATTTGCTAATATTCTTGAACTAACGTCCTCAGGCCTGTATATTTAGGGCCCCTGTTGGGATGGTAGGGGAGAGAAGAGGAGGAAGGGGCGGCAATTAGTAACAATTTTTATCATCTTACATTATCTCAACATTAAATTCCGTTGATTTATCTATGAATGCATTTTATGTAGATGACCTGAATATCACAATTGTTTCCATCATCTGATACCATCAATAGGTTTACGTTTTCAGTTTGCATTTATTTAATCAAAACATCCTCGCACACTTCCTTCTGTGAGTTACTTTGAAGCGAAGTGACTGTTTATTATGAGGGCAGGCGGAGCAGCTAACCTACTCCTACAACATTCTGCAAACAGGAATGACACAAACAGGAATATTAGACAGAAAGCCTAGAGAAATGATAATAATCCTTGTATTTGATATAGCACCTTATCATATCGTTGAAATGTCTCAAAGCGCTTCACAGAGAATAAAACGTACAGTGCTTTGACTGTATATTTTGTGGGCGAAACACAGCAGTCAATTGCGCACAGCAGTATCCCACAGACAGTCTTGGACCAAACTATTATTTTTTTAAGGGATTGATACCCCCGGAAAAACAATCCCCCAATCGACTAACAACCAGATTCCTACTTATTGCTAGGTAAACAGAGTATGGAGTAAAGAAACTTGCCTAAGGTTTCACCCTGCCCAGGCATTGAACCTGGGTCTACTTGCTTGTGAGGCAAGTGCTCTACACTACAAGACTCTAGCCCATGGGTGTTGAGGAAAATTGCTGCCCCAGTTGAAATCAGCGACCACAACACAGAGCTCCGAGCACGTCTGAGCTGAATGTGCCACACCACATATATGAAAGCAACAGGGAAGCTCATTATACACTTTAATATAATACTGGGGAATTTCACACAGATACTTTGGGACTTTATTTGCCAAGAGTGAGTGGTGTGCTCTGTGCCAACAGCACAGACGCTCCACACAATTAACATGCACTGGCAGTGGGCACGGATGGAACAAGCGAATATGGTGTAATCAGCGCAGCTTCAGTCAAGTGATCACCAGAAAATAGGAGCTGTGAGTGCTGTATTCTGCAATGACTGTAAGCAAGGCCCTGTCTGCACTGGGTAATAAACAACTACAACTTGCATTTATATAGCGCCCATCATGCGGGGCAACATCTCGGAGAGTGGAACAGTGGCGGAGCGTGACACCGGGCCGAGGGGGTGGGGAGAGGAGGTGACAGTGAGCGCGGTCGAAGAGGAAGGTCTTCAGTCGTGATCTAAAAGAGGGGAAGGAGGGAGCAAGGCCAATAATCCTTGCATTTGATAAAATGCCTTTCGCATTGGGTACAATATCCCACAAACAACCACCACACTGTGAGTGACCAGGTGTATTGTTGGCCAGGACACCAGGAGAGAGAAACTCCCATCTCTTTTCGAATAGTGTCATGGGGTCATTACTGCCCACCTGAACGAGCTGGTGAGACCTCGGCTTAAAGCGTCATCCAAAGGACAGCTCCTCTGACAATGCAATGCACCCAACCCTCCAGCAATATATTTGACTGTCAGCTTAGGCTGTGAGTTGAAAGTCCCGACGTGGAGCTTGAACCCAAGACCTTCTGACTCGGGAGTTGAGATTGTTATCAATTGAGCCAGGCAGACTGTCGCCCACACCCGCCCACCTCAAGCACCGCAGGCACAACAGGCACAACAAAGCTCAGTCACGGATCTATTTCACCTAACATTTCCATCGACATCCCAGGTGCAAAACACCTACAGGGGCAGTATTTTATAGACAAATCTCTAAACAGTACACCCAGCCTATTTCCCCCATCCTCCCTTCCCACCAACCCCCCACACCCGCCATTGGCACACTTTTTCCAAAGCCTATTCACAGATGTCCCTCCACCGATTGACGGCGCAAAAGAGGTCATTTGCACAATCCCTTTCTGTGGCAATCCAAAAATATTTCCGACATGTCACTCTAAATAAGCTGTCTGTTTGCAGGTCCAATTACTCCCGTACGACACACACGTGCAGACACACACACACACACAACTTCAAATGAATAGGCTGTAACACTATACGCATCTATCTGTGCATGTCAAACAAACGGCAATTTCTGCAGATCTCTCTAACCACCGGGCTTCCTGATGTTGAATTCGCGAAGGGGTGTACGGTGCAGACGCTGATGAATTCCGCTTAATAAAGCGGGGCAGCGCGGTTACAAACCGGGGCGATTTACACACTGTAACGGGGTAGCGCCCACGAACCGTCCGGTTCGCGCGCGCACACACACACACACCCCCCCCACACCTTACTGCAGGTATCAACAGGGGAGAGAGAGAGAGAGAGAGCAGCCGTTTGCACCTGCAAACTTGCAGCGAGAGAGAGAGAGAGAGCGAGAGCGAGAGAGCGAGAGAGAGAGACGCCCAACCGCCACCACCGCAACCAATCACATTGGCAAAGAGCGCCGTTGGCATCGACGGGACATCCCAAGGCGGTGGGTCAGTCCGAGATGTGGGCAGCCTGCCCGCGGCGGGGCGGCCGGTGTCAGGAGGCTGATGCAGGCTGCACACTAGTTGCAGCTCCAATGCAATGCCCACTGATAACCCTGTGTGAGGGTGTGTGTGAGGGTGTGTGTGAGGGTGTGTGTGTGTGTGTGGGGGGGGTGATGCCCATTGATTATCCTCTCCCCTGTATGTGCATTGCCATGCCATGCCATGCCATGCCATGCCCACCCATGCACCCCCCCAGCCCCAGACACCTACCCAGAAGCTGACCCCGAAATGTTGCATCTCGAGTCGCTGCAGCTGCAACTGGACCCCAACTCCGAGCCGCTGCTGCCCAGGTCCCGCCTCCCCCCCGCGCTCCCATTGGCCACTCCCCGCCCCAGGGCGGGCGGACCGGCAACCGGCTCCTCCCATTGGCCGCTCCGCCCGCCAGTCAAGTGGGCGGGACCCCCTCCAGGCCTTGCCGCCCGCTGATTGGTCCCCCCTGGCCTGTCGCTCGGGCGCACTGCGGATCGCCCATTGGGGAACGGCTCCCGGTCCTCGCGTTTCATTGGGCAGCGCAGGTGCCAATCTGGAGTGTCCCGCCTCCTCGTTTGGTTATTTAAAGGCACAGCCACTCTTCTGGGCTGAGCGTTACTCAACTGGGTTTGTATTCTTGAATTAAAAGCGCTTCGGGACGTCCTCCCGACGTGAAAAGCGCTATATCAAATGCAAGGATTACTATTATTATGACTTTACTCTCTCTAAATTATTGCCACTGGCATTTCGCCCACGAAACACACAGTCATAAGCGCTTGACATAATTATTTGTGGAGGACAGGTTTGCAGGGCTACGGGGAGAGCGCGGGGGAGTGGGACTGATTTGGAAGCTCTTTTCAAAGAGCCGGCACAGCCACGATGAGCCGAATGGCCTCCTTCTGTGCTTTATAATTCTATGATACAGTATATTCTCTGAAGAGCATCGAGATGTCTCTCAATGATGTGATAAAGCGCAATATCAAATGCAAGGATTATTGTTATTATTGTTGTTGATAGTTGGTGCGGAGGTGTTTGTATCCTTTAACCACACACACTATGCCAGTTAGGGCCTCCGGTATCAATTGGCTCGATTGTTAGTCGATTAGTGGATCACTTTTCTGGGGGGAATAATTCCCTCCAAAAAAATAAATAGTAATAAATTGATCACTCAATCCACGGCTCTGTGTGGGACACTGCTGTGTGCAATTGGCCCACTTTTCACCCACCAAAAAAATATACAATGTCCTTTACAGTATATTCTATGAAGACCTCTGAGACGTCTTCAAGACATAAGGCACTATATCAAGTGCAAGGATTATTATTATAACCCTGCAAGCCAAAACCTCAATGACTAGGCTTTGATAGCTACTGTGAAACTTAACAGTTAACAAAGATTTAACACCTCCAGTTTACACCTCCTGTTTCCTGTGGTGCCAACACAAGCTGGGATGCAGCTCCTTGGATGCTCTCCACTGTTCTTCTTCAAATCATCATTCCTCTTGTGTCAGCCTGGAGAGGGAGAGACACCCAACTCTTGAGCGGCCACCTCAGCCAAGTCCAGTCCATAGGAACAGGAGGAGGTCATTCAGCCCCTCAAGCTTGTCCACCATTCTATCAGATCATGGCTGATCTGTATCTCAACTCCAATTCCTGTCATCTCTCACACACACTTGATCAGCAGACAGCTATCAGAAGTGATTTAATTTCCCATTCCTAGCCAAGAGCAATAAGGCCACATCTGCCATGGCTGAAAACAAATAACTTAAAAGAAACTGTGGTCCTTGTGAGGATGCCTTCGGGCAATGCACCTTATTTGGCTTCTCACCGCGATGATATTTCTTTGGGGGTTTTCTATCAGGGCAAGGGGAGTGGGAGAAGCGACGCATGTATCGAGCCTCTGAGAAACAAGACCGCTGATCGTGGAGAGGTCTCTCTCTGGGGAAAAAAGTACCTTCACATCTGGCTCTGCGTATCACGCTGCAGAAGGTGCCCGGCAGGGGGCGTTATTGCACCACAAATACCTTTCATTCTCAATGTAAATTAAAAATGTAAAAACAAAGCAGTTCTATAATTACATAAAAATACCAATCCCTGGAATTGATTCTGGTTATTAATTCATTGGTCAGATGCTCGGGTGTTAGCCTTGGGACATCCTCCCAACCTGAAAAGTGCTGTGTCCACATCGTTCAGACGTCTCAAAGCGCTTCAGTAAATTATTATTATTACACTGTAATAATAATAATCCTTGCATTTGATATAGCGCTTTTCACGTCTTCTAAATGTCTCAAAGCGCTTCACAGTATATGCTGTATATTTTGTGGGCGAAACTTGGAAGCCAATTGCGCACAGCAGCGTCCCCCAAACAGTTGTGGATTGAGTGACCAAATTATTAATTTGTAATACTATGAATATTAATTGATACCAAATAGATTGTGCATCTGCCAGAGCGAATCTCACTGCTCCTCCGCTCCCAAGCAGCCAGGCTGCCTATTCTGGATGGGTCGGATTGATAGCTGTGAATGAAAATAAAAGCCCCTTATTTACATTGTGATGCTGAGATCCGATCACTGCACTCGTCGGCCACCAGTTGGCACTCGTGTCTGAAGGTGGGCTCTGGGTTTCCTTCGATGGGGTTTCCATTCTGTGCAGAAAAATTTACTGAATTTGGAGAAATTGTTCTGTGGCCTCTATATACACACACACACAATACACATATACTATACACCCTATATATAATATCCCTATATATATCACATCCCTATATATTACATCCCCATATAATACATATACATATATACACACATACACATATATACCTATATACCATATACCCTATAGATATTATATCCCTACATGATATATATATACATGTATATTACATACATATATACAATATATATACATGTATATTATATACACATATACAATATATACACGCATATATACAATATATATACACATATATACAATATATATATACATATATACAATATATATATATACATATATACAATATATATACATATATATACAATATATATATAATATATACACACACGTATATACAATATATATACACATATATATACAATATATACACACACACATATATATATCAGCCTGGATCTAGCAATGTTACCAGTATTTATTTACACTGAAGAGCTACATTGTGTGTTTGTTGTTGCGCTGCACTGAACATCGATTACAACGTATCCCAAGACGAGAACAATGTATCCGAAGCCGTGTTACGCTGCATCCTGTGCTCTGCATCAAAACCACCCTGGATTCTGTTAGCCCTATGTTTTTAATATGTTAGCAATTCTGTTAACACACGTGTCGTACACGGTTTAATGCTGTTAGTTCATCACTAACCGATACAGGAACGGACTGGAAAAAACAAACAAAGAATGTTCAATAATCAGCAGCAGATCGTTAACGCGCGAGAGCGGAACTTCTCTGTAGTCTCCCAAGAGTTAAACTGACTGGTGCACAGCACCGCGTGTGCGTGTGCGTGTGTGTGTGCGCTTTCTATGCTGTTGTGCATCAGATGCAAACCTGGATGGTGAAAGACGGAATCTCTCGACAAAGCAATTCCCACAGCGACAGAAAATGTGAGAAATTATCCGAGAGTTACCACAGCAACCACTCACCCCATCCCCGCTCGCCGAGGGTTGCGGCCAATTGTAAATCAGCTGCGGCGTCAGCTGAGCACCTCTGGGGACCAGCCCTTCCTCTCAGCTCCATCCTGTCCTTCCTCGCTGCAAAACAGACGAGTCAGCAAAATGGCAACGTCGCTGGCACCTTCCTTACAATATCACGTCGTTGAAACCGTCTCGAAACGGTTCACAGAATACGCTGTAAAATGGCTTGAATGCGTATTTAGTGGGCGACGCACTGCAGCCAATTAATTGCGCACAGTAAGTCATGGATTGAGCGAGCAATGTTTTTTTGAGGGATGGTTACCCTCGGAAAGCGACCTGAGCATTGACTCATAACCGGGTTCCTACTTACTGCTACGTAAACAGAGGTGTATGGAGTAAGGAAACTTGTCTAAGGTTTCACTCCTTCCTTCACCTCCTCTCGTTACATGACCCCCCACCCCACCCCCCCTCCCCCCGATTAAAAGGGGGCGCAGAAGAAGATTTTGGTTAACCTTCGGTCAAGAGAGAACACAGAACACGCGTCATTTCAACACAACTCGTCAAATCCTGAACGTGCGGTGCGAGTTCCAATCAATCGTTTAAAATTATAAAAAAATCTAAATGCTTTAGGCACAAAGACTGCAGCGCTTTTGATTTCATTTTCTTACAATAAAAATGTCAAGGTGCACAGTGCAAGTCAAGATGTGAGCAAGGCTGGAAAACTGTTGGGCATCACCTCTCTACCTATAATCCTCTACCTAATAAACCCTCCAAAACCAAAAACAATAATAAAATTGGTCATTTTCAATCTACGACTGTTTGTGGGACATTGCTGTGCGCAATTGGCTGCCGCGTTCGCCCACAAATATACAGTCAATTCACTTTACAGTGTGTTCTGTGAAGGGCTTTGGGACGTCCTCCCGACGTGAAAAGCGCTATATAAATGTAAGGATTATTATTATTATATCAAATGCAAGGATTATTACCACCCACAATAACAACTTATATAGCACCTCTCACGCAGGGTAGCATCCCAGAGCGCTTAAAGAAGCAAAGGATCAGAGCATTGTAAAGTAAAGATGCCAATCAGTGCTTGTACATTAGTCTCAAGACTTGTCAAGTGTATATTGAGTCTCACAGCCGCAGTGGGAGGGGACGTGAACTGTCTCTAAAAGTTCAAGTCAGTGGTTGAGCTTCCAAAGAGAAAAGGGCTTCACACAACAGCACAAAACTCACCTGGTTAGACACGAGGGAGTTTCCTGCATCCCTGGCCCGAAATGTCACCCAGACTTATCCGATTACTGAGAACGCTGGAAAATTCTGGAATTCACTCACTTTGGAAGCTGGTGTGAGTGAGTGAGTGAGTGAGTGAGTGAGTGAGTGAGTGAGTGAGTGAGTGAGTGAGTGAGTGAGTGAGTGAGTGAGTGAGTGAGTGAGTGAGGCAGGAAAGTACAGAGAACTTTCAATGTTAACTACATCAAATCTTTGAATGTGGATGGTAAACAAAACCACTAAAAGCCCCTTCTATTATTTTGAAGTATTTTATTGTTAAAGTCCATCTTAAAGCCAGAAATTATATAATAACAGTAGTGCCAGCAGTTATAGCAGTCAGTGTGTATACACAATCTTTAATAGTAAATAAGAAATAGCAGCCTAGACTTCTGCATGGGGGAGTGGGGAGCGGAGGGGTGGGGGGGGAGTGGTGGGGAGGCGAGTGGATTCACAAGCAATCATCTTGTTCCATGCAGGTTATTCTCAAATCCAAGTGAAATATAATTTTCAATAAAGAACCAGAGACAGGGAAATGGGCAAAGTGAGAAGCGAGACTGGTTTCCTGATGTCAACTCAGACCATGTCCCACAGCATTGGCCATAACCCTCAAAACATGGGTCAAGGGATCAATCAACAGCCAACATTTCATTACCATCCTCCCCTGTTAGACAACCTTTCAAACCCAGAGCCCAAACCACACCCCAAAGTAGTCAATCATGTTTTTAAGCCAAGGTTGTTGTGTGATTTGAATGACAAGGCCCAGAAATGCTACCGGGTTTTAGGCCGTCAAAAACACGGCCTTAAATTTATGATTGTGCACAATTTTGGGACGTTCTGAAATTCAGTCTGAAATTGGAAAAACATCAATGTTTTGAGAATGGGGGTGGGGGGGGGGGGGGGAGGGGTAGAGAAACAGATCCCAATTGAATTTAAGACAAAAAAAAAATCTTACTAGGCTTCAGATAGATTGACCGCCCGGCTCATTTATTGGCGCCCTTCGTGGTCGTTTCTTAGCACTCGGTCCATCTATCATCACAGAGCTCCATTTTCCGTTACCAGGCTAACCTTCCACTCATGATTGGCACAAACTGTCAAGTCAGTTACATCAAGTTTTTTTTTTTAAACATACACTTTTCATTGTGAATAAATACAGTAATGTTGCCAAACTTCATTATAAAATATAAATTGGGAAAAAAAAACAAACACACACGTAGGCGCACACACACGCACATACACACGCACTCACAGCATCTTTCATTTTCCCCTACAGAACAAAATAGCCCAGAAACAATTAGTGTTCAATACTGAATAATCTCACATTAAAAACAAATTTTTTTCTTATTTTATTTCTTCGTAAAAAAAATTCCCAGGGCGAGAGACTAACATTCCCCTATCTTTAGTTATTACAAAATAGTGTCGGACCAAAAAAAATTAACAAAGGCATGTATATATTAATTTATAGAGAATAAATAAAGGACTGGATTGGGGGCCGTTACTTTTTAGGCCTCCAACTACGTTGCTTCGTTTCAATGTAATTCTGTCTAGTCTGGAGTGTGTTCTGACCAATTCAGCTAGATTATAGCTAAGGCTCACCTGGTATAATTTAACCTAAGCTGTAGGTCTCCTGAATGTAAACAGTGGTGCAATAACTCCCCAATTAACTACATCTTTATCATCCCCTTTCAAATGGCCATCTCAAAGTTCAAATCAAGCACTAACGCTTTGAGCAAACCAATCCCGAAAGGCTGCCGTCCCAAACATTTCTTGGGAGATTCAGTCCTTTAGATCTGATGCGATCACTATATAGTTCCAACTGCTTCCCTTTGGTTGGGGTTGAGGGACTTATAGTTGACTAACCCATTGCTGGACTTTCAGTTGATTGACCTATGGCTGGAGGGGGAAAAACTTGCTCATCAGAAATATCCAGCCATCAAAATATTTGTTCATTGTCCAACAACAACAACTCCAGTCTGACCTTCCACAGGAAACGTTTCTCACCATGAACAAAGCATCTGCACTGCACTGCACAGTCCTGTTATTTCTCCACCTCTTCGGCACACACACACAGTATTGCAGCCTCCACTACTGATCCCTATACCTTCATCTGTTCGATCAACTACTTCCTATCCCACCAATTTCTTCATCTCACAAAGCCTCCGCGTGTGACCTCATCAAAGTGAAAGGACACTTACCACCAGGTTTACAGGGACTGTGGTGGCCAGACTCGGGTTTGTACTGTCTGACACAACCCAGAAACAGAATTCGATCCCAGATTAAAAATTGAATCCGTTCCTTCCTTCTGCTCCCTGATGCGAGTCCAAGTTGCAGTTTTAATCGCCAATAATTAGTCTCAGAGCAAAGTTAAAGATGAACCTCACTTATACCCCTGAACAATCCTGCCCCTACCTCACCTTCTCACCAACACCTGCGCTATCCAAAACAAAAGCAAAATGAATTCGCTTTTCTCAACTCTGCTCCTTAACCCCCCCAAAGGCTTAAACTGAGAGCATGCAATAATATATTATACACTCACTATAGAATATACATAAGATATATTCAAGATTTCAACAGAAGGGAAGGAGGTCCCAAAATTCACAGTGTGACTATTCTATGAAGCAGTGATTACGTGGAAAGGTTCAAGTGATCCTTTCTCTTAAAGCCTCGGGAGTGTGTGCTGTTCAGGGACCTGGGAGAAACAGGGTCAAAACATGGTCTCGTGAAACATTTTCTCTGCCTGCCTTTGGAAACCATTCAAATAAAGTTGGTTGATGGGATCGATGACTCGACAGCGATCAAGTTTAAAGTTATTCTTTACAGAGAAACCACGAGCCCGGCCGAGATAACAGATCCTAAACCTGGGACTCTCAGCAAAGTTACAGTTATATAGACTCACAGAGAAAAGGTTGGTGGAGACCTGTGGCCAACTGGGGAACGGGCAACTGAGGTCGATTATTTTTTTTTAAAAAAAACGTCTATTTCGAAGCTTGCCACTTGCGGCTGTGAATAAAAAGGGGAGTGTTTCCATAGCATTGCACACCGTAGGTCTGACACATTGACCTGTCCAACTGAAATAGGGATTTTTTTTTAAAGTCACTGGTACACGCAGAATTAACGCCAGTCTACTAACGTCAAAAGTCCTCCCAATGTCCACATGCAACAACACCCAAACAAACACCTTCCGAAACCCCTCTCGTGCTCTCCTCCCGCATCCCAGACAGCTCAAATAAACCTGCACACATATTCCAAAAAAGAACCAACACAAAACAATAATGGAAACAAAATGGTGCCCTCCAAAGAATGAAGGGTCCAAATGGCGGCCATTTACAACTTTTTGTTCCACAATCGACCCACTCCCCCCTCCACCCACTCTCCCCTCCCCCCCCCCGACCGTGGGGGAAAGATTTGACGTTCCAGGCTCAACAGCATATTGGGGAAATTTGGAATCTAGTCGCGAGGGTGGAACTTACATATATTAAAAAAAATCACATAATCGTAAGAGTATTGAGATATACGTGCATTTACCGAAACACAGGACTATAAACACAACTCCAGAAGGTCTAACCCTACTCTAGGACAGACCAAAACACCACTGTGCTCTATGTTAGGCTGCACCGAGCATGTTCAGTGCGCCCCGCAGAGCCTCCGTGTCTCTTGTGGCCAGTGGTCCCCCGCTGATCAGAATTCCACTTTGCACGCCGGGAAGGTCTCCTCCTGCATCACCACTGTGCTGCTGCTGCCCAGAGCCGTGATGTTCAGAGCTTTCTGTCGCTCGTGTGTCTGCTGGTACCACTCGTGCATGACCAGGGAGTCAAAGGTCGGGATTATGGTGACCTGGAAGCAAAACAGAGAGTCAGAGAAGATACCACCGACACCAACGTTTGTACGTCAACAACAACAACAAGATTCCATTTATTGAGCGCCTTTCACGTCAGGAGGACGTCCCAACTTTAATGTCTGGAGGGCGGCCCAAGGCCCCGGACAGTCAGGGATTTGGACCCGAGCACGGGTTGGGATAGGTGGAGAGCAGGGAGGGTGGGGGGTAGGCAAGTGAGAGAGTGAGGTGAAGGGACTTTGAAGTGAGGTCAATCTCCTATTGAGCAGCTACAGCCCCCCCCAAAAAAAACCCCGAGGTGAAAGCTATAACAATAAATGTTAGGATTAACAATTCCTTACATTTGATATAGCAATTGTTTTCAATATTTATGTGCTTTACAGGTAAACCTTCTGAGCCAGAAGCAAGAGGCCTATCAGCTGAGCCAAGCCGACACTTAATGTGGGGAAAATTTAAATAAGAAAAAGGGAAGAGGGCCAATAACAAACCTCAACTGCATTTACCAGCAAATTGTCGTTCCTCAGTGCAAGCTCACTTAGTCTCCACTTCCTTCTTTTAATGTTCAGTTTGAAAGCATTGTGGAATAATAACTCAAGCATTACCTGCTCTGGGAGTTCTCCGAGCCTCTTGTGAGTAAAAATATGTCCCAAAGGGACAGCCTTATCCTGGAACTCCACCTGTGAACAGAAGTCTTACCTGGATATTGTTGCCCCATGTGGATTTGCCCTCCAGGAGCGCGTCCAGAATACTTCTCATGGCGTTTTCCTTCGCTGGGTCGTTCCCGCTGATGACGTAAACTGAAGAGCGCAGCTTGTTGAAGAACTCCACGCTGATGGTCTTGGCGCTGCAGTTGTTGGGAATGTAAGCTAAGTCCACATAGACAGGCGGCCCCAGTGGGGGGCTGATTCCCGCTGAGCTCTTACTTATTGCACCTGGAACAAGCAAGACATTCACATTGAGGCAAGGTCTCCAGCCCAAGAGGTCAAAGCCCACTCCTTAGTTCTGATACATTTTGCCCAATTTCCTCCAATCCAACTAGTTTGACTCCAAAACCAATTGGCTACACTTCCTGTTTGAGCCTGGACAGGAAGTATGCCATTTGACTGATTAGCAGGCATGGGGGGAGTGTGTGGGGACATAGGAACAGGAGTAGGCCATTCAGTCCCCTTTACTGTTTTTCCTGCCCTTTAATACCCTGAGCTAATTTCCATCAATCTACCCACCCAATTGATTGTGTATAATCAATTGAGGCAGTGCAGTCCACCCTCTCACAACCCACCGAGTGGCCACACGTTTTCTGAACTCTTGGGAAACCATCAAGAAGATGTGAAAGCAGAACTCACGTCCACCGCCCAACGCGACTGACGGGAAGAGATACTGACCTGTGGCCGAATTTCGAAGTCCGCTGTGCAACAGCCTGGGATTTGTGCCTGGGGCGTTCTTCCCTCTCTTCTCCTCCCCGTTGATGGACTGGCTGGAGTTGACCCTGGAGATTTTCTCCCGGTGGTCACCCTTGCCCGTTCCGGCAGACTTTGCCACTTCCTTGGTCGCTGCTTGTGGAGTTTTGGGTTTGGGCTGAGCTGTTGGTTTCCGGGCCGGGGCCGAAGAAGATGTCTTGGATCCCAACTTTTTGGTCTTCGCCTTGTCTTTGGCAGTGCTCTGAGCCAGGACCTCTGGGTCCACCATGCAAAGCCCGGGATGGGGCGGGGGAGGGGTAGGGTCTTTCATTGCGGCTGGGGGAGGGTCACGTGATTGGGGACCCCCGGTGCGGAGGGAAGAACCGGAGCCCGCCTTGTCCGTTGGCAGGCACTCAGACTCCTCCTCGGAATCGATCCCCCCGTCCGCGGTTATGGAGGGACATTCCTCTGTCCCGGGCGGGACGTCAGAGTCCGAGCGAGTTGGTAGGGAGTCGCTGGCAGACGTGGGTGGGGTTTCATCTCGCGGGTTCTTATGGGGTCTCCTCTGGGCAACGGGCTTGGCAAATTCCTGGGACAGATCGCTGTCGTCAGACAAGTCTCGGGGGCTGGGGTTGATAAAGGAAGGGGAGAGCTCGGTCTTGGGGTGCTTGAACTCACAGGGGGACACGAGGCACAGGTCCACGTCGTGGGGAGATTCGGTGGGAAGTCCCGAAACAGGGGGCAAGTGTCCGTCCACTCCATCACTGTGATTGAATGCGTGATCACCGTCCCCAACAGCAAGGCCCACCGGCACCTGATTGTGAATCCGAAAGGACTCATGCAGGGATTTCAGGGGCAGGCTCATGGGGTGCGGCTCCCCCTTTCCTGAAAAGGTCTCGTAGTCGGGGGAAACGCCATTGGAAGGTCCTCTCTGATTGTCCTCCCGTGGAGATGCCAGTGCCTCGTTCAGAGGTGGGAGAACCTGCTCGAAGGACACGGACAAAGACTCATCCACTTCGGTGGAGTGAGGGGAGCCCACCTCAGCGGGCAGCGACGGGGTGGTGAGAGTTGGGGAGACATCAGAGACAACGTCCTTGAACGGGCTTAGGGTTAGGAACCCTGTGTGTTTACTGTCTATGGACATGCTGGTGTTTTCCGAGTTGGATCTCGAGCTGGAGTGATTACCTCCTTCCAGAGACTTGTTGTTGGAATTCTTCAATTGGGTTTCCTCATTGAGAAGATTGGACACTTTATCAGCCACGCCATCCTCGGCTCTCGGCAGGATCTCGTCGACTGGGGACTGGTGGAAAGGTGTGTGGCCAGCGCTGGCAGGAGCGGAGCCGGGAGGTGTGACCATCTCCAAAGTCTTCTCCTCAGAGCTCGCACAGTGCTCCTCCAGGTTCTCCTGGTAGTTCATAAACATGGGGCCTTTCAGGTCATCCGGCGGCCGAAATTCAGTTGGAGTCAGGTCAAAATTAACACTGCGGTCGCTCCTTGGGGTCCTGGCGAGGGGGGTCAGGCTGGACATCTTACTGGGGCTCAACAGCTCCTCACAATTCCTGAATTTACCAGGACTTTCCATTTCGTAATCGTCTTCCTTCTCAGTCACGTAGAGGTGGCCGTTCATTTGATCGTCTCGAACTTCCTCGCCATGTCTCACCCCTGCTGCAGGTCCCTCGGGCGATTGCTCCTCACTCTCCGCGGGGCTGACATTCACCTCGTGTCCGTTCTCTTGGGGTGAAGAATCCAGCTCACTTTCATTCTCCATTGTGGTGAAGCCCTCATCTGGGGATTCATCAAGCACGGTCGTCTTACTGTCCGGAGCTCTTGTCCCGCGGTCCAGGGAGCCAATCTCCTGGCTCTGTGCCACACCTTCATCTTGCTGTAACCTCTCAAAATCAGCTGTCATGTCCTCTGGAGTAGACATCTTTGATGCACCGGGTTCCGCTTTCGCCTCTGCTAAACTCACCGCGCCAGGGGGCTTCTTGCGTTCAACATCCATGTCCTTTTTCTGAGCCCTGGACTTAGGTTTGGCAGTTGCTTTGGTTGTGGAAGCAGCTTCCTTTTTGGGTTCAGACGCCTCTCTGTTAGGGCCAGCGGGTTTTGTGGTAACCTTCTTGGCTTCAGCTGCCGGTTTCTTGACTGGCTGCTTCACCACTTTCTTCTCATCCTTCTTGATTTCCTTGAGATCCTTTTTAGGCTCTTTCTTCGGCTCCAGTTTCTTAATCTGCTTCACCAGGTCTTTCTTCCCGTCTTGTTTGACCGATGACGAGCCCTCTTCCTTCTTCTGCGACTTCTTGTCCTCTGGCTCCTTCTTCTCATCCTTTTTGGAGGCTTTGGTGTCTTTATGGTCTTCGGGCTTCGATGCTTTAATGTCTTTTTTTGGCCCCTTTTGCCTTAAGTCTGCTTTAGGTTTGACATTGTTTGGTTCCGTTGCTTTCTTATCAGTCTCTGTGATAGAATGCTGATCTTTCGCTCCTTCACTTCCAGTTCCATTGGTCTTCTCTCTTCCAGCATTGGTCTTATCCTTCTTCTCAACCTTGACTGGTTTAGATGCCAATTTCCCTGCTCCCAGAGTGCTTTCTGACGTCTTTCCCGTTGACCCTTTGGTGAGACTCTTGAGACTCTCCCGGCTTTCTGTGCGCCTCGGTTTGGAACTCTTATCTCGTTTCAAGGCTTCTAGATCTTTCTGCGTGGCCACTGGCTGCTTCAGGAAGTCCAAATGCTTCAGCTTGTCCAGTCCTTCCAGAATCTTGTTCTGAGGAGCGCAGCCGGGGAACAAGACTCGGATAATCTTCTCTGTGGGGCTGGCTGGGTGCCACGCGATGAGGGCACAGATAGAGGTCAAACACTGGATGGGGAGTTCTGACCCTTTGCGGTCACCGTTACCGCTCCACTGGTTCATCAAGTAGTCCAGCTCCTTGCTGTCTTTGCTGGGGTTCAGGACGTACATCTCCAAACGGCCAACTCCCATCTTTTGGAAGAGGATGGTCGGCTCCAAGGCATTGCCAAGCGTCCGGCAGAAGGGGAACGGCGTGATTCCCAATGTGTCCAGGGACTGCAGCGTCAAGCTGACCTCGTCCACGCTCCGCCTGACTTTGTTGTTCCTCTCCACATGTTTGAGCCTCTCGGGAGCATTGAGGAACACGACCCCGATCTCGGGGGAAATGAGATTCTTCATCCAGTCCCCGTTGGCCTCGGAGACCTGCGACTGGTCCTCCTCGAGTTCGGCCAGCTTCCTCTGGAGGAGGCTGTTGATGCCAGGCAGGTTGTCCGCCCCGATGTGAGTCAACAGGACGGAGTCTACCCTGTCCAGATGACGCACCAGTTTCCAGAAGGAAGACTTCTGGTCGGAACCCCCGTTGACCAGGATATTGAAGCCGTTCACGGCAAAGAAGGCGGAGTCACCCCTCCCACCTGGGAAGACGTAACAGCACGGCTTGGAAAGCTTCAGGAAACCCACCGTGGCCGGGGGCTCCAGCAGGTCAAAGGGGGACGGGGACTCCACCGATTCCGACAGGTATTCCAGGAATTCCTGCAGACCCTCCATCTCGGCCAACGTTTCCGGTGGGTTCACCTTGATCCCGATGTACTCGTGCAGGTTGTGCTTCTCCAGGTTGAATTTCTCCCACTCGCCAAAGTTAGGGCAGAGAGGGTGAGGGTGGCCTTGTCCTCCGGAGGGGACAAACTCAACAGCTCACTGATCTGAGAAGAAAAAAAAGATATGAAGGTGTTAAATAAAAGATTTCCAGCGTCTCATTCCCTTTTAAAGTCACGTAGAGACTCTGCTTCCCCCTAGGGGTTGGCACTGACGATTGGATTCTCCACCAACCTCCTTCTCGTTGACAATCTGGATGAAATCCTGGAGCGCAAAGTGTCCGCTCTGCAAGAGCAGCTCCCCAGACTCAGCCAGGCACAGTCCTGCCAACACCAACAGCTTCTGCCGGGAGGGTCCGGAGATCAGGTTTCGCACCTGCAGGGAAAATACCACACGTCAAGAAGGGGCTGTCTCGTGAACAGTAATAATAACCATCCTTGCATTTGATGTAGCACCTTATCACGTGTTCGAGACGTCTCAAAGCGCTTCACGGAATACACCGTCAAGTGAATGGACCGTATATTTTGTGGGCAAAACGCGCACAGCAATGTCCCACAAACAGTCATGGATTGAGATTTTTTTTATTAACAGAAGCGCGTGGAATAAGGAAACATGCCCAACGTTTCGCCCTGCCGGGAATCAAACCCGGGTCCTCTCGCTTGCAAGGCGAGTGCTCTAGCCACTAAGCTACAGGAAACCGGGGTTACAAGCACATCTATTAACAACACGTCTGATTCACACCGTCAACTAGTTTCTGTATTATTCTGGACTTCCTCCCTCCCCCAAAACGATTCCTAAGGTGAGTGTAACTGTCTCATCAGGAAATAGCACTAACTTTGTGACATTTTGCCCGATTTTGAAGCCACCTTACGCCCACCCCACTCACCCACATTTATGAATTCAACCTTTAACCACCACTATTGCCAGCATCTTACATACATGGTCATCCTTACGTGGACGTGGTAGGGTGGGGGGGTGGAGAAGGAAAAAAGAAAGAAAGGAAACTTGCTGACAATTACTGTTTTAACTAAGTCACAGTGAACACAAATCCCGTTTGCAAAGCCACGAACTAGTCCAAAGATTCCGTCACACCACAGGAGGATCACAAACGGCACTCTCACCTCAGCACACAGCAATTCGCAGGTAGGGTTTATCAGGACGAGAGTCTCCAAAGCCTCACCTCGGTGATGGAGGATCTTCTGACCTAAGGAGAGAGAGAAGCACAGAGAGATGTGGAGGAGGTAACAGTGCGTCGTGACCAGCTCAGAACCAACAAAGCACTCAGTAACTGGCTCAGTGTCCAGCAATTGGGAGCAAGATGCTGAGTGGGCGGCTTTACTGGGTGCCAATTAGTTGCCACGTTTCCTCAATTACAAAGCCCACTTGCAGCTGTTGTCAATTACCTGCGAAGCGCTTTTAAGACATCTTATTGCTATGAGCGCCACATGGAAACGAGAGGATTGTTCGTCAAGGCTGAAACATAAAGCACCGACTGCCCTTGTAAACAACGGGCAAGGTCACAGCAGAAAGCTTTGCTGAAGCAAAGGGAATTGAACAAGACTCTGGCTGACGGCCGGCTTTTGTTGATTAAAGAGCTGATGAGCGAAGAAGTGAACGAGAGAGGGTGGGAAGGAGAAAGAGAGGGAGGGAAGGTGAGAGGGGAGGAGGGAGAGAGAAAGAGAGGGAGGGAGGTAGAGGACTGGGAGAGCAGGGTTGCTGTGAAATTATACTAAGCTTATATCACTGCTCCAGGCAGCTCAACCTGGCATCTGCTGCCACCTAAGAGGATGCAGCCTGGCCCTGGCTCAGAGACATATTGAGGATTGCGAGACGGGTGAAAGTCTGGGTCGATGCCAGACTCTCAACAAACATGGACGTCAAGGGTCACTCATCATACCAACTGAGCCGGCGGGAGTGCCTTGTTGGTGCGGAGATGTCTCTGTCTCTCATTCACCAGATTCACCATTTTGTGGCAAATATATTACCTCTCCTCTTCGACCGCCTTGCATTTGGTCACCCTGTTACCCCCCTACCCTCCTTGCCCTCCACCCCTCCTGATCCCAAACCCCCAGCTCGGGTCCAAATCCCTGACTTACATTTGCAATAGCACCTTGGGACGTCCTCCTGACTTGAAGGACGCTACGCAAATGTAAGTTATTGTTGTACATCCAAGCCAATGCAGGGTCACTTGGTTCAGGATACAGGGATTAAAGAGGAAGCCGAACAGATAGAGAGGAAGGCTTCCTGTCCCTTGGCGGCCTTCCCCTTTCAGCTGGGGGGATGGTGGACAACACATTGGGGTAGGGTGAACAGAAATACAGAGGATTATTTTTTATGATGCACGAGTACCCATTTGAGGGATTAAGAGGCTCTTTTCAGATATTTGAAGCGTTGAGAAATTGTTGGTCCTTCTAGTTCACAAAATGCACTTCCTGAATGAATGAAAGAAAGAAAGAACCAAAGCTCAACTCATGTCAAACAGGAAGCCAGAGAGAGAGAGAGAGAGAGAGGCCGGAGAGGATACAATGGGTTCCAAAGCTGTGGTCGTTAGTTAAACCACCCGGTTCAGCTGAGAGGCCCCAGACTGAGGAGGAAGTCACAGTGACTGCTCCCTCACGCCTACAACAAGAGGTCAGAGATGAGAACAGGGCAACCCCCACCCCCACACCCAGTTTGCCCGGCAGACGCCAGCCGCCTTCCTGCAGGCCTGAAGTGTGAACCGTTTCCCTATACGCTGAAACAAATCCCTCCACAGACCCAAACCACGGGTTCTGCCCACAAATCACATGGTCAATCCACTTTACAGTCTATTCTGTTGAGCGCTTATCATTGTGTTAAGGCGATGTATCAAATGCAAGGATTATTATTTATTATTATCTGCAAAAGCCCTAAGCAAAACCAGTTGAGGACATTTCCAGAGGCCTGAATTGACACTCAACAGCAGTCAAGGCATGAGGTGGAAGAGATACTTTGGTGTAACGGGGGGCACTACAATGAGGTCAGGGCTAAAATGGGTGGGTGTTTGGGGCAGTGTCGAGCGAGTCTCACTCTGTTCTACCGCTCTTCTTCCTGCCCTCCACCCATCCTGATCCCAAGCAACCACCAGCTCGGGTCCAACCCCCTGACTGCCCAGCACCTTGGGACATCCTCACGACATGAAAAGGCACTGTGTAAATGTAATTTGTTGTCGTTGTTAACCTGTGCTGTGGTTGACCCAGGAGTCCTGGACAGACAGTGTAGAGGAAGCTCGACTCCGTCTCTAAGCTGTGCCTGACCTAGTCAGCATTTGGACACATGTCTGGGAGATTTTCTGCGATGAACCAGAAGGAGCCCAGCTCCACATTCCAGGAAGCATCAGGTACTAATTCTGCCCTAGAGGCACGTTTACAGTCGCACGGCAATAATTACATTCCTTTCAGGTTTCCTGTAAATCAAGGCAGCAGGTTTCTGAATTCCTGAAGGCCATCGCGCCAGAGAGAAGTGCAACGGACTGCTTTGCGGAGCGGGCGATCAGGAAGTTGACGGAGGAATGCTCAACGTACAGATAGACGGCAAAATGACAATTAATCACTTTGTTAAAATTAATTTGGACTCCCGACAGGCCGAGATGTGGCCCACAGCGGCAATGTGTGGGTTTGGGAACTTCATCAAGAGATACCAGTGAGGATAGTCACACTGCAATTAACACAAGAGAGAGAGAGAAAAACAGACAGAGAGAGAGAGGAGAGAGAGAGAGAGAGGTCGGATTCAAGTACAAAGACAGGAGATACCGAGAGACGGAAGCTAAAAATACACAAAATACAGTCAATCCACTTTACAATATATTCCGTATAAGTCTCAATGATGTGATAAGGTGCTACACTCAAATGCAAGGCTTATTATTTATTATTATTGTAAAATATGGAAAATGTGTGACAAGGCGTAGATGCAAGGGTGAGTGAGTGAAGGTGCCGCCTGCAGAGACAGCGCCTTGCAAGAGAACGCAAGTGTGACAAAAATGGGCAAAAACAGCAGAGATGGATACTTCGGGGTGTGTGCAATTTCCTCTCCCTCCGCACTCCTACATTGGAGTGAATCCAGACCCATCCCTTCACTGCCACAGTCCATTGCTGCAAAGTTCGGCTCCTAGTAATTAATGTTCTAAACAAACTCCGGCCTGGAAGACAACGACTGGGGCTCAGTGAATCCTTTACAGCCTGGTCGGTGATTCTGTCTCTCCACTTCCCTGTACATTCGGTGTCGCCTCGGGTCAGAGTTCCCATGATAGACAGAGCTTTCTCCAGCGAGTCTGCAGTCCATCATTGTGTCTGTCAACATTTCAGCTCTAATCACAAGACAACCCTTGCATCTTTATGGCAGCAATAAAGATCAATACACCTCACAGCACAACATAGGCAACAGCTAATAAATAACATGTGGTGATTGCATATTTGCAGGCAAATGTGGCAGCCATTTTGCACGCAGCAAAAGTCTCACAAAGAGCCATGAAAGTGATTGACCAGTGTATTGGTGGGATTGTCAGCCAGGACACGGGGAGAAACTCCCATTTAGCATCAAGTAATGTCCACCCGAACCGGCAGACTGGATATGTGACTGACTTGAGCAGTGGCTGGAGATGTCAATGTTGGATCCGGAAATAATAATAATCCTCGCATTTGATATAGCGCCTTATCACGCAATCAAGACGTCTCAAAGCGCGTCACGGGATTCACTGTAAAGCGAATTGACTGTATTTTATGGGCGAAAGGTAGTAGCCAATTGTGCGTAGCAGTGTCCCACAAGCAGTCGTGGCTCGAGTAACCAATTTTTGTGCGAGAGTGCGGAGGGATTATTACCCACGGAAAATACTGTGGATCTTGTGGGCGAAATGCGGCAGCCAATTTAATAAAGTCAAGTAACTAGACCCCAGTGAAATCAATTACAGACATTCATTGCTATTAGATCAGATGTCCCAGCTCTGCGGAGAGGCTGTGTCAGAACGAGTTAAACCCAGATAGAATGAAAGCACGATTTCTCTGGTTTTTGGGGAAAAATGTTGTTCAGGTGAAGACAATCTCGGAATCACGCGGATCTCAGCGTGTGCCAAACAGACACATCCACGACCAAGCAATTTCTAAACACACGTCTTCCCTGCACCAGTCAGCGTCACTAGACACTGCCCTGGAGCCAGGGGTCAATCTTAGTCAGACTGCACAGAGAGAGAGAGAGAGAGAGAGAGAGAGAAAAATGATGACATCGTTGAGAATTCTCAAAGAGCTTCACAGTGAGTATATTGTAAAATGGATTGACTGTCTTTTGTGGGTGAAACGCAGCAGCCAATTGCGCACAGCAGTGTCCCACAAACATTTTTGGGGGTGAGGGATTGTTACCCCCGGAAAGCCACCCACCAATCAACTAACAACCGGGTTCCTACTAATCGCTAGGTAAACAGAGGAGTGTGGAGTAAGGAAATCTGCCTAAGGTTTCTCCCCGCCCGGGAATGAACCCAGGTCCTCTTGCTTGGGAGGCGAGCGTGCTAACCACTGCACTATGAGACTCCGCTACTGGGTTACGGGAAAGAAACAGGAAGCAAGAGAGAGAGCGAGAGAGAAAAAACAGAGGGCGTGTAAACAAGAGGCTCCTTTCTGACGCCAGTTCTAAAACGGTCCCGACAAATTAAATGTTCTTCTGCAGCGGTCGGCTGGCAAATCGAGCCCAGGCTTCCCAGAGGGCAGCCGGTGTCTGATCAGGGGCAAGTCATGCGGCTTTCACATCATTCAGGAACCAGGACAAAGAGCTCTTCACTTCATTTGGTTAAGGCTCGCTGGTCAGCACACTGAGGTATTGATCTCTGCTTCAGTCACACTTTGGAGAAATTACGTCTCAACAGGAGCCTTCCCCAACCCAACACTGATTAAAGTCAGTGTTGGTAAAACTCACCACCGCCCCCACACACCCACCTCTCCCAGCAGCTAATCTGGTGAAGGATAATCGCACAGCCCTTTACTGAGAACATGGTTCACCACCGCAACTGAGCTCTATGCCCAGGCTACAGACACCAGGATTCCCTGCATTCCTCCTCCTCCCCCCTCCCTGGCATTTCTTTCTCTCCCCCCACCCACCCCCCTTATTATTCCCTCCAAGCACAGAGAGCAGCAGCTGCCACTAGCTCTCAGGAATCAGGAATGCTCAGCATTTCTCTGGCTAATGAGGGAAAGAAAGTAATCTCAAGAGCTTGAAAGCCAATGGTGGATTTGCTCATCTGAGTCTCACCCAACCCCAGCAAACCTCCAATACATTGACTCCATATTAGCCACAACTTATGCATTGGTGTATACACACACACACACATAATGTGATTGATATAGTGTCTTATGTCAAAAGCACTTCACACAATGAGTTACTTTCAATTGTAGTGACTGTCATGGAGACACAGACGCAAACAACACACACACACACACACACACGTTGGACAGAATTGTTTTCCATTCAGTCGGCAACAAAAACACCCCCCAGAGCTGAGACTTATTGCTATAAGGGTCACACACACAGCCGCACAGAGCAGACAGCATTCTTGGCAAACCGAGTGCCATCCTTGAACACAGCAAGCAATCTCTCGTCCAACAGCTTGTGCCCCGCAGACAATCAGCAGCAGAATACTGGACGACAGATACCCCGCAGAACCCAAGCCCTGCGATCGATCGGACAGCTTATGTTTCTTATCCAAGACAATAATAGTAGCTGCTCTCTCCCGCAGTATCCCACAGTAAAGCCAGAAAAACACAGGGCGTTTTCAGCAAATGCTCTGGCGTCCAAACACATCCACGATTCCTTCCTCTCCAGAGCCCCTTAAGCCCGGTGATGGGTTTCTGCATGTGTCAGACACCCGGCCGACCCCAAAAAATCCAGAGTCTGAGTCAAATGCAACTCAAAATTACATCTGTAAAATGCCTTTCACGTCAGGAGGACATCCCAAGGCGTTCATTTTGTGAAGTAATCACAGAAAGAACCAACAATTGGCCCTCTGATTACGTACTATCAGGTTCCAGATCAGAACAGGTCAGGAATGTCAGAGGCCATTGAACCTTAGACAACAGTCGTGTTTACACGAGTCGTGACCTGAATTAGCAGCTACAGCTCATTCAGTGAGGACAAAGAGAAACATCACGCCATCCGCAACACACTTAAGATTTTGCTTCATATCCGACTGGGTGAAAGGACAGTGCTAGGATAACAATAATAATCCTTGCATTGGATGACCTTGCATTTGATATAATGTCTTATCACAGCGTTGAGATGTCTCAAAGAGCTTCACAGAATATACTGTAAAGTGAACTGACTGTATATTTTGTGGGTGAAATTGCTAGAGTACATCTGCCCAAGTCCCGTTGAATTTTCTACAATTTATGCAATTTTCACACAACTCATACTTTGTTATATTAAATGGTTCCAACTGACACGACGTATGTGAGGTGTACTGTACAATCTTTGGGGGGGGAAGGGAGGGGTGTGAAATTAGCAGCTACAGCTCATTCAGTGAGGAGATGAAGATGGGATTGGACCTGCAAAGGGTTAACGCTGTCGGGAATTCACACGCAGCGGAGAATGGGCCGCTGGTAACCGGATCCCCAGCTGCCGATCTCTTACCTTTCACTTCCTCGGGAATGGTAGCCGAGTGCCGGGACACAAAGAGCTTCAGCTGTTCGTCCAGACTGTAATGCACCGCATCGATGTCCCAGGAGCGGATTCCTAGAGATAAGCCAGACAAGACACGCGGTGAGACGGCACACAAACAGAGAAACGCACACACTGTAAGCTCGTCCCCTTCCTCCCTCCACCCCCCCCGCCGCCATTTCCCTGAAGGAGTTGGACTCCTTTCTTCAACTGAGTGACAATTCCATCAGTGGCATTGAATAAGAACGACGACAACTTGCATTTATTGCCTTGAGACGTCTCGAACACGTGATAAGGCGCAGTATCAAATGCAAGGATTATTATTGTTATTATTTATATAGCGCCCCTCATGCTGGGTGGCGTCATTCAATTTGGTTCAGACCGTCTTGTGATTCTGGGGGGTATTGTTAATAATGATGATTAGCTTCTCTTCTCCCCTCCGCCCCACCACAACTTTGACGAACAGAACAGGAGCTCCTTCTAGTTCACATTCCCCTCCTCATCCAAATTCGCGCAAAAATTGAAATGAAGTGGCTCCTCATCTCGCCATAATCCTTTCACCCAAAATACAGAGTCAACCATTTTGCAATATATCCTGTGAAGCGCTCTGAGACGCCTCAACAACATGATAGGGCGCCATATGAAATGTAAGGATGACGATTATTATTACAACATCAAACCCTCGCAAAGGGTTTTGCAGGGATTTCTTCCGTGAGTGACTTTTTTTTAAAAAAAAGCAAACCGTGACAGCCAATTTAATTTGCATGCAGCAAGATCCCACCAACAGCCAATGAAATGAATGACCAATTGACGTACGTAGAGAACACTGGGAGAAACTCCTTTCTCTTTTCGAACGGTGCTGCCTATCCATCTAAACAGCCATCTCATCTGAAGGGCTGCACCTCCAACAATGCAGCATTTCTTCTGCACTGCAATGGAGCGTCAGCTTGGTATCTGAGCTCAAATATCAGCCCTATCTTGGGATGTGAACCCACATCCTTCTGACTCAAGAGACAAGAGGGTGAATCACTCGCTGTTTGCAGGACATTGCTGAGGGCAAATAAACAGTCACATTTGCCTCCATAACATCCCCGATTGTGTAAAGCGCTTTGAGGCATTCGACACGAAACGGCATTGGATTAATACAACACAGGGTGTTGTTTTCTACGCGAACTCAGAACCCTCCTCTTCTCTTTCCTGAACCCTCTCAAAAGCATCATTGTTCTTTTTTGAAGGCAGGCCGGGTGCTCAAAATCATGCACTATGGTACTAATAGTAATCCTTGTTTTTGATATAGTCCCTTGTCACATTCCTGAGAAGTCTCAAAGCGCTCGCACAGAATACATTGTAAAGTGTACATTTTGTGGGTGAAACGCAACAGCCGACTGCACACCGCGGTGTCCCACAAACAGTCGTGGATTGAGCGACCAGATGTTTTTTTTTGGGGGGGGGAGCAGGAGGGATTATTAGCTCTGTAAAGGAATCCGCCAATCAACTAATAACCGTGTTCCCACTTACAGCTAAGTAAACAGAGGCGTGTGGTCTGAAATACTGTACCCTGTCCAGCGCCTTGGGACGTGAAAGGCGCTATACAAATGTAATCTTGTTGTTGCGATCACTGCGCTGCTGGGACTAAGTGTGGCCCGATCACAAAACTAAAAAGGGTTTAAAAATTAAACCGGTTTCAAAGCGCGGAAAAAAAAAAAATGTCCCCCAGGCGTCACATCCCAAGCTATGATGAGCTTTACTGATAACTGGTTTGCTGTCACTGGATCCTCGGCCAACAGTCTGTAAACCGCAACCGAATCCGTTTCCACCTTTTGCCAATTGACCCGAATTCCGTACAGATTTGACGTTTCCTGCGCAATTACACCCTCCTCTCCCGCTCCCCCCACCCGCCCACACCCCGACAGACACAGACACACGCCGACGCAATGTATCTCAATGCAAAATGGACACAAACAAATGGTGTGTGTGTGTGTATATATATATATATAACATGTGAAAGTGGCAAAGACATACACACATTGTAACCCGCCAACACGAAAAGGAAGACGCAAACACATTGTGTCCGCCCATGAAACGCACACGCGCTCACATAACTGTATCCCACACGTGAACCCAATCCTCCGCTATTAAATTCGATCAGTAAATTTGATCAGGTCTAAGGGAGGTCCGAAATAGACGATGGAATGCGGAGATAATCGCACATTAACATTGCAGAACATCGGATTTCGATCCGATCTGGATGCAAGTTTTCTTCTTTCTCTCTCTTTCTCTCCCCCCCCCCAACCCCCCCCTCCCTCCTCCCTCCCCTCTTTCTGGACGCACGTACAGCACAGGCACGAGGGGTTTGGGACGAAAAGGGACGGAAGAGGCAGCTTGCAAACTTTTGAAGCATTTAAATAAAAAAATTAAAACACTTAACGCTTTTTCGCTCTCGTTTTCTTGCACTCCCCCCCCCCACCCCACCCCCACACGCGAAAAAAAAATATCAAGGGGCGGAGGAAGGAGTTTCTCTTCTAGAGAATCATGTGAGAAAAAAAATTCCAACAATCTCCACTGCAAATACACCCCAACAATAAAACCCCCCAAAAAGACATGTGAGTTTTTATTGCCAAAATTCCTCCCCCTCCACTTCCCCACGGGGGGGGGGGGGGGGGGGCAGTGTTAAGGTTAATCAATCAGATTTGTATGAGCTGCAATAAGTAAATAAATAGTTTGGGGAGAGAGCCTTTTTTTTTGGTGGGAGGTGGGTGTACAGGAGGTTTCTTTCATTGAGAGAAACGCCCCTTCATCGCCAGATCAACGCCATCAAATTGGAGGAACCTTTCTGTTGTGGGTGTGTGTTTGGGGGGGGGTGGGGGGGGGGGGTGGTGTGTGTGTGGGGGGGTGTGTGTGTGGGGGGGGGGGGATGGTGTGTGTGTGGGTGTGTGTGTGTGGGGTGTGTGTGTGTGTGTGTGGGGTGGGGTGTGTGTGGGGTGTGGTGTGTGTGTGGGTGTGTGTGGGTGTGTGTGTGTGTGTGTGTGGGGGGGGTGTGTGTGGGTGTGGGGGGTGTGGGGTGTGTGTGTGTGGGGTGTGTGTGTGTGTGGGGGTGTGTGTGTGTGGGGTGGGGTGTGTGTGTGTGTGGGGGTGTGTGTGTGTGGGGTGGGGTGTGTGTGTGTGGGGTGGGGTGTGTGTGTGTGTGTGTGTGTGGGGTGTGTGTGTGTGGGGGGGTGTGTGGGGTGTGTGGGGGTGTGTGTGGGGGTGTGTGTGTGGGGGGTGTGTGTGTGGGGGGTGTGGTGTGGGGGTGTGTGTGTGGGGGGGTGTGTGTGGGGTGTGGTGTGGTGTGGGGTGTGTGTGTAGGATGTGTGTGTGTGGGGGGGTGTGTGTGTGGGGTGTGTGTGTGTGGGGGTGGGGTGTGTGTGTGTGTGGGGGTGTGTGTGTGTGGGGGGGGGATGTGTGGGTGTGTGTGGGGTGTGTGTGTGGGTGTGTGTGTGTGGGGTGGGGTGTGGGTGTGTGTGTGTGGGGGGGGGATGTGTGGGGTGTGTGTGGGGTGTGTGTGTGGGTGTGTGTGTGTGGGGTGGGGTGTGTGTGTGTGGGGTGTGTGTGTGTGGGGGGGTGTGTGTGTGTGTGGGGTGTGCAAATAAAGGGAAATAAAGGGAATTTCTTTTTTCTCTAAAAAATGCAACGTTTGCGAGAAACAAAAAGGGGTGGAGAGGGGATATTCTCACAGACACAATTTTTTTTTGACCCCCCCCCCCCCCTCCCCCAAACACACACTCCCAAATCTGCACTGCAATATCACCAGACAATGTGTAACCCTCGTCTATTCCAAAATAAATCGCTTCTGAAGGGTGTGTGTGAGAGTGGTGGGGGGTGGGGGAGGGGGATGGGGGAGGGGGGGGGGGGAGTGTTTCACACTAATGCAATGCTCTCCCCCTCCCCTCCCCGCCCCCTCCCCCTGGGATCGCATCAGTGCAATCGCAAATTCTTTCCCTCCCCCCATAATACACTCACACATTACGCATTGCAATGCAATGGGGTTTTTTTTGGGGGGGGGGGGTTTGGATGGGAGGGGTGTGGTGGGGGTTGAGGGGGGGGGGGGGTGTAGGTGTAGGAGGTGGATGGATGGGGGTGGGGGGAGGGTTGAGGGTTGGTGGTGGATGGGTTCCACTTTCTCCTGGTGCACCAACGCCCGGGGATCCGGGCATCGCATCGCAGACAGTCTGAGAGCAAAACCCCCACCCCCCACCCTGAGGAAGCCCCCCCTCCCCCTCCCTCCCTCCCCCACCCTGAGGAAGCCTCCTCCCTCCCTCCCCCCCTGAGGAAGCCCCCTCCCTCTCCCTCCCCCCACCCTGAGGAAGCCCCCTCCCTCCCCCCCACCCTGAGGAAGCCCCCTCCCTCCCTCCCTCCCCCCACCCGGAGGAAGCCCCCTCCCTTCCCCACCCCCCACCCTGAGGAAGCCCCCTCCCCTCCCTCCCCCCACCCTGAGGAAGCCCCCTCCCTCCCTCCCCCCACCCTGAGGAAGCCCCCTCCCTCCCTCCCCCCACCCTGAGGAAGCCCCCTCCCTCCCTCCCCCCCACCCTGAGGAAGCCCCCTCCCCTCCCTCCCCCCCACCCCACCCTGAGAAAGCCCCCTCCCTCCCCCCACCCTGAGGAAGCCCCCCCCTCCCTCCCCCCCACCCTGAGGAAGCCCCCTCCCTCCCCCCCCCACCCTGAGGAAGCCCCCCCCATCCCTCCCCCCCACCCTGAGGAAGCCCCCTCCCCTCCCCCTCCCCTCCCCACCTCTTTCGATCTGCGCGATCAGCTCCCGCAGCAGCAGGGCCGGGCGCCCCGCATCCCCGAGGACCACCAGCAGCGAGGCTTTGTGCGGTGGCTGCATCCCGGGGCTCGGCTCCCCCTCTCCCTGTCGCTGCTGCTGCTCCGCCATCGCCCCCTCGTAATCCTCTCCTCCTCCTCCACCACCGCCCGCAACGTCACCGGCTTCGCCCCGCCCCCTCCCTGCCCTGAAACCCCGCCCCCCTCCGACGTCACAGCCAGGGACACGCCCACCGCCTCGCCGCCAGCCAATCGGCAGCGAGAACTCGCCCCCCCCCCCCCGCCACTTGTATCCGTTTCCATTCAAACCGGGATTGGCGGGAAAAGAGCATCTCTACTCATTCCCCCCCACCACCACCATTCAAAAAAATAAACACCCGCCCATTTCCGGGTTGTTTTTGTTTCTCTTCCCCCCCCCCACCCCACCCCACCTCCCCCCCCCCACCCCACCTCCCCTCCTCGGCCCTTGTTCCCACACTTGAAATCGATAGTGATTCATAATAATAATAATAATAATAATACGACAATTTGGGTCACTCCGTCCACTCCTGTGTGTGTGTGTGTGTGTGTGTGTGGGGGGGGGTGGGGACACAGGGGGGGGGGGGCAGGCGCTGCCGTGCGCAATTGGCCCTCTGCGCTTTGCCCGCAAGATATACAGCCGAGTCGCTTCGCAGTCTATCCCGTGAAGCGCTTCGAGACGTCTCGAAGACGCGATAAGGCGCGGTATCAAAGGCGAGGGTTATTATTACATCTCCACCCCCCCACTCGCGCGCGTGCACAACAACAGAGCGGCCCTCACACAGGGTAGTGTCCCAGAGCACTTCACAGTAGCGATGCTGAGCTGGGGGGTGGGGAGGGGGGGTGGGGGGGGGGAGAGAAGTAACCATAAGATACCAAATCTCCACATTTTAATTATAATCCTTATGCTATCAGAGGTCCTGACAAGTTCAGTGTATGTTCCAGACACAACCTCCCACAAAACAGCCAAAAAATTGGGTTTTGTTTTAAATCACGAGGATTCTTTGCCAAGTCACAGGGGGGGGTGGGGGGGGGGGGGAACAGCACTATTCAAATAGTTCCAAGATACCTCCTCCATAAGACAGCAGTTCCCCAGACACCATATTAGGGCTTCACCCATAACAGTGAACTCAAAGTCCTAAGGTTGGGCTTGAACCCACAGCCTTCTGACTCAGAGGCTACTGCTCCTCAGAGGATAATGCTACCTACCGAGGCAGGTGACACCAATCTTGTTTCATTCCACCATCTTCCCAGGGAAACCTGTTCTACTACATTTACTACTTGATTCCAAATAATTTACAGCATTGGTAACTTTTTGTCCTTTTTTTAAAAAAAACAAAGATGTGCACAAGATGTGCAGTTATGCCATTAGAAATATTTTTAAAACAACAGTACAACACATCCAGAGAATTCTGTAGTTCCCAGACCTGCTATTTTATATTTCATCTCTTATGCCTTAAAACAGTCGAATTATTATTATGCTAATTACTATAACAGGACCATAGAGGTCATTTTTGGTAATTTTAATCTTCAAACAGTCCTAAACAACAGAATTTCTACGTTTCCAATTTTTTAGTCTCTATTTCTCTTCATTCCCAATGCTCTCTTGACCTCTTGGAGAGCGAATAATGTACTTAATTTTCCATTATTTCTTACTTTTAGGTCATGTTTTATTTGCTGCATTGAACTTTTAAGTTTAGTTACCTGTCCTCTGCCTCCAAGGTCCATTCGGGAAGCGGGGGAGGGGGGAGGGAAAGGGGACATGTGTCTATTATTTAAGTTCTGATTACCTGAAAAATACCTAAAAGACCTCTTTCCAACCAATAGGACACCAGAACATGTGACTTGTTAGATCCGATTGGATTGCTAAGTGATGGGAGTCAAATTTATTCCATTTTTTTCAAACCAACATTGGAAGATCCAAATGCTCAACAAGTCACTGTCAGGCAGAGACAGAAATGAGAACACATTAATAGCAGAAGGAGGTCATCTGGCCCATCCATCTGGTCTGTGCTTGTGTCTGGCTCTTCAACATCCATATCTCTTGGTCCTGTTTTTTTTTCCCCATCCACTCTAATGTTATCTGAGTTTGCTGCCAGGGCAGTTGGTGGAGGTCTAAATGTTCAATGCATTTCGCAAGTTCAATTAGTTTCTGGGAGCAGGAGGTGCTGTTACCAGAGAGGGCACCTGATGGCCAAAGTATTGAGGTCCTACCCTCAGTCCTACTCCAGGGAAGACTTCATCTGCAGCTCTGGAGTCATTCATTGAGCTGTTGTGGGCAAATAAATGAAGTGCCCCTTCTGCTGGTACAGGCGTGGAAGTGCTTGAGCTGTGCAGTGTTGGGTCCCCTCACTGGTTGAAGGGAGATTTTGCAGTTAAGTGCCCCATTTAGTGGCAGAGTAAGGAACTATTTAATAAAAGCACCGAGTGCTGCAGAACGTAATACCAACAATCCTTGCATTTGATAGAGCGCCTTATCACATCGCCGAGGTGCCTAAACAGAATATACTGTCAAGTGAATTGACTATGTTTTGTAGGAAAAACGCAGCAGTCAATTGTACGCGGCATCGTCTCACAAACAATCATGGACTGAGTGAGCAAATTTTTTTTTTTTTTTTGAACAGATTATTACCCACGAAAAACATTTCGCCAAACGATAACAACCACATTCCTACATATTGCTCGTTGATGCTCGTTTCCTAGACCTCAGTGAATCTAACTATATTTTATTCGGATAAGCTTTGTGGTTCCCTCCTCAGTTCCCAGTCAGTTGTGTGAACTGCTTTGAGTTCAGCAATAAATTGAAAAGAACACATTGGGTAAACATTCCTTTTGAAAAGTAAGTGTTGCTTTGTTATTTAATAATAATCCCTCCAAAACCAAAAACAATAATAAATTGGTCATTTTCAATCTACGACTGTTTGTGGGTCATTGCTGTGCGCAATTGGCTGCCGCGTTCGCCCACAAATATACAGTCAATTCACTTTACAGTGTGTTCTGTGAAGCGCTTTGGGACGTCCTCCCGACGTGAAAAGCGCTATATCAAATGCAAGGATTATTATTATTATTATTATTATTTACTTTACTTGATTCAACTCAGGTTACAAGTACCTACTCTCTACTTTGTATCTGTTCCCATCCGTTAGCCACATTTAAACAACAACAGCTTTGTAGAGCGCATTTCACGTCAGGAGGACGTCCCAAGGCACTGGACAGTCAGTGTTTCGGACCCGAGCTGGGGATTGGGATCGGGGGGGGGTTCAGTCATTCATTCACTTACCTCTTAACAAGGCACAGAAAGGAAACCATTAACAAAGTTGGAAGGCGGTTCATAACACACGGCCTCCTTGCTGAGGAACAATGCAGATGACCGACTCTCTTCCCATCCAACCCCTTCTCATCCATTTCAGATTGTCCCAACCCCTTCCATTTTGTCGATTCTAACCAGTTCCTTCCCATTCATTATGATTGCACGACATGTCCGTGCCATTGCCATCCATTTTAATCCAACATCCAAGTTGCAAATTCTCTATTCTTTATTGGAGTTTAAGAAAAGTGTCTGTAAATACCAATATTTACAATTGTGTACAGATTTCCGAACAATCAAGGAGTCGCATTGTGATGGCTCTCAGCCTCTGGCTCAGTGGTGCACAGGATGCTTCCGACAAATCTATTTACACCTGTACAGCTCAGTAGAAGCCGCTTGTATTTAAACATGAAAGCATATTGAAAGCAGTCGTTACACAGCTGCAGTAGCACGACCTTCCCGCTGGGAGCGCCGCCGAGCATTTAATCACCCGCAGCTCCCAGAGGTACAACAGCTCTCCTGTACGCCAGCGCCTCCTGGTGGCAATGCACCCACCTGCTGTGGATTGATCAGAGCGCCGCTGGCCGGTACAGGGGGGCACTGCAGGTCCCCTCATTCCATAATTTTCTTGGCCTCAGTTAATATTTATCATTGGCTGTCATTTTTTTTTACTGTTATGGGCCACGGACATTCTTTGAGCTTTGCTGGAGTCTGGTTAAGCGCACAGACGCTCGTAAAGTGCATTAAACGCCGATCATTTAACATTAATACTTTTTTTTAAAAAAAAAAAGTTTTCCGCATCTCGTTTGCCCACTTCATTGCGGATTCTAACCCACCTTTATCTCGTTGATACATCACAGCGCATTATATAGTGCTTACTAAATTATGAGCGGTGCCGCCTCACACTATTTGCCACTCAGAGATACCCCGATGGAACCAGAGCTCCATAAAACGATACGGTCCAGTAACTGAAATGGTACCAAGAGAACAACAATGCATCTCTGCTTCAACTTTCACACAAGGTGAGCCGCTCAAGCAGATACCTACCCAGCAATGTGTCACCCAGAGAAAATCTTCATTTACTCCACTGAAGAGATCAGACGCCCGACGAAAACACGAGTTTCTGCGATAATGCAAATAACATCTAAGCCTAATCCACCCCTGGCCCAGCCAAAATGAGTGCAAGCTCAGTTTTTTGCTCTGGTTTAAATTAGTTACGATTTGCCAAAGTTATCTTTTTTGAAAGAGTTCCGCTGCGTAATTTTTTTTAATGATATTTTCAAAAATCGCTGGGATTTTTTTTTTTCCTCCTCCTCTCTTTCTTGATGCATTATTTACATTGGTTTCACCAAAAGGAATGGAACCCAACAGACCCACGCGGGGAGATGACACAGGCCATCACTGAATAGGCCATCTGGGTCTCCGCATCTCTGGGTTCATGGCTGCTTCAGTCCGGCCTTGTTTCAAACCCTTAAAGACAAGAAGATTGATTTCAGATATAAATCAACATTCTTTGTCGGGTGGAGGTCTCGGCTAAACATTCTGAAACATCACTAAACAACAATAACTTCAGAGGAGAAAAACGGAAAGTTTCACAAAGGAGCGAACATTTCCATTTGTGAAAGATGTAAATTATTACAGTGAGTAGCGTAGATGCATAAGAATTTCTAAGCGAAATCCTAGCAGTTGCATGACAAATCATGTCCCAAATATGTAATGGAACTTGTAATCCCAAATGGATTGTAATGGATTGAGTCACACATTGCTTCAGATGTAGTTTTGTAAAGCAAGAGGGAAATTGAGGAGAATCAAAGTTAGTGGAAAACCTAATAGTTACAGCAAGGATATCCCTCTTCCCGCAAGAAGCGAGTTATCCGATACCTTGAGGAGCTAAAATAAGATGACAGTCCAGAATTTGCATCATTGGGTTAAAGCCTGGGAAGGTCAGAATATAAACTAAACGGTCACATACCAGATAGTATCCAGTGTGATAGCCACTTATGTACCAAGCTATCAGCAGGCTCATCAGGGCACCATCTTCACTGAGGTCTGGGCTGAATAGGTGAGCTGGAGGAGGAAGAGGAGAGGTCTGTGGGGGAGGGAGGGGCAAAAGAGATTGAGATCTATTAAATTAGATAATTACCTACTCTCCCTGCCCACCACCCTCCTGATCCCACCCCCCAGCTCGGGTCCAAATCCCTAACTGTCCACTACCTTGGGACATTTTTTCTGACATGAAAGGTGCTATGCAACTGTAATCTGTTGTTGTTGTCGTTAATTCATCCCAGTGAAAACTCAAAACAACAAGAAAAATAAAACAAGGCAGGGACAGAATCCCACCAATTAATGCAATTGACATTCCACTCGAGTTTATAGTTGGATTGGATTAAACCTCACGTCACTCCCAATTGTCTCATTGCAACTTATTTCACTTCCCATTTACACTACAACAAATTTAAACCCCATTTTGGCACAAACCTGGACATTGCTGTATCGAGGCATCAGGGGGGGTGTGGGTGGCTGTGTGATGGTTTGGTTGTGGGTGTAGGTGTGATTGTGGGTGGGGGTCTCGGGGGGTGTGAGTGGCTGATGTCCATGGTAGCGAGACTCTTGCAAGTGATGGTGCCAGCGTTTCTCTTTGAAGATGTCTGCTCTGCACATAGGGGAGGTATTCTCCCAGTCTCCTGTCAATGAGCCTCTCTCCACCACCTGCAGATAGAAGCAAGGGATCATAGACTATATGGGCAGAATGAGAGCCCTCCCTGACCCTTCCACACAACTCCAGCCAGACAAACTCACTCCTTGAAATAGAGCAGTTGTGATCTCTCCCTCCCACCCCTTCCAGAGATAGATTGTTGGAATGGAATATGCTCTCTCTCTCTCTGCCAGGAGGGATGCATCCTGCGGACCTAACTCCAGAAAGTATTAGGTGCAGGTTGGCAAGAGGCAACACTTGGGGAGCTCAGAGTGTGCGTTGGGGTAACTGCTGAAGTCTAAACACTAAAACCACATAGTTTGCCATTGATATGGTTGTCTGGCAAGCTTTCCCACTGCTTGTCCAGCCAGGGCCACCCAACCCGGGTGGAGCTTTGGATTGCAAAGGCAGTTACTTTTACCTCCAGTGGACAAGTCACCCTCTGACGTCAGGGACCGAGTTACGTCTCTCACCTGTTCCTCGAGACTCTCACTCTCCTCGGGCAGCAGCTCTGACAGGCTCTGCTCCTCACGGTTGCCGTACCCATGGTACAGGACGGTGCAGGTCTGTTTGCCGATGTTTATAGACTGGATGGTGGCGGCGTAGATGATGCCGTCTTCGGACCACCTGGCCCGGCAGCGATCACCAACTTCCCAACATTCCCACTGAATGGAGGAAGGAAAAAGGTCTCAGTTCCATTGAGTCATAAGAGTCAATTATAGTAATAATAATTTCAATTGATATAGTGCAATTGATATCATGTCGTTGTGACGTCTCTAAGTAGTTCACAGAATACATTGTAAAGTGGATTGACTGTGTGTTCTGTGAGCAAAACGCGGCAGCCAATTCAAGCCATTAATGATCATTTTCTTCTCCATCCTCATCCGAGTTCCCTACCGAGCTCTGGCTGATGAGTTGCATTGGCTTCATTCCCAAACTCTTCCAAAATTCTGGAACCCACAACAGGTCAGTCAGCACCTCACAGAGGACCTTTATTATTATTATTATTATTAACTACCTGGATCTCTGGCTCACCAGGTCACTCTTGGTCTGTGACACCACATCAACCGCAGGCGTTCTCATTCGCCCAATTTTTTAACCGAGTTACGCCTCTCACCTGTTCTCCGAAGTTCTCGATCTCCTCGGGCAGCAGCTCCGAGAGCCTCTGCTCCTCCCTGTTGCCATATCCGGTATAGAGGACGGTGCAGGTCTGTTTGCCGATGTTTATGGACTGGATGGTGGCACTGTAGATGATGCCGTCTTCAGACCACCTGGCCCGGCAGCGATCGCCCACTTCCCAACATTCCCACTGGATGGAGGAAAGGAAATGAATTTGCATGAGGAACACAGGAACTAAACAAAAGAGGGACAAATCGCTCTGGGGGGGGGGGCGGAACAGTAAACATTACGCCAAAGTGACTAGCAAAGTGCTACACATATCACTTCCCCCTCATATTATTCTCAAAAACAATGCATCCGGGTGTCAAGAGTGAAGCAAGCTGATTTGTTGCCAATGTTCCTCAGCGCCTTATCAAGTCATTGAGACGTCTCCAAGTGCTTCACAGAATTAACTGTAAATTGGCTTGACTCTGTATTTTGCTGCTGAAGGACAACAAAAACACTGAGTTTTATTCAATGGTCACTGCCCACTGCAAATTCTCCCAACGGCACAGTCGCAGTTACTTATGTCCACGTCTTGTAGTCAGTCACCCACTGACATCACAGTCAAAATACAGTCAATCCTCTTTACAGTCTCAATGACGTAATAAGGCGCTTTATCAAATGCAAGGATTATTATAAACATGGTCCGAGATGCTACCCCTTTGTGAAGGGCGCTCTATACACAGAAACCTCTTGTGGTCACACACTGACGTCAGGGACCAGGGACTGAAGTTACGTCTCTCACCCGTTCTCCGAAGCTCTCGCTCTCCTCGGGCAGCAGCTCCGACAGGGTCTGCTCCTCCCTGTTGCCGTAATCGGTGTAGAGGACGGTACAGGTCTGTTTGCCGATGTTTATGGACTGGATGGTGGCTGCGTAGATTATGCCGTCTTCGGTCCACCTGGCCCGGCAGCGATCACCCACTTCCCAACATGCCCACTGGACGGAGGAAAGGAAACACATTGGGTATTGAGGCAGCCGAGATAAACAAGCGCTCCCTTTGGGCAGAGAAATTTAACCTCCATTTAATTTGGTTGAATATTACAGTTTCTTATGGTCTCGGCTCAGGGAATCCCTTGCTCACATGCGGTGGCTGTGGACTTCATTTGAAATCTCGGGTCTTTAGAGATTCTGCAACACTGAGGTTGCGATCTGAAGACGGACAAAACGCATAAGCGAGTCCTGGCTCAGAGGACTCACTCGCTGTGAGATTGACGTCGATTGACATACCTGTGGCTGGGCGACAGAGTTGACATTCAGGCTGTCCGCACGGGTTGATCGAAGAATAGTTTCTGCAATTACTTCCTCCTCCGGCCCCGCCCCCTCATTCTTGGGCCCCGCCTTTGTCACTACCCCCTCACCCTCTGGCCCTGCCCCTTCATCCTCCTGCCCCACCTCTGTCACTGCCCCCTCACCCTCCGGCCCCGCCTCTGTCACTAACCCTTCATCCTCCGGCCCCACCTCCTCTGCCATCCCCTCATCCTTTGGAATTAGCCCTACCTCCTCCCCACTTGTCCCCGACTCCACCAACGCCCCCTCATCATCAATCATCATGCCCTCTTCCTCTGGCACTGGCTCCACCCCCTCAGCATCTGTCCCCACCTCCATCAGAGCCCCCTCATCATCCATCACTGGCTCCTCCCCCGAAACATCTGGCTTCACCTTTGCCACCGTCCCTTCATCGTCTGGCACTGGCTCCGCCCGCTCACCATCTGGCACTGGCTCCACCTCCTCCTCATCTGGCCCCACGTCTGCCACTTCATCCTCCAGCACTGGCTCTGCCCCTTCATCATCTGGTCCCGGCTCTGCCCCTTCACCATCTGCCCCCGGCTCTGCCCCTTCACCATCTGGCCCCGGCTCTGCCTCTTCACCATCTGGCCCCACCTCCAACCTCTCGTCGCCCAGCTCAGCTGCATCACCAACCTCATTGCCTAGCTCTGCCATCACCTCCTCATCACTGGGTCCTGCATCCTCATCGCCTAACCCCACTTCTACCTCCACCACTTCACTGTCCGACACCACCTCCAGCCCTTCATCAGCCAGCTCCACCTCCACATCCCCATTGACCAGCTCCGCTTCCTCGTTATCCAACCCCGCCTCCTCATCACCCTGCCCAACCTCTGCCCCTTCAGCATCCGGTTCCATCAGTCCTCCATTGTGGAGCTCTGATGCAGTTCCCTCATCTTCTGCCTGCACAGGCAATAGTTCACCATTATTCAGTTCCATCGTTCCACCAGCCACCCTAAAAAGAATACAAGACTGGGTTTGATAGATTTCTAAAGGATAGAGGGATTAAGGGATATGGGGATAGGGCGGGTAATTGGAATTAGGTTAAAAGCCATGATCTTATTAAATGGCGGGGCAGGCTCGAGGGCCAAATGGCCAACTCCTGCGACTTATGGTCTAATACACGGTCGCTAAACTCATCTTGCCATTTGTATAGTACCTTTGATAAAGGGCAATATCTCAGACTGCTTAACAGTGGCAGAGCCTGACACCGAGCTGGGAGGAGGGAGGAGCGGGGACGAACATGAAGGTCTTTAGTCAAAACCTAAAAAGAGGGGAAAGAGGATGCAAGGCGGGAGATTGGGGGAAAGAGAGTTCCAAAGCTTCGAATGCACCGAAAGTTATCTGCCAGACATCCAACCAAATCCTATACACGCTCAATTATAAACTTCTGGCAAGCAAGATGCACACACATACAGACGCACAACTCGTATAGTACAACACTCTGCACCTCTCATCTCATCATTTTGCAGAATAATGTACGATACATTGGAAAATGGATGTAGCCGGATTGGGAAGACAAACATCGAGACTGAATCCAACCCAAAAGTGTTGCACTCACACACATTCAGGGCTCCCACCCAATTGCAGCTCATGCATGCCTCACCCGTTGAGACTGGGGTGGGGGGGGGGGGGGGGGGGGATGTTTGTGAAGGTAAAAATACAATTCTGTATCAACATAAATGCAATGAACCCTCACCTCGAAGCACTGCCTGGCACATTGAAACTCAAGACCAATTGCCTACACTTTGCAGCAAGTTAATGTGCCTGTTACCTTCTCAGAGCTTTCCTGGAGGAGGGGGGGGGGGGGGGGGGAGAGAAAAAAATACTACAGTCTGTCGTCACAGAGCTCTGCCATCAATGCTGCAGTGGGGACCAGGAACACTGTGGAAGGTAAGAATGCTCTGGTCCCAGCAGTTGGGGTTGAAAAGACTCAATGGGATGAGTGGCTGGAGAGAAGCCAGGATCAGCTGTGCCTAACCACGTGGGAGCTGCGCCCGCGGTGGCCCCTGGGATGTGTAGTTGCGCGCGCCGCGCAGCCCGCTTTAAACCCGGTCCCGTGGAACTACAAATCCCGGCATGCAGCGCGCCCCTGCATCACCCAGTCCCCTCCCTCCACTGATACCCCACAGACTCTTTAACAACTTACATTATTCCTAATCATTGTTGCACGTGAATGGGTTTGGGTGGAGCACCTCCACTGTTTTCTGTTTTTTTTAATTTGAGATTTACAGTCTTTTTGGGGACTCTCCACTCGATCTATAATCTCTTCCCCCCCATATTGCTGTCAGTCAGTCATATTTCACATTATCCGGAATGCCAGATCCGCTCAATGGTATTGGACTGTCCGCACCATTCATTGGAAAGGATTGTTGGGATTGAGTCCACCCTTACCACCAAGCTTTGTGCTCCTAATTTAGACTGACCAATGCAGTACTGAGAGAGAGTGCGCTGTATTATCAGAGATGTTAAATTACGGAAAAGAATTACGGTTAACCAAGTATAGACGAGATGTTAAACTAAGGTTCGGTCCTTTAGCTCAGGTGAATGTAAAGATCTCATGTGACTACTTCCAAGAGTACTTGTTTCTCCCCCAGAGTCCTGACCATATTTTGCTCCCCGTCCAAATTCACTAAAATCTAAGATTAATTAGACATTGACGATTACCAGCTTAGTGCTCTAACCACTAACACGCCTTGGGACGTCCTCCCGACGTGAAAGGCACTATACAAATGTAATTTTGGATTGTACTGTAAGCTGCAGGACTCCAGAAGACAGAAAGGAATAAACAAAGGATATAACAAGTGGGAATCACATATTTAAAGGTTTGCTTTATTTTCCAGTATAGCTTATCCAGATAGTTTCACATCTGTAAGGAAATGGTCACATTCTTTAACTCGTTCACTAGCAAAGACCCCCTTACTTCCCCACCCAAAAATATCTGGTATCGTTCCTAATACAGTTCCAGGAAGATCTCAGGTGGCACTTTTACTACAACTGTGCAGAAGTACATAACGGCTGCAGCCAAGGATATGATGGTTGCAAGCTGTACAGTGATTCAGTTAAAAGGAGTAATACAAAAATAGTAGGCACACATACGTTTTACTAATGACACCACTTACACAAAACAGAAGTGCAAGCAAAGCGAGAGCACAAATTTAGAAAAAAAATACAAACAGTATTTTACTAGAATCCTCATAACTCGCACCTCCAGTGGAACACACCTGATACACTGAGCTTTTCTTCCCACAAAGTGTCGTCTTCAGTGCTTCCTACGTCTGTGTGAGGTGTGACCTTCTGTCGATTTGGACTGAGATCTAGTAGTGTAAATAACCCATTAAGAACCGCAGAGGTCGATTGGTCAGGCAGAGTACCCCCTCCCACCCTGCCCTTTCCTCCTGTTGGCAGAATGTGGTAAAAGCCCCTCCCATTAATGGTCACTCTATGAGGTTCCATCTGTTGAAACCACCAAAAATATTTGGTTCATTTCCAGTGGCTATTAAATACTGGATAGTGATGATGGAGGAGAAAGTTGACATTGGTCGTTAATGAGACTACCGGCTCAGTCTCTGGGTACTTTATCTGCAACTTCCACTGTCTCACTCTGACAGATATGAACTGCCACGGTTGAGTGTTCAGATACTTACCTACCTTGGATTTGCAACACTCAAGGTTACCTAGAACTGCCTGGCAGTGAGGGAATGAAAGAACATGTGGTGTTGAAGTGGAGTCGGCTTGGTGAATCCTCAAAAGAAAATTGACATCTAAAATAGTGGAATATGTGGACAGATATTAAAAGTGTAGCATCTCTATCCTATAATAGGTCATCCTCTGACATCAAAACAACCAAAATATTTAAACCTTGGATATTCATTCAATTCCAAACAACATTTTGATTCCACCTCTCCAACCAGAGTGCTGGATTTCAATGTCACACAGTCAGCTTACCAGGTCACCAGGTGGAACAGACTTGCTTTTCGTGAACGTTCTACTATAAGCATTTAAGATTTACAGGCAATTTCACTTCCAAGAGGCATCCACCATGCTGTGCGGTCAGTGCGATAAAGACCACTCTCCACTTCTCTCTGGTTTCCGGAATTGCTGGTAGCAAGAGCCCATTGTTAACCTGAAACAAAGGGGGAAAAAAATCAGAAGAGACTTGGCTTATTTGGCTCCCATTTTGACCAATACAGCACAATTGACCACTGTTGTCGAAACAACTAAAAGAGAGATAAGCCAACAAGATGAATCAAGAAAGTGTCATTAGACAATGCCAATCTTCCCCTTAAAGAGCCTGTAGAGTGCATGACAAAGGTGGTTGGGGGGGGGGGGGGGGCAGAGAGGAAAATAATTCTGCAGCCTTGAAGTCCTGAGAAAGAATGAGTTGGAGTAGGAGGGCGTGCTTGCTGAACATGAACTCCTCTTACAAGGCAAAGGTTGAATCACTGAATTAATTCTTTTTAGAATTATAGCCAAGAATAGAGCTATATATGAATATGGAAACAGGAATATCTTCACGAAATTAATAATTATTAAGTCTTTCTCCTAACAAATCAATACCTACGGTTTCAGTTGAGACTGTGCAGGTGCTCCAGGAGCAAAAAGGAATACGCTTCAGAATACAACAACTTTTCAAAGGCAACTTAGTGCCTATTGCTGGAAACAGGTTCCAAAATGTGCCTCATACTGTCTACAGTGTCTTACGCACCTAGGATTTAGAGAGTTTGCTTCTGTAAGCCGCCGTCATTCGCTTGCGAAAAGTTGCAAACTCATTGTCCTCGTCCTGTGCCTCCTGCTTTGGCGTGCCAGAAACTCCCAGGCCTGACCGGTCTGATGACGTGACGCCTCTGTTGGAAGAGATGGAAGCCATGGGTGTGAGTTTTACATGAGTGGCCCCAGGGTTGGGCTCAGCAACCACCCTCCCCCCACCACCAAATCAGATTAATGCAACTTGAACTTGGACCAGACTGAATTGCTATAATAATAATAAAAATAATAGTTGCATTTGATATAGTGCCTTATCACGTCTCCGATGTCTCAAAACACTTCACAGAATATACTGTAAAGTGAATTGACTGTATATTTTGTGGGCTAAACCTAACCTATATGCTAACCTAACATAGCCCAGTCTTTCCTCGTTCCACTCCATACCTGTTGACGGGGTCTCTGATGCCCTGCTTGTCTGAGCCAAGCCCCTCTCCATCCTTCCAGCCCATCTTCTGTAGCATCTGGTAACCGAGGTTGTCTGTTGCCAGCTTGTTTCGAGTGTAATTTATGTCTTCGTTTTTCTTGAAGAGAAACACTCAGAATAAACTTTTCACCCACCAAGCTGGTCACCAAATCAATTTAACTGTGCAAGTGTCAGTGAGTATCCCCCTTGCGTTTAGTAGTGTCTTCTCTGAGGAGTATAAATTTGTGTTGGTGTAGTTGCATAGATGCCAAGTATCTATCAGTACCTCAACCAAGTCCACACCTGCTTCATGTGTACACGCGGAGGTGGGGAGAGGGACAGTGGTTAGGAATCAGGAGCAGTAGCCCAGCTACTCATTACCGTCTCCCCAATAAACAGCCCATTCTCCATGACAATGTGCATCACTGTATTCGCAGCCTAAACCAAGCCCTCTCGGTCTAGACACTGAAGTCCAGAAGAAAGCCCCAAAACAGAGACATCACCCCAAAACCACTTAATGTCTACAATCTTTTTTTAAATAAAGTAAACTTACCAATTTTTTCTTCTGTTTATTGTGTGCCAATTTGTCATATCCAATTCTCTTCAGCTCTCGAACTGAAACCATAGCAGAGGTTATGTTAATGCTGGCAAATAATAATATTAATAATCCTTGCAGTTGATACACCACCTTATTACGTCTTCGAGAAGTTTCAAAGCGCTTCACAGAATATACTTCAAAGTGAATTGACTGTATAATTTGTGGGCAAATAATAATCCTTGCATTTGATATAGCGCTTTTCACGTCGGAAGGACGTCCCAAAGCGCTTCACAGAACACACTGTAAAGTGAATTGACTGTAAATTTGTGGGCGAATGCGGCAGCCAATTGCGCACAGCAATGTCCCACAAACAGTCATAGATTGAAAACGCCAATTTTATTATTGTTTTTTGTTTTGGAGGATTATTATTAGGCTCTGTGTGGAGTAAGGAAACTTGCCCGAGGTTTCGCCCTCTGCCTGGAATTGAACTCAGGTCTCTCGCTTGCAAAGCGAGTGCTCTAACCACTGAGCTACAGGACTCCACGAGTACCTGAACTGTAAACAGAGAGTGAACTATTTGATCAGCCTTTTATTTTAAGTTAGGAGTCAACAGTGACTTTGCACTGTATTAGAATCACAGCAATAGATTGGGGACAGTGGAACAGTGGCCTGAAACTCTGCCGCTGTACCTTGCAGTCCCACAATATTCCGCCACAAGTATAAGCTTATATTTATCTCAGAACTTGACAGCATCATGCACATATAAACATTTGGTTGCTGCTCACCAGGAGACGGGGGTCCCACCGGACGGGCTTTCTTGGGTGGCAGCATACCCACTTTCAGCGTCAGCCCCTTTCGCTTCTTTGGCTGCAGGATGGACCGGACGGCGGACGCGGATGCAGTTTCTAAAGCAGGATCCAAGGAGGATTCCGGCATTTCAGATCCAATGCTGAACTCTCTCACCTTCTCTTTGTAGTATTTGTAGTAGATGCTGTTCTCATCGTAGAGGAACCTGTGGGCACGAAAAGGGCAGTGCTATCATCTCAGTTACATTTCATCACTGCTTGTTTAAGATCACCCATCTGCTTGGGAGTTTGATGCGATTTATGGTGAACTCATGGAAGGAGCCCAGTGAAAATATTCTTACCGGAAAGTGGGGTTATCCCGGTTATTTTCGATAGCAATTTCCTCCAGCCCAGGACCACATTCAGCCACAAACTTGGCCAGTTTCTCAGCAGTGATTCTTGTTTTAACATCTTCGTTGGCTTCATCTGCAATAAAGCAACTCAGTCAATTCCAGCCCACAGGCAAACCAGCTGCTGATTACAACGCACATTAATGCAAGAGCAAATGTCAACAGACACGGCCCCTAAAAGATTGGAGGGGGGGAACACCACCTCCTTCCTCGCTCTTTATTTTGCACTGAAATTGCAGCTCCTTTTCATCGCCGGGTACTCAGAATGTACTTACTATTTGCAACGCACTTCTAGATTAGCAGGAACAAGCCTACAGCAGCCAAGTGGTTAGTTACAATGAGTGGAAAGGATGGTGGTGAAAATAGGTGTTGTTTTTGTACCCTCCTGAATAACAATTACCTGTCTGTGTGGGGCAGGTAGGAGAGGCTTCAATCTTCACCAGCAACTGTGCTTGCAATCTGGCAGGAGTGTCATCTTCATTCTGCAGCAAGTCTTGTGTGTTTTTCTCGACACTTTCTGGAGATGCCTCTTCCATTGATGGCTCCTCTTCCTGTTTGGTGGGCTCTGGAGATTCCGGGCTCACATCAGTCTGGCTTGGCTCAGGGGTCTCCTTCTCTTTGCAGAACTCCGCCACTTTCTGCTTGTAATACTTGTGCTCGCTGCTATCCGTTTCAAATAAAAACCTGGCAATTAAAATGTGAGAGGGAAAAAAAACACACACTTCAGAGCTCGCTTGGTTTGCCTCAACAATCCCAGGCTCTATATTACCTGGAAGATGGAGGATAAGTGATGAGGGACGTCTTTCCGACATGAAGGGCGCTATACAAGGGTAACTTGTTGTTAGTTGCCAGTTCTCTGCCTACTCACGCACAGGTGATGATTGTGAGCACAAATAAGCTCACAAAACCAGAGGTTTTTTATGCAGCGAGTTGTTACCATCTGGAATGCACAGCCTGAAAGGGTGGTGGAAGCAGATTCAATAATAACTTTCAAAAGGGAGTTGGACATATAGTTTCAATGTACATGTGCTTACCCATAATTGGGGTCGTCTTTTTTGAACTGAACAACAACCTTTTCTGCTGCCTCCCCCTTTTCTGCCACAAACTTGGCCAATTTTTCAGCAATGATCTTAATCTGCTCATCCTCTGGCGGAGGCATGTTCTCAGTTTCTTTGGTCAGGTCAATAGGGGGAAAAGAGCTTTCCTCTGCCTCAGGTTTGGCGGCAATGTCTACTTGTGGAGGATCTTTGTCAGCCTCACTCTTAGCCTCAGGGTCCGGCTTATCATTCTCAGCTTTGCCCTGAGGGCTGGCATCTCCTGGCATTGAACCATCCTCTTCCCTGATCTGGGAGCCGGGTTCTTCCAGTGGAAGTTGTTCCTCTGCCTCCTTCCCATTACTGGTGTCTGTTGCTGGAGTTCCCTCTTCTGCCTGCTTGCTGGGCTTAACATCTGCTGGAGATTGGACTTAAACAAACCAAAACAGTTCAAGGCATCTCCAAGGAAAACACAGCTACCACAAGGTGGTAAAAATACTCACACAATAGAAGAATTTTGGAGGTAGTAAAGTAATTTTTCCCAGTTGACTCTGAACTCGATAATCCCACTCAAATGAATTAAATAATTAATATGTAAATTACACACAGATGGGATGAACAGTTTATCCATCTTAACTAGCTTCGGTACCCAACTAATGCTGAGAATTACCTGGCAAATCAATTCCTTTACCCTTAGCCCCATCTGCCTCCTTACATACTTTAAATCGCTGAAAATACTGAATGAGAATCTTCACTAACATGGGTCCATTAATTCAAACTGTCCTCACATAATTTGTCAACATGGAGGGGGGAGGGGGGGGATCAATTTAGCAATATATATTCATCACATCCTGAATGTGAGGGAGGTAAATGCCAGACTATTCTTGGCGTGGGTCAAGTCGGAACTGAGCAGATTAGAAATCGAACCTACCTTTATCACCATCTGCGGCATTGGGTGTTGATGCTCCAGCCTTCATCATGTTGTCGGAACTGTTTTTTTTTAAATGAAAAGGGGGCCCGTTCTTTCACAGGCCTTAATGGATTCCAACAGTGATTTACTTTAGAACATTGAAAGAGATAGAGGCAGAGTTTTGGCACTGGTCACAGTACCCAAATCCAAGATGTGCACATGTTTCCAGACCACAAACAAACCTTTAGGACATGACATAAACTGGAGCAGTACTTACTTTTTGATGGGTTGGCTTCAGATTCTGTCTTTGAATATTTCTCTTCTTTGACCACTGCTTTACTAGGACTAGATTCACAGATGTCTACCGGAAGGAGAGCAACTTTCTCCACTTTATTTCTCAGCTCATTCTCATACTTCTTCCCAAAAAGATGACCAGCTTCGAGATTTGGGACATGCTCGTATTCTGGAGCCACGGAGATCAGCCCAGTCTTCCTTAGCACATTCACTCTCCTTTCCTGGCTGAGGAAGGCAAAGGTTTGGCCAATAAGCACCATGGCTTGCCGACAAGCCATGACGGTGCTCTCGAGTGCGTTGCTGAGTTCTGAGGGCTTTGTTGGTTGGAGCTGGACTCATAGCTGTTGCACGCTCCCAGCAGTGGGCCGAGGGATTCCAAGAGTTGCCTCTGGATCTCCTGCAAGAGTGGTTCTTCATGACCTAGAACTTTATCCAAATCTTTCCTACTTGTGATAACGCTCTTCTCTCGGAGCAGGTTCACAAAAGAGTTATCTATCCTGGGGCACTTGAGGCCTAGGCGTGCCGTTGTTGCTAACCGACAGGAATCTAGGTGCTGCTTTGTCATTAAGCACTGAAATGACCTAGCTAGCTTAGAACAAGCATCTGTGTTGGGGTTACATTTAGATTTACCAGAATGCTCAAAAGCAACGCTTTGGAAACCGGCCCATTTTATCATCTGTTGTCCCAGTTCTGTTTGAGTGGCTGGGGCAGCAGATGCATTTCCTACCGACTGTGAAACTGGAAGGTTTTTCTGGGGGGCTGTGGGCGTGCTGGATGTGGTCGTTGCCACTGAATCAGCATTGCCTCTGCCCTGAAAGCCACGCTGGCCTGAAACCTTTGGGTGCTCAGGCCTCTGCCTTCTTGCACCCTTGGGACGTCCGAGGAAAGAACGGCCTCGCCGGTTTGACCCCCCCCGGTTTTGACAAGGAAACTGCCGCTGGTTCGTGCCAGGGTGAAAATTCTCGGCCTCGTGGAACCCTTCCATTGGTAATTCTGTCCGATAAACGGAAGAATCCACTGGAGAGGAGTCTCTGGGAGGATCTCTCCAGGATGGGGGAGGGGGATCATTTTTCAAACGTCGAGCATTAATGACGTTACTTAATATTTTGAACAAATCATCATCACTTTTGTCAATGGGGCTCTCAGATCTGGGGTTTAATCCCAGATCCCTGTTCTCACTACCAGGGCTCCAGGGTTGCCTGTATTCTTCTGGGTGTCTTAGTTTATCATCGGGATTTGGGGATCTCATGTATGATCTTTGATTGCCTCGCTCGCCGGGACTTTGGGATCTCCCATAGAATTGATGGTCTCTTGTGTCGTCAACCGGACTTTGAGATCGCCAATCAGGAGGGTCTGCTTGTCTTCTATACAATTCCGGAGGACCACCAGGGCTGACTGATCTTCTGTAGCTCCTAGGTCCCCTCCTGCCATTGTTAGAGCTCATTGATCTTTCATATTGTCCACGGCCCCCACTGAATCCATCAGGGCGTCTTGACTCATTGTAGTGTAAAAAAGAACCATCTCTCTCATCCTGATCCAAAAAGTTTTCTTCTGTAGAGTAGTAATCATCGTGATCATCATAAAATCTTCTATTATCTTCATGAGATGTCTGTGTCCGAGCCCCGAAATTCCCCCACCTCTCTTCTCTGTGAGAAGATTCATAGTCATCAAAGGGCAGATCTTCATATGGTTTATATTCCTCATATGAATCCCTGGGATATTGCCTGGATGGATAGTTGAGTAATTCTTCAATGGAAGAGGGGGGGAGAAGGAAGAAAAAGAAGGTTTAGCTTTTCTCTTATTAGAATTCAAATAAGTTATGTTTAAAACACAGCATATTTCAACACCTACTACAGGGAAGATAGCAGAACATTGCTGGGACATGCTGATGACTTTGTCACTATGATTAGAAAAATGTGAGTGATTTAGAAGCACAGTATGTACCCAACTGCTTTTGTAAAATCTGCCCAACCAGAGACATAAGCGATGAAAAGCAGGAAGTGTCTGTCTTCAGGAAGGCCTTAAATGATGAATCATCAACGCAGAAGCCATTCTGTCCTTTGGCACTGGAACCTTTACATCAAGTGGCGAAGAAGAATTAAAGAGATGGCGCGTCACTGCTGACACAAGGTGCAGATTGTTTGGGGAAAGCCAACTGAAGAGTGAGATGCAGAATAGCTTTGGGCCGAGTTTTAATTTTTCTTATCTGAAGAGCTTGTTTAGTAGACAATGTCAGGTACCATGAATGGCTCCTGCTTTGAGATTTACATAAGCAATCACTGTGTATCTACAAAAGTGCCAGAAATTGGCTTGAATTCCTTCTTAAAACAATTCCCTCTCCATTCCCTTACACTGCTGAAGGCACTGAATTGTGCTGGGCTGGTATCCTAAGTAGTTGATAGCAACCTACATCCACCATATTCAGGATCAGTATAAATCTTCCATTGTACAATAAATAGAAGGAATCTGTAAATACCTGTAGGAGAGATCGGGTGATGGGAGGGATGGAAGAAGAGAAGAGGCAGAGATGACTTCGGTTTCACCTGTACCCAAAGTGGAATAAGGGTAAGGAGCTCCATGCTATATAATTCCTAAATGTCCAGAAAAATGCCATCAGGTTTCCTTTCCTCTTCTCGCAGTGGTGAAGGTCAGAAAGAACAAATCATATCTCTACAAATGGCTTGGCAGGCAGGAAATTATCAGAGCACCTCTCCTGTGTCCACAAAGGTCTCCTTGGGAGTGTGTTTGATAAAAACGGCAACTTGGAAAAACAAGTAGTGGTGGCACAGACATAGTGGGTCAAACATCCTTCTGAAAAAACTCTGTTTCAGTCTTGCAGCAAGAGCATGTCCTATTCCAAGCCAAAGTAAACCCTGCCGGTTACACTGGGTTTTATCTAACATTTGAGACAGATTAAAGTATTTCTGAATCTGGAACAGAAAAATATTTCCTTAGCTGCCTGGCATACCAGTGAAGACAGCTGCAGAGAATACCTTCGTAATGGCTTGTTTGCTCAGCAGAAGGGCAAGAGACTACATTTCCACTCTGAGATCTCTTGCCGGTTTTGTCCCATATGCTCTCCCAACGATTCACATTATGATTTTGAAAGTATGCTTTAGCATAGTGAAGTCAAAGCAATAATTGATAGTCTTTAAGCAGAAGAGCACCATGCAGCTGGAAAATGGTTTCCAATGGAGGAGTTTATAATGACAATTCTATCGGTAACAATGTGTCAAGCTAAAATAGATTTTAAAATCCCTATTCTCATAAGCAAAAGTTCTTAAGTACAGGGTTCTCTCTACTCTGCATAAGATGCCATTTTAAACATGTGCAAGTTGAGGAAACAACAGGTGCACTCTAACCTATTTTACCAGGCAAACATTCCAAAGGCATATTTAGTGTAAAGGATTTAAAAGCAGAGGAACATAAGAACCACTTGGGTAAAGGACAAAGTGACCTTAACCTTTTAAACCATGGCTACGAAGGCTGTCCGAGAGTAGATCCAAACATAATCTTGATGCCATTCCATTCTGTGGATCATCAAAACATCTAGGAACGGCTAAATATAATACCAGGTAAAAGATGACCGGGTGTAAAATCTTCGGTGCTGTAATTGAAGTCCGTTCTGCAGAGCAGGGTAGATTTGGGGAATAAAACTTTATACTGAATAAGAACACAGGCATCAACCAGGACACAGAGGCAATATCTCGGTAATTAGGAAGAGACGAAAACATAAACACAAGGATTTGCGCTCAGTTATGAGAAGCACAACAAGTAGCAGCGAGAGCAGCACCTGTTAACCACGGATCGATTCACGAAGAACCTACTGTAATCGAAGAAACTTCGATTTAAGGGCATCTTTGTTTGTTGAAGCAGGCAGTGTGCAGTGGGGGGGGGGGGAGGAGAGGGGGGGGCTGCTGAAATTGGAATGACATTACCCCCTTTACACCCAGGCCACATTGGTTACTGTTCAGAGGGGACAGGAGGGAGGGTGTCCCGGGGGGGGGGGGGGGGGGGTTTTAGAGAGAGACTGGGCATCAAGTCTCCCCCTTAGGGGGTCGGTCCCCCTTCACATGCACATAAGCTCTCGTTGCCATTGGTTACCACCCACACAGGTCCAGGGCATTCCCCTGAGGGACCAGCAAAGCTCTGGCTGCTGCCAGCGCCCCGGGGGGGGGGGGGGAGGAGAAGAGGCTCAAACCCCTTGCTCTCAGTCTGAACCCCCCCCCCCCTTCCCCACAACCCCCACTTCAGTCCAGTCATGACCCCCCCCAGTCTCTACCCTCATCCACTGAAGCTGAGGGTGGCTCTCACAGCCCGGGCCTGGCACAGTGCGGGGGCAGGTTGAGCAGCCGCTCCGGCGGCGCTGTCCCGGGGCCTGTCCGAGTGCTGCCGCCATCGCCGCCGCCGCCTCCTTCTTTCTCTCTCTCTCTCCCCCCACAAAAGGCGCCCCTCATTCCTCCCCCTCAGCCCCACAAACCTGGACAAAACCTGTCCTCCATTGCTGCTGCCGCCGCCGCCGCCGCTCCCTCCGTCACTTCCGCCCTCTTGCCGGAAGTACCCTGCCCCGGTCATGGCGGCCCGTCTCGTCCGCGTCGAAGGAATCCTTCGGCGAACGTCCCGTCGCTGGAGCGTTTTTTTTTAATTAAACCCCCCCCTAACCCCCTCCGCAAATCAAACTCGTGCATATTCCCTAATAGCTGCCCTGTGTTTTATCTCCTCCCCCCCCCCCCCTTACAACCTCCTCCTTTCGACTGACAGGGTTTGTAGTTCTTCCCCCCGGTTCGGGCCCCGCCCCTCCCTGGCCGTTTTGCCGCCCAAAAAGAGACTACAACTCCCGGCGTGCCTCGCTGGCGCGCCGGCGGGCTGGAGGCGGGGTCGCCCCGGACTTCCGCCCGGGGTGACAGTTGAGCCTTGATCGTGACGGAAGTGATGTCAGTGGGCTATGAAGCCGCGGCGATGGAGGGCGACGCAGGTTGGTGCTGGGAAAGGGAAGGCTGAGGCTGTGAGGGGAGAGGAGGAGGAGTGGGGGGCGACCGACGTCCCTCCAGAAACAGGGACATCCTCTCTCTCCCTCTCTCTCTCACTGTTCGCTGTGCCTCGGCAGCTGGAAGGCAAAAGTAATCCCAAATGTCGGGCTGGATTTCAGGGGTAAAGGGGGGTAAAGGGGATTGGCCTCAGTTTGGGGCCCCCCTCCCCTCCCCTCCCCTCCCCACTGCCATCAAAAGCAAACACACCAGGGCCTCCTTCAGCGTCTTGTTTCTTTTTTGTTTGCATCTTCTCCCCCCCCCCTTCCCACCCTCTCGGTCGATCCGCGACTGCCGCCCGCCTGACCCGCGACCCCCCACTCCCCTCCCCACCACCCACCGACCCGCCTCGCGGCGCGTCCCGTCCCGCCGAGCGCTTTTGAGACGCCCCCTCCCAACCCGCGCGCGCGCGACGGGACGAAAGGCGCCGTTATTCGAGGGTCCAGGCGCCCTTTCCTCGGGAGCCCCGGAGCTCAGCGGTCAGAGCCCTCGCCGAGCGAGCGAGAGACCTGGGTTCGATTCCCGGCAGGGCAAAACCGTGGGCGAGTTTCCTTGCTCCCCCCCCCCCCCACCGCCTGATCGTAATACCTAAGGGAAAGAATAATAATTCGGCCGCTCAATCCACGGCTGTTTGGGGGGAACGCTGTTGGCTGCTGCGTTTCGCCCACAGAAGTCGATTCACTTCACGGTGAAGGGCTTTGAGACGTCTCGAACATGTGATAAGGCGCTATATCAAATGCAAGGGTTATTATTATTAAGGATTATTATGGGTGTGCGTCCCCCGGGGATCACTGGTAGGGAGACACTGGTTGCCAAGGCATCAGCTTCCTTATTAATAAGCATTGCAGGGATCATAACGATCATGGTGCAGGAGGAGGCCATCGATCCTGTGGTGATTGTACCTCAAGCTGCCTATTTTGTCTCTGCAACATAAATGCATCTTGCTTTCTCAAACATGTTTGTAATCTGTACCATTTTTGACAACTGGAAACAACTCAAAGATGCTATTCCTAACACTAATCCAGTTTCTGTTTTCTGAGGCAGTCAGTGAATCATCAACTCTTTTGGAAGATGGAGGTGAAACATGTGTTAAATGAGCCGATTCAGGAAGGTGGGTGGTGGGGTGGAGAGGGGGAAAGAGTAAGTAGGTACTACATCCAAGAAAGATCAACCAGGATGTTTGGTACTGAATATTGATGATTGCTGCTAGATTGTATGGTACGCCTTGACATTTGGTGAGGACAATTGCGGAGTAGCTTTCCGATGCTCACTGTGCAGGCACATGCAAGGAAGCTGATTGTTTGAGGCTCTTACATAATATTCACCTAATTTCTAACTAAGATTATTTTGTAAAGTAATTTTAACTAGAGCCATTTCTTTTACGTGAAACGTGCTAAACAATTGCAAATTGTTGGAGTCGCTGCTATCACATATAGAATCGTGCCCGGTCTTCTTCAGGAGAATGGGAAAAAGGAAGGAAAACAGGAAAGAAAAAAAATACTTAGTTTCCTGTAAAACAGTTTGTTTTGACCAATTGGTAAGATCACAAAATCTGATATCAGATTAGGAGTGAACATTCACTTCATGTAAACAATAACAACAGGATAGCCCATTGGTAGGATGTTTCAAAGCAATCCAAACAGCTGACTGGGACCCTAAATGGGATGAATAGGTGCTTAAAGAATTTGAGTTTGAAAATATGTAGGAGGCAGTGCTGGGGTGTAGTGAATGGGGATGGGGTTAGTGTAGTTGAGCATTGCTCCTTTCACTAAATGATGTGCAGGTTACTAATGTTGTGGCTGTTTGATTGCAGGTAAGGTTGGCGGGTCAGGAAAGACCAGCAGTGAACGCTCCTTCAGCCTGGAGCGGCTGGGCTCCTCCAACAGACCCAACAAACTCTACGTGAATCTGATGAAGCAAGAGGAGCTGATAGCGCAGAAGAAGAGAGAAATTGAAGCCAAAATGGAGCAAGCAAAACGCGACAGCCTCACAAAACTGCAGGCTTCACCTGCCGCGTATGTGTTTATTACCATTTTATATTTTGCTCCGTGACATGTACTGCACTCTTCCAATCAGTGGCCTTTTAGCTGCAGATGTTGAGTTCAATGTTTGCAAGGCTATGGTGCGAGAGGGAGGGGAGTGGGACTAGTCGGTAGCTCTTTCAAAGAGCTGGCACAAGCATGATGGACCAAATGACCCTCCTCCTGTGCTGTAAGATTCTATGATATGTGCCATTGTTCACAGGTGAGCTGGATCTGTGTATTCCGTGTGAAACTCACCCTCGCGTTCAAGCAGTAGGTCCTGTCTCCAGTGGCTCCGCAACTCACGACAGCTGCTTCACTTATTAATTTTTCAGGAATAACTGCAGGAGCACCTCTTCCACCTCCAACAAGTTTGTCAATGACGGGAGCTTCTTGCAGCAGTTCCTGAAGATGCAGAAGGAAAAGGCGAGCCCAGGTACGGGGCTAGAAATAATACTGGGAGGGCATAAGCAGGTTTTTGTTCAGGAGAGGAGGAAAGGGGAACCAACCAATTAGAAATCCCAGTTCCAGAACACTTTGGTTAATCAAGAAGAACAACTTTCATTTCGAGCAGCACCTTATATAATACTACTACTAATAATAGTGATCCTTGCATTTGATATCACTCATTGACACATCTCAAAGCCTTTCGTGTGAAAGAAGCATAAATCTTAAAGCCTTTCATGTGAAAGAAGCCTTTCAAAGTACTTCACATCCTTAGAATCAACTACATCAAGGGATGTTCAGGAGTCAGGGAGATCAGACGATTTTGCGAGCTTTACTCTATGTGTCTGTGCACAAAATATATCAATGTTCAGAGAATCCCCCCCCAATAAAAAGCGGGTCTGCTGTAGAGGGATATTATAGCTGTGTTGGCAGAGGCTTTGATTGCAATTCTTGCCCGTTTGTTAGGGCCTGCGACTGGGAATGGCAGTGGTAATAGCAGCAGTCACTCCGGGGCCCACTCCCAGAGGAAGCAACTGGTGATCGGAAAGCGGCCTGGCCTGGGAGTGAGCTCCATCAACAGTGTGCTGGGGCAGATGAAGAACTACACCCATGCCAAGCAGACCCCCATCGCAGCACGCCCGAGCGTCTTCCAATCCCCTGATGACGAAGAGGAAGAAGAGGAAGATTTCGAAGAGTGGGCTGAAGTAAAAGGTAACTTTAAACTATGTCACTGTGCAGTTGAAATTAAGGTAGAATTTAAGAATTTTACACAAATTCTGCATAATCTTCAAAACGTTCAGATTGTGTTCTTAGAGCTAAGATCGAGTGGAATGTTAGGTCTCTGGTTGGGACAGTAGAAGATAAACTCCCTGTGAATCAGATCAAGCCATCTTTACACCGTAGTCTTTAAAGGAAAATGAATGTAGAGAGGATCAAATACTCCCCCCGGCAGAAAAATGTCACATTGTAACTTGCGAGAGAAGCTCTCTTGAGTTTTAATGTTTATGGAGACGCACCATTTTGGGACTCCTCCCGTCAAGGAGCTGTGTTGCTAAGGCGAGTCAATGGGAGCATGAACTGAGCAGAAAACTTGGGGATTGCTACCCATTCAGGCTCCGGTAGCGTCCAAGAGCTGGGTATAATATAATTCACTGCCATGTACCCATCCGGCAAGGATTGTTTCCTCCAACCAAAGGCGAACGGACGGCACAGAAACGGTCATTTCCTGGTGAGAGGAGAGCCAAAAATGGTGGATCTCCAGGGCAGGAGTATCTTGTTTAGGTAGTATTTTAAACAGTTAATGTACATTAGGAAGGAGAGGAAAGTAATTTGTGTTCCCTCCATACTTTGTTCCTTTAAATAAAGAAACCTGACCCAGCCAGAGTGTGTTTCATTGTAATTGTTTCTGTTGTCTTATCTCCTTGGTTTAATCCACCCTTTTCCTGTATCCTGCTCTTACCCACCCACGCTTGTAGAGCTTGTTTGGCTGTTGACTGTTGGGTGTGTGAATTGAACTCAAGTACTGATAGGCTGCTTAAAGTTTCACCCCCAGAGGACCCTGAGACCCGGAGTGTCACGGAGAAGCTGGCAAAGTACGTGGCGGATGGGGGTCCTGAGGTGGAGAAGCTGGCCATTCAGAACAACCGGGAAAACCCTGCTTTCTCGTGAGTGCTGTCCGTCTTCTCATCCCATTCATCTCTTCCCCTTAGTAACCAGAGACGCGCTCTATATCAAAACCCGTTCAGTCGTGTATCACAGGCCAGTGTTTCCTCTTGATCGGAGGGCAGCAACAATAACAACAAATGGCATTTGTCTAGCACCTTTCACGTCGGGAGGACGTCCCAAAGCAATTAACAGTCAGGAATGTGTATGCAAGCTGGCGGTTGGGATCAGGAGGGCTGGATGGTCCAGTAAGCTAGATAATTGACCTTTCATCTCTAGGATCTGCATTCAGAGCTAGTCTGAGCAGCGAGATAAACATGTCTGGTCTCTCTTTTTCTATTGGTGCACAAAGTGCTACATTATTGACTTTTTGTTTGGGTCATGAAGTGAGATGAGTTTGTCTCGTCACTTGGTGCGAATTCTCTGAAACCAAGAGGAGATGATGTGAGAAACATAAATGAGCAGATAGGAAGATGCTCTCTTGTAGCGAGAAAGGTCCATCCTGGTCTGATAGTTGTCCTATGGATGTTCTACTCCAATCCCAGGTTTAAAGCTGAAACGTGCTCAGTCAGCCCTTAGAAAGATGAAATTAATTATTTTTCTTTCCTCCGTCAGGTTCTTATATGATCGTAACAGTCGAGCTTACCTTTATTACAAGAAAAAATTGGCAGAAATCAAAAAAGACAAGCAAATGTCTACGGTGGTGCCCAAAATCTCCAAAACCGCCTCATCCTCTTCGGTCGAAAAAGGTAGGGGAAAAGGAGAGGCCGATTTTGCTTCTGAGGGTTAATTCAGGAGTCATGATTGACCTGTAACTGATGAGAGGTGACCAAAGGTTAGTGTAGTTAGGGTAGTGGAAAGCTGGAACTCTCTTCCCCCAAAAGCCCGTGGATGCTGGATCCGTTCAAATCTTCAAGACTGAGGTGGATAGATTTTTGTTAGGACAGGGTATCAAAGGATAATGGTGCAAAGGTGGGTAATTGTAGTTGAGGCGCAGATCAGCCATGATCTAATAGAATGACGGAATAGGCTCGAGGGGCTGAATGGCCAACTCATGTTCCAATGTCACAGCCCTTCAATTGCAAGATGGGTCAACATCACTCCCTGAACATGACTGTGGAGTCAGCTTGGCTCAGTTGGTAGCCCTCTCACCTCTGGGGCAGAAGGCTGTTTCTCCCGATGTCCTTGCCAACAACCTCCAGATAAATTGGTCATTCATTCACTAGAACCTGGACAAGGAATTTGGAACACATTGACTGCCATCTTGATTTAAGATTTCCAGTTGATTTGCTAACTTTTCCTTGTATCTGCAAAATTAAAGTTGTGAAAATTCTTCATTATGCCATTCAGGGCACACTCTCACCCTGAGTACTGCGAGATCATTTTCCTCACAATGCCACAGCCCCACCTGCAGAAGTGATGAGGTGTTGCCGTTGCTTACAACATCCACATGAAAGGAATCATTCAGGAAAAGTACTCCCTATTGATCTTGTTCCTAGGGTATTTCCGTTCATTCATAATGCTGAAAAACAAAAAGGTATTTTTAAAATCGCCCATCAAAACATGACGATTCTCAGCTTCCTGATCAGATGAGTTTGCAATATAACAATTGTGATTTTTTTTAAAAAAAATCTAATTGATTGTTGAATATACCCAGTGGGGGGGTCTGCATCAAAGGTATTAAGAGTCAGGTTGGGTTGAGTTGTTTAGAACGGAACTTAGAACAGGAAGACCATGATCTTGAACCCAGATGTATTCCATTAAGAAGGTCTGATGCAACCAGACATTGTAATGATTTGTGGTGGGAGCATTCACTGACCTCTACCATAGGAACTTCGAGCTTGTTCTGCCATTCCATTAGATCTTTGGAGTCCTGTAGCTCAGTGGTTAGAGCACTCGCCTTGCAAGCGAAACACCTGGGTTCAATTTCAGGCAGTACGAAAGCTTGGGCAAGTTTCCTTATTCCACAGGTCTAAGAATAATCCCTCCAAAAAAAATAATAATAAATTGGTCATTTTCAATCCACGACTGTTTGTACGCAATTGGCTGCCGCGTTTCGCCCACAAATATACAGTCAATTCACTTTACAGCATATTCTATGAAGCGCTTTGAGACGTCTAGAAGACATGAAAAGCACTAGATCAAATGCAAGGATTATTATTATTATCTGTACAGTCACTACACTTGATAGCAATTCCTTGTAAAGTGCTTTCAGACATCCTGACCAAAATAAGTCAGAGCTATATCTAAATTAAGATTTATTCAGTGGTATACTTTTGTTGGGTGTATTTTGGGAGGAAAGGGGGTGGAGTGGGGGCTGGGGTTCAGGATTTGAGGTTACCTACTCTGAGTTTCGAAATACAGCGGTAATAAGGGTTACGAGACGGCAGGGTGGAAAAAAAAGACAAAAGAAATTTAGAAGTTAATGCAGAGGTATGATGGGCCCGTCAAGGTGTGGGATACTGTCTCCATAAGGCCACTTGTAACTGTGGTGATTTAACCAATGGTCTCCCTGTATCCCGCTCTTACCCACCCACATTTGTAGAGCTTGTTTGGCTGTAGACTGTTGGGTGTGTGAATTGAACTCAAGTACTGATAGGCTGCTTAAAGTTTCACCCCCAGAGGACACGGAGACCCGCAGTGTGATTGAGAAGCTGGCAAAGTATGTGGCCGACGGGGGTCCTGAGATGGAAGAGATGGCGATCCAAAATAACAGAGACAACCCAGCGTTCTGGTCAGTGCAAGAGCACGTGGAATACACTCGTGACTTAAGAACGTTTAAGCAGTGAGGAAAACCTAGACTTCCTCATCTTCTTATGCCTAAAAAGGATTCACTTTACAATATATTGTACAAAGCGCTTTGAGACGTCTTGAAGACGCGATAAGGCGCTGTATCAAATCCAAGGATTATTATTATATTATTGTGATTCAAGAATTTTGGACAGTTCTTGAATTCAGTGTTCATTTGGAAAACTTCATTCTCAACCAGTTTCCAAATTCAAACCATTTCATTGAATCATAGAATCTTAGAGCACAGAAGGAGGCCATTCGGCCCGTGGTGCCTGTGCTGGTTCTTTGAAAGTGTTACCAACTAGTCCCATCCCACTGCTATAGAATCGTAGAAGGAGGCCAAAATTTTCCAAAAATCCTGCACAGTGGAAAGTTTTAAGACAACGATTTTAAGGCTAAGACCCATCAAAAATCCAGATTGGACACAGGAGTTGGAATCCATACTCCCACTGTGGCCAATTATAGTCTTAGTATTGACACGGCATTTGATATTTGGTGTAAAATCTAGCTGGTTTATATTCAGCTCTCACCACATTTGACAGCAACAGAGAAATGCTTTGAGATGTTTTGATGTTGTAGGCAAGGATTATTCTCATCACAGTCTTCATAGGGATGGAACAAGACTTTTTTTTTTCCCCCCTCCTCGACTGAAATGCTTACATTTCCCTTCCTCGCTCTAGGTTTCTGTACAACCAGAACAGCGAAGCATATCGGTATTACCAAGACACGGTAGACGTCTTCTGCCGAGTGAAGAGCATTGCCCAGAAGGCAGTCAACGCTGGCCTGATGGCAATACCCTCGCCCACACCGCAGAAACGGAGAATTTCCCCCGAGCCGTCTCCAGACCACTCCGGCACAACAGCCTCACAGCCCTCGTTCCCCTCCACGCTCAAAAAGAAAAAGAAGAGCAGATGGGGCCCGGAGGACGACAAGATTGAGTTGCCTCCTCCCGAAATGGCTTACCCAATGCCAGTCCCTGGCTTAACAAGTAAGGTTGTTTGTGCATGGGATTTAAAGCTTCAGAGATAAGAAATATATTAATATTATTACAAATATACAGAGCTAAAGCATTGTAAATGCGCTCTGGGTTGCTGCCCTGCATGAGGGGTGCTATATAACTGCAAGTTGTTGTTATAAGCTCAAGGGGTCAATGAAGTCCAGGGAAGATGTTTTCATCCCAGCTCTCTCTCTCTCTCTATACTTGGTTTTAAGCGGTTAATTTCGTCTTTGAAGATGAAACAGTTACGGGCCACTTTCCGATTCAGGTCCTTGCTTGTCTTTTTTTTTTCCTTTGGATTACAAAAACGCATTGTGTTGCTTGTTCCGATTCCAGCAAAGCAAATTCTTGTAAGGCTTCCTGTCCATTTCTGAATAAACAGACCTTTTTTTTGTTTAAGCCGTGCCTGGGTGTATTATGGTTCAACTGAATGGTATGTAATTCAATAAGTGCTTATTCATGGTGGGACGTGGGATTGTGCTAAGCTGACCAAGCACTGAAGTGGCTCTTCTGCACGTTGTGTGATTGCAGCTCAGGAACTGAAGGGTCTCGGTTATCAGAAAGGGAAGCCAGTCGGCCTGGTGGGAGTCACGGAGCTCAGTGACGCGCAGAAGAAACAGTTAAAGGAACAGCAGGAGGTAATTCCCGGAGCAAGAGTTGGTTAATAGGGATGGGAGCATTGGCTTGTAATCCAGCTGGTTTGGAAGCATGGAACAGAACAGAAGATCGAGAGGGGCTTTCCCTCTCAGGGGGAGGGGAGGGGGGCGGGAAGATAAGGACTGAAGCATTCTCTGAGGAAGAGCTGAAAGGACTCCTATGTTGGGTGCAGATGCAGAAAATGTACGATATGATCATGAAGCACAAGCGAGCCATGCAGGAGATGCAGCAGATGTGGGAGAAAGCCATCCAGGACCACAAGCACGAGTACGACAGCGACGAGGAGATTGACGGCGACGGGGGAACGTGGGAGCATCGCCTACGACACATGGAGATGGAGAAAACCAGAGGTAAGTACAGTAGACATCACCCAAATCTGCGTCTCTGGTTTGTGTCGGTATCGCTTTCATTCTATGCCTTTAAGGACACACATTATCTGCTATTCAACTTAATTTCTCTCCTCCCTTCTTTTCTCCTCTCTTCTCCTGAAGCCACGTGTTTGGTTTACTCTTGCCTCCTCTTACTTAAGTAGAGGCCATTCTTTGTCTAGATCTTGGAACAATAAACATTGGCAGGATATTCAATGTTAGGGTATTGCAGCCAAGTCCCTTTTCCTGAACTTTAGGTTTCCTATCACAGCTAAGTTTCTCCTTGAGCTGCGCTAGGTTCTGGACAGCTTCCACATGTCGTAGAGACGAGAATTGTACACACTGTAGCTTAATTAGAGTACTGTAAAGCTGCGGCAAAATACATGGGAGCTTTCTGGGATGAGAACAATTTAATGTGCCATGCAGCTGAACTTAAACTTCATCTGGTACCCAATAGAACGAGTGCTCCCGGGGTAATTTGACCGCAGAAATCTGAAAGTCAAGCAAGTAGTAACATCAGGAACCCTTAATAGTCCTAGGCCTGCTGTCGAAGTTTGTAGTTCAATAGTGAAGAAACGTCTTCCTTAAAGAGTCTCGACTTTTATCAGGATCAATTTTTCTGGCTTCCAATGGGATAGTTTCCATCTTACTCAGGCTGAGTCCCCGCTCTCTCTTTCTCTCTCTCGCTCCGGTTGGCTGTGCTCGAGGCTGTGTTGAACATGGTTATCTGTCACAAGTCGTGTGTTTTTATTGCTGTTCTTTCACAGAATGGGCAGAACAACTGACTGAAATGGGACGGGGAAAACACTTCATCGGTGACTTCCTTCCTCCAGATGAGCTGGACAAGTTCATGGAGACGTTCAAAGCTTTAAAAGTAAGCGATCTTTGTCAGACGAATGTCAAACTCCCATCATCCGAACTTTTTATTTTGTTTTCCTCGAACTTTCAGTTGTACTTCAGTGCTTGTATTTTGCCGGTTCCCCCTGTGGCTCCTGCTGTTGGCAGTCAGGAAGGTGGGACAGGATAGTTCAGCACTTCCAATGGTTTCTGCTTGTTTCTCACAGGAAGGCAGAGAGCCGGATTATTCGGACTACAAGGATTTCAAAATAACCGTGGAGAACATAGGTTACCAGATGCTGATGAAGATGGGCTGGAAAGAGGGCGATGGGCTGGGTTCGGATGGACAAGGCATCAAAGCCCCTGTCCCCAGGTAAGGGGCTGAGACACTGACCGATTATGAGGCTGAATGCCAGTACTGCCTGAGCCATGGGCGAGCACAGCTGGGCATGTTCATCTCACGGTTATTACGTTAATAAAATATCCTCAACTTTGAGACTCAACTGGTTTACTGGTAGCTCTCTCCTCTCGTCAGAGAGTTGTGCGTTCAAGTCTCACATCGAGGTTTCAGCTCACAGTCCAGGCTGATATTTCATTGCAAAAGAGATGAGAGTTTCTCCTGGTGTCCTGGCCATTAACGCTCTCGTCTGGAGCAACGTATCAGTGGCAGTAATTATCAGACAACTCTTGTGTGTCTGGCTGAGTATCCCAGGTTCTGACCATTTTCATTAACATATAAACCTTAGTTTTACATTGCTTTTTGCAGAGGTATCACAGCAGTGGACGGAGCCGGGTTTGGTATTGATCGCCCAGCGGAGTTAAGTAAAGATGATGACGAGTATGAGGCATTTCGGAAAAGGATGATGCTGGCATATAGGTTCAGGCCTAACCCACTGGTAGGTGCACAGCCACAGCATAGCAATGCCCAGCAATGGCCACAACATGTCACTGCACATCAAGAGAGCACCGCACTGCACAGTGACAATATCTTGCAAGCCACCAGAGGCATTTCGCATTCAGAGTTAGTTTGGTTGCTTTGCCATGTGAGTAATGTTCTTTCCACTCGTTTCAGAACAATCCCAGGAGGCCTTACTACTGAAGCTCATTCCACGGAGCATCGAAGAGATTGTTGGGCGTCGCTGTGACTTTTAGTTTGGTTCTTTCAGAGCACAGTGACCTGTCGGGCCTTGCTTGGGAGGGATGAATGAAACGATTGGATTTCCCTGTTAATAGACACTGAAGAACCAACATGGAATCCTCTGTTACACATTGTGGGTTCGTGCCAGAACTTTTAACATGTCGCTATACAGTTGGATATTTTCCTCCAATTTAGTATCTAGGTGCAAAGGGAATTTGTCCATCATCTTCAAACATCAGGTCACGATCAGGACCTTTCAGTCACCCTAGGTTCTTGAGTTGAACCTGTTCCAATGAACTCAGCCCATTTCCCCAGAACGTGGAATGCCAAATCCTGTAGTAAAATGCCACACATTGGTTAGAACCATTTTATTTTGTATAGGCAGTGAGATCGGGCATTGGGCAGAAGTACTGGAACAGTAGTGAGGGTGATACGAGAGAGGGGGTGTGGATTGCTGTTACAAGAGGAAATTCTGCAGTACATCTCGTCCTGGTCTGGTACTTCCTGACCCAATCCAGCTGAAGTGACCATGGCTTCACTCCTTTTCCTCCCCCCCCCCCTCTCCGCCACTAATTGCTGTCCTGTGATGAATGTCAAGGAGCTTTACACTGGAAGAGTTGTCGCTGAGCTGGGTGTGACCAGCATCAGAAATCCAAAACCATTTTGGACATCCCTAAGTAATCGCTCAGTAACTGGTCAAACACGTAATCACTATTTAGACAGTCTTTAAAAAAAGTCTCATGCAAATTGTAGAACTGTTGCATGTTTGTATGTTTGTGCTTAATTAAATTTGATTATACACTCTGCCACCGTGCTTTGGCTTGTTTTGTGGAGGTCATAACCACGATCGGAAGAAGAAGCTTTAACTACATATCTTCGCCAACAAAATACACAGTCAATCCATTTTAGTGTTTATCCTGTGAAGTGCATTGAGACATCTCGACGTGATGAGGCGCTGCATCAACAACTTGCATTTATATAGCCTCTCACGTAGAACACTTGACAGAGCACGATGCCAAGCTGGGGGCAGAGGGGAGGTGACCGTAGGCACGGTCAGATTGGAAGGTCTTCAGACGCGACCTGAAGATGGGCAAGGAAGGGGCAAGGCGAAGGGATAGAGGAAGAGTGTTCCAGAGTTTTGGAGCATAGCAGCCACCAACGGTGGAATGAGGGAGCCATTCGAGCGAAGGCAGCGGGTTGTGGGTTAAATGTAAGGATTATTATTATATTGTCTTTGATACAACCTCAATGGAATAAAGTTGGGGCCCCAGTTCCTGGTATTCACCACTCTACAAACTCTTCTTTGTTGCTGGTGATTGTGTAGAACAAATCCCCACCTAAAGCAGTTTAGTTAACAAAATAATGGTTCCATATACATGTGAGCTCTAACCTTGTGTTTCAGGTCAGATATGAAGGTTGAGTTTATCTATTTAGAAGCTGAATTAATACTTTTTATGCTTTTTATTTTAAAAAATCTATGAAGGAATGAATACCATTTTTCTGGAGCATTGCATCTCATAACATTAAGGGTCACGTGCATATTAATCAGATCCTAAAGGCTTATCTAAAAGCCACGGGTGTTGTGTAGACTCTTGGAAGCAAAGTCGAAACAGTTCAGATAACATTTTAGTCATAAACTAAAGCTGCTTCAAGGAGTTACAGAGAGTGGCTGATTTGTGCAAAAAACAGCTCATTTAATTAGGAGTTTTACTATAAATAAGATACTGCAGAATGAACACATATAAAAGATTCAACAAGAAAATGAACATTTATTGCTTGACCTTTAAGACCCATCTCCCGACAGAATTCCTCCACTGTTATAATGGAAGTTTGTGAAATCAGTAACCGCCCGCGCAGGTTCATGAATTAAATCAGATGTTTTAAGGGCTTGGCTCCCCAGTATGTCGATGGCCCTGTGTGGTATTGAACCAGGAGCACTCCCAGGTCCTATTCCTCTGCTCACTTGCTAAATCTTACTCGGGGCAACGACTGCGTTAAATGTACTGAGCTGGAGGAAGTATCGGTGTTCTCTTTGCACTGTCCCATCCCACAGTTGCGGGCCACAGTAATGCACATCACTCCAAAGTCAAAGTTCCAGGTCAGTGCAAGATGGATTATAAAACTAATAATAATAATAATGTTATTACCAAATAATAATTTGGTCACTCAATCCACGACTGTTTGTGGGACACTCATTGCTGTGCCCAATTGGCCGCCGTGTTTTGCCCACAAAAATACACTAAATCACTCCCCTTCCTGTGAAGTGCTTTGAAACGTCGACGACCTGATAAGGCGCTATATCAAATGCAAAGATTATTATTATCATTAATAGTTAACCTTCACTTACACGACCTCACCCAGCAACGCCTAGCTTTAAAACCAGATTTCACCTTAAACCGTTGAAAGACTTCTATACCGTATTCCAGCATAGATGAGCTCGTTACAGCAATGGATTGCACACAGCGTAAAGCTCTCGCTAAACTGTTCCATCCAACACTCCCAGGTCAGCCGCAGCACGTGTTAAAATGCAGAGTAAACTCACTTTGCAACGACTCGCAATTTCACGCACCAGCAGCTTTTGAGCTGACCCACAGATGGGCACGGAGCCCACTCGGAACAAAGCTGAGAATGCCAAAAACTCTCCTCACAAAGGACTTTCATCTCAACTATCTAAAGCTCCTTTCACATCCAGGCTCAGAGCTTAAAGGGCAGGATTGTACCACAGCCCCACAGATTGTAACAGCGGGCAGGACAAAGCTTCCGTAATCTGTTACCATGGCTTCTGCCGTGTAATACCCTGTGTCTTGGGACAAAAATGCCGGATAAACGATTACCATTTTTTAGTTTTTACTCTTCACGGTTCAAAAAAAATTATTAAATGGGGAGGACGGACGGACGGGAGTGGGGGGGGGTTCTGCTTCGGGGATTCTCTTATCTTTTAGCGCTTTGAGACGTCTCGAAGACGTGATTAGGCACTATATTAAATGGAAGGATTATATATATATATATGTGTTATATTATCAGAGCAATACCCCCCCACCCCCAGCACCTCACAGAGGCATTAATAATAATATTAAACCTTGTATTTCAGATTGAGCTTCATCACGTCTTCGCGACGTCTCAGAGCGCTTCACAGAATATACTGTAAAGTGGAGTGACTGCGTATTTTGTGACCCTGTGGGGTGCCAATGGGTCATTGCCCCAATGCTTCCCCCCCACACACACACCCCCTGTAGTTATCTCTGTGTATTAATAACCCACGACCTTTGCCTCCCGTGGTACAACTAGTCTCTTGGTTGCGAAATGCAGAGGCTCAGTGCAGCCCTGGGGACGTGTCTCTTGGTCTGAAATCAGTGCTGATTTCCGGGATCAGCCTCTGCTACGAGCCCTTCCCTTTCTCTCTCCCCATTCCCTCCCTTCCTCTCTCCCTCCCTTCCTCTCTCCCTCCCCGGGCAAACATGCAGCTGTCAGCCGACACCATGGTTTTGCTCCTGTCACTAACAGCGATTCCAGTCTCTTACCTTTTCAACAGCTTCTCTGCAATGGGCAGGTCAGTGAGTAACACTCACCTACTCTTTCTTTCTTTCTTTCTTTCTTTCTCGCTCTCTCTCTCTCATTCACTCACTCACACACACATGATATTGGATTAGGGTGGGTGGGTGCAAAACAGTTCAATTGAGCCCTGATTGAGTGTGCATCTGTGTGTGTGTCTGTGTTTAAACTGTGTGAAAGTGTAAGCACCTGTGGGACCTTATAGAGTGGTGTGTGTGTGTCTGTCTGTCTGTCTGTACGTACAACATTTTCAATGGGATTGATATTTTGTGGGCGAAACGCGGCAGGCAATTGCGCACAGCAGTGTCCCACGAACTGTCGTGGACCACACCTTTTTGGGGGGGTTTGCGGGGGAGAGGGGTTATTCCGCACCCCCCAAGCAAGCCATCTCCCAATCGACTACTGACAGGGTTCCTACTTCCTGCTAGGTAAACAGAGGCGTGTGGGTAGAGCAAGGAAACATGCCTAAGGTTTCGCCCTGCCCGCCTGTCCGGGTATCGAACCCGGGACCTCTCGCTCACGAGACAAGTGCGCTAACCAATACGCTACAGGGACTCCCACAGATTTCTGTGCCTTTCTCCTCTCAAAGTTCCGTCCTGGTGTTTGCTGGAGGTGCGGCTGTGCTCCTGGTTCTGGTGTTGGGTGTCCGTGTGTTGCTGAAGGCTAACCCTCCAGGGGACTCGCTGTTTTACGGTAAGCATTTGGGCGATATCGGGCGCAGTAACTCGCGATCGACGTCCGACCCGGTCAGAGTTTCGGGGCTCCCAACCTCTCGGTGAAAGCAGCGGAAAAATAATAACGGTTTGGCAGAGCAGGGCAATAATAATAATAATCCTTACATATGATATAGCACCTTATCACCTTGTTGAGACGCTTCAAAGGGCTTCACACTGTCTTATATATACTTATATATCTTATATATACTTATATATAATATATACTAGAATAATATGAATTAATATCTCCTTGTTATTGCTGTTTCAGTGTTTGCTGTCTTCAGCTTTACAAGTGTCATAGATTTGATTATCTCTCTGGAACAAGACGGGTACATCACAGGATTCATGGCCTTTTACTTGAAGGAGGTAGATTATAAATGTTCTGTTATTAAACTGTCTCTATTGATGTTCCTCCAACTACCTCACACTGTCAGGCTCAGTAAGTCACCCAAGCCAACAGTCTGTGTTGCTGTCTGTATCTCTTACTGATGTGACTCAAGCTCCCTCACACCTCAGTAACTCCTCTCACTTAATGTTAATATAAACTTACACACTGTTCATGCACATTACTGGTTCCTGGTATAAGCACAGACTTACACTGACTGTGTACTTACATAGGCATCTTTGCCCTCGCTTTTAAAGCCCTCCATGGTCGTGCTCTTCTCTACCTCTGTGACGTATTCACACCATGCTAACCTGTCCGCTCCCTCTGCTCGGTGGGCACTGGCCTGCTTCATATCCCCCCACCATCAGCTGTCAGGCCTTCAGTATTTCTGCCCTTGTTCTTGGAACTCCATCCAAGAATCCCTCCGCCTCACCCCCTCTCTTGCCTCCTTCAAGTCCTGTCTCAAGACCTTCTTCTTTGACTGTGCCTCTTGCCCTCCACCCCTCTTGATTCCAACCCCCAGCTCAGGTGCAAACCCTTGACTGTCCAGGACCTTGGGATGTCCTCCCAACATGAAAGGGGCTAAATAAATGCAATGTGCTGTCGGTGTTGAACAGCAGTGACCAGTCTGCGAGTCTTCTCAGTAATGTCACTGACTGTTCTGGCGGCAGAGGGAGGCTGGTGATGAGTTTGGGCTGGTTTTGTTTTAACAGGGCGAGCCTTACCTCCGCAGTGCCTATGGGATAATGATCTGCTACTGGGATGGGACAGTCCATTACCTGCTCTACCTGGTGATGGCAGCTTCCATAACACGGGGGTAAGTGACTGAGGCCTCAGGTTTCTCTTCTGTTAGTGGGTTCCAAAACCCACAAAACAGGGCATCGCTTGAGGGGGAGAATTTGCGGTGGGTGCGGTGTGTGGTGGTGGGGATGTAATTTGTAAAGTAAGTTGGAGTAAAAAAAATAAAATAAAGGAACTTTTCAAGTGGGACAGGACTGAAATATCCAACGTAATGCTATTTACCACCCTCTGGAACTCCATCCCAGAGCCCCTCTGCCTCGTCCCATTCCTTGCCTCCTTCAAGGCCCATCTCAAGACCTTCTGTTTTGACCGTGCCTTCATTCATCTTCCCTCCCCCACCCCCACCATCATGCCCCCCATCCCTCTCTGGTCCCAACCCGTAGCTTGGATGCAAACTCCTTATTGTCCAGGGCCTTGGGATGTTCTTCCGACATGAAAGGCAGCTGCATGCTTGTTGTTGCTGCTGTTGTTGTTACTCACAAAGTCATTCTGTTGTGTTCCCACAGGCAGAGCTACAGGAAATTTGGACTTTACTGGGTGGGATCTGTTCTGATGAGCTTACCTGTTTTGTTAATTGGGACTGTCATAGGTGAGTGACAGGTGTCAACTTCATGCTGATTTCTTTACGCAGAGATAACAGTTAGTTAACAGCTTGAATGAGTTATTAGGAAGTGTGGTTAAGGACAGGATGTGGGATTCATTCAGGAAACAGCTCAACGCTATAGTGGGAAGACGGTAGGTGGGTTTTCTGGACGGATGAGATCAAATAAACTGATGGGACATCTTCTCCTGAACTGTTCTTCTGTTTATTGCAACATGGATTTGCACCTTTTCCTGATAGTGCTTCTTATAGGCTCTGTGCAGACACTGAGCGTATGAAGTGAGCAATTTGTTGTCAAATGACATCCCATATTGCAATAATGTCCACAAATAAGTGAATCTCTCTCTCTCTCTTGCTTTCTCTCAATCTGTCCCAAATGCTTCTCCCGCCAGGTAAATATGGATCTGAGATCCGCCCTTCCTACCTCCTAAATATTCCATACCTGATTATCCCACTTTGGGCTGGGAAGAAGATCTATGAGAAGCCCAGAACAGTGTCCCGCACAACACCTGAGGAGGTAATAATAATAATCCTTGCATTTGATATAGTGCCTTATCACATCTCAAAGAGCTTCACAGAGTATACTATAAAATACTGTGTATTTTGTGGGTGAAACGCAGCAGCCAATTGCACAAAGCAGCGTCGCACAAACAGACGTGAGTATGCAGCTTGATTACCGAGTGTTTATTTGATGCCAGTTACAGTAGTGTCCAATATTTGCAGGAATTAGCCCCATTGTGGGTATGAAAGCTGTGCAGATCTGTTCAGGTCTGTTGGTGTGTATGTGCGCGTGTACTTGCCTGCCTCAGATTTCTCCACCTCACATCGATGAAGTAAAAAGGTTACGTTGTCCTGGACCTGTTACATCTCATAACTAAACCTTATCTCCACCATCGCAGCCTGACCTCATTCCGTTTCTCAACCCCAGTGTAGATAAGGGCTCACGTGGATAAGGAGACGTGCAGTTATCTGCTGTGTGGCTAATTAATTAATTATCCTTGCATTCGACCTAGCACCTTATCACATCTTTGAGACGTCTCACAGAATATAACGTAAAGTGAATTGACTGTCAAGGGACCTGTAGTTGTGTTCTATTGCATTGCTGAGTTCAGTTTGGTTGCAATCAATTGGTTGTTCAGAGTGAGCGCTTGTTTATTGATGTGAGTGGATTTATGGCTCCCCAGGTGGCTGAGGAACACAAGAAGTTGATATATCAGCGGCCGGTGGACCTGTTATTGGCGCTCTACCTCATGGCTGCTGTCGCCTACACCTTGTTCAGAGGCATTGTGAGTATTGAACGGTCAATAATAATGAGAATTGCAGATCAAAACAGTAAATTCCTAAAAGATTCAGTACCTGGCTTCACTCTCCAGGCAGTCAGGTCTCTCTACTTGACACTAAAAATCACAGAAGGAGGCCGTTCAGCCCATCTTCTCTATGTTGGCACTGTTGAAAGAGCTGTCCATTTAGTCCTAACCTCCAACCTTTCCTGTCGGGAATTTGTCTCGAAACTGTTGGATGTAAAATTCTCCTAATATCTTTATTTTGGTAATGAAATTTCAGCCCCAACTGGCTGTAGTTCTTTTGTAAACAGTGATTGTGATAATTCTGCTTTGCGGTGGTCTGGTCCAGGTGGTGCTTGACTGCTCATTTGAATCCTGCTTCAACTACATTTACCACGACGAGCCCTATTTGAAGGACCCAGTGGGATACCCCAAGATTCAGGTAAGCTAATCTCCACCACAGGCTCAACGACTGAGCTGAACTCTTGCTGGTTGGTCGTAAGTTAACCAGAATTGTACAACGCCTGCGTTTTAACTTCCTCCTGATAGTGCAGAAAACTAACCCCCCCCCACCACCCCTTCACACCGGCTCCTGAGCGCAAACACACTTACTCTTGCGTGTGCAAGCTCACATGCCTCTCAGATATGCCTCAGTAGTGATGATAGATGTGTGATTAAATAGATTAACCCACCGACTCGGACACACTCACTTGCACACTTGGACACGTGGGGTAAAAGTTCTATCCAATGTTACCGCCTTCAGCAATGACATTCCCTCATGGGATTTAACCATTACAGTCGTACATCATCAAAGGCGCTGCACTGTGCTGAACAGAATGTTTAACCAGGGACCTCTCTCACTCACACCTACTGGCTCAGCCTAGACATTGCCCTGGGGTGTCTGGGGAGATGGGCCCGTCCTGTTTTGACTGGTAAATGTCTGGAAATGTTGATGTCTCTCTGCTGGCCTGTATTTCAGATGCTGATGAACATGTTCTACCTCCTGCCGTTCTTCTGCCTGGCTCTGTACGGGCTGATCAGACCCGGCTGCACATGGATGATGGACGCGACGCTGGTGTTTGCAGGAGCTCTAGCCCAGGTGAGCCTGACCTGCCCTCACCCGGCTGCCACGCACACATACACGCACACAAAATCAACCAGTAGACGGTGCTGTAGAGGGACCTGGAGCAGGAACCCTGGCTGGTTTTCATTCTGACACATTTTTCCGTTGCTTTGTTCCTCCTTAGGCTCAGTTCTCTCATATTGGAGCCTCTATGCACTCACGGACTCCATTCACCTACCGCATCCCTGTGGACAACACACTGACCTTCCTCCTGGTCAACATCCTCTACGCCGCAGGTGCTCAGCTCCTGGCCTATCACTGCAACAAACACTCCAGCTTCTTTTTGACAGGGAAAGAGAGTGACAAAAAGCACCAATAAAAAAAATGCTAAGCATTTGATATAACGTCTTATTGTGTCTTCCACATGTCCCAAAGCGCTTCACAGAATATACCGTAAAGCAGATTGACTGTATATTGTGTCTGTGTTTTAATCTTGCTGACGAGAATTGCAAAATGTCTTTTTTTTTACCTGAAATCTATTTTACGTTACTGTACGTTAGAAACCAAAGCTTGGGATGAGGGCGAGAGAGTGACTTTGAGCGGATATTTGGCAATGCGGCATCTCACACTGTAATAAAAATTCTCTTTTCGTACAAAATCACTCGTCCTTTTCACGATTTTGAAATCAACCACAAATGTATATATTTTTTGTCAGCCTGGACACCAGGAGAAACACATTTCTCTTTCTGAATAGTGCCATAGGATCTCTTTAAAGTCCATCTGAACGGGCTTGATTTATAACAATAATATTAATAATAATCCTTGCATGAGTGTGCAAAACAGCTTGATGCTGTGTTGGGAAGCGGGAGGAGGGAAACTTTATTTTGGAATATTTTGGGCAAATCAGACCCTCTTTTTTGTGGTTTCAATTCCGAACGCGAACACGATAGTGAACCCAGTCAACGTTATTTGGTACTCTCAATCACAAATGTATTGAAAATAAATGCAAACCGTTACAAAGTAGTACAAAAGTCTTTCTCAAAAATAAACATGATTGTCGGATAGACGGTAGCGATTCTGAATCACAATATTACAAGTCATTACAGAGGAGTTCTGTACAAAGACTGCATTCGGGTGTTGGAACTAAGTGTAACTGTAAGGTACCTTAGTGCAGTCTACCCTCTTTGTAAAGCGTGCAAGGCCGTAAAGGTGTTTGATACAAGACACTGGCAGTATTTTTATCTGATTGAGTGCGGGCGCTATATCTCACCTTGCACTGACAAGTTCCACCACGGGTTGGATACAGAGTAAAGCTACTTCTACTCCTCCCAATGGATATCTGTGCAATTAACACGACATACAGTATTTCATTACATTATATTGTCTAACTTTGGCTTAGTTGTTAGGGATCTTGTAGATAGTATTAATATAATGCACATTATATAACAGAGAGAACCTGACAGAGTCAGTCCCATGACAACTGCTTAACTGATAGTCACAGGTTGTCACGCATTTACCCCCTGGTTAACCTGCTGCACCTTGTGCAAGCTCCACAATTAAACTGTTTAGGACCAATTCTGCACGAGTTGCCTCCTTATCACCCACCTGGCCAATTCAACCAGGCTCTCTCAACTATGACCTGAAAATCAATCAAATGCACAATCATTTCTAAACCCTTCAGATTTCAGCGTTAGAAAGCGGTAAAACAATTTTAAAAAAAAAAAAAACGATTCACAAAAAAATCTCCGGCAGCACAAACGTTGGCGGACTCGATCAATGGTCAGGATAGTCTGAGTTCAAAGCTTTTCTGCGAATGCGGGGATGGAGCACTGGAGGTATAGTACTCTTCGGGTCTTCCTTCCGATGTGAAAGGCACTACATAGATGCAATTTGTTGTGGTTGATGGACTGACTCTTCGGTCATCCAGGCTTGAGGTGGGTGGGAAGGGATGTCTCTCCTGTTCATTGTCGGTACTTACAGTCCAAGGGACCCACGCCAAGTGAAGAGGAACCATTGTTGGTGCAATCCTGATCCACTCCAGAGCATATTCTCTGGTGGAGCCAACAGAAGTGAGAGATCGTCCAGGAGGGACCTCTGCTCAGCTCTTGGTGTTAAATTCGGACAATCTCTCATTCTCAGCTCCTTTGGTCAATTTCTTGCAGCCAGGACGCACGCAGAGTTATTTTGATCTCTTTTTTTTGGGAATCGCTGCCATAAAATGGAGGGAATATTTTCTTTCCTGCTGGAGTAAGGGATGGAGAGGGGGCCTGGGGGAGGGAGGGGGAAGGGGAAGAGTCTGGATCCTATCCTCTCTGCTGGTCGTACTCGCTCACCATCTGTTTGATGTGTGAGAGCTTGTTCTTCAGTTGCCTGCTCTTCAGACGCTTGGTCTGATACTCCGAGGTCTAAAGGGGTTGGGGGGGGGGAAGGGAGAGGGAAGAGGAGGCAAAATAGAAATTAGCAAAGAAAAACACCCTGACTGCAATTGTTAAATTATTTTCCTCTCTTTCCATTTGATTCGAAAGCTCCTCTTCTACATTTCGTATGAAGAAACCATTTTCCAAATGAGGAAAGGGCAAGGATTACGGTCAAGGACCTGGGTTCTCTGTGAAACACTCACCTTTTTCAGGTTCTTTAGTCTGTTATATTCCTCAGCAGCTCCCTGAATGAAAAATTGGGGGTTAAAAAAAAAAGCAATAAGCAGCTTTATAAGGCAATTAGTCTTGACTTTTGTCATTTTTGCCTTCCCAGCACAGCAAAGTTAAAATGAACTGAACAAACCCAAAACCCAAAAAGTGTTCAGTTGCAAAACTGAACACTATACTGGATTGACCCAGCTTTCTAAAGAAACTGATCTGAGATAGACTGCTAGTTAAGTGTATATTGAATTATCTTCTCTTTCTTCTTCTGAAAGACTTGTACAGCCGTGTTGTGTTGCCCAAGTGGCTATTCTCACGTGACTGTGGGCCTCAAACACAAAGGCCTAGTTTCCGCTCACTTGCCCAACATGAATCCCTAACCCCAATCCTCCTTCTGGGATGCCACCATTACTGAACCTGATACTCGGAGCCGTCCTCAGACATGACGTCCAGCCTCTTGCTCAGGAAGTTGATCTGGTCATTGATTTCGTCCATTTCGCTGCAGATCTGCTTGTACTCGCGATGGTCCAGGTCAAACTCCCGCTTGTATTCCTGGCGGATGGGGTCGGAGGTTATGGGAGGGTATAAGCTGAGAAGACAGGAAGAAGAGAAATGTTTAGAATGATGATATGCCTTTATCCTGTAGAAGCAGGATAACCAGGAAGGGTCTGAGACTAAAACTCCTGGATGAGAAAATACCATCTGAATGGCCATAGCAAGAGCTTGCTTTCTGAGTAAGAACCTCTGCTAAAGACACTAACACAACTCTGTGAATGAAAGAACTATGCATTTTTACAGCCTCTTCCAACTTTTCACCTTAACAGGTCCGAAATGTCTCAAAGTAGGGATTATTCTTAGGTAGAGTGGCTGTTGGCAAACACAGCATTTGCAACAGCAAATTACCAACAGTCAAGAGATGAATGACCAGCTAATCTGGAGAATTATAGATCAGGCGGATGTTAATCATCCCATGGTCCAATTTTAAAAGGGAAGGGAGTTTCGCCTGAGGCCCTAGCCAACAATCCTCCAGATAAAATTAATCATTAACTTGAAGGATATTTGTCGGACTTCCGCAAATTGGCTGACGTATTTGTCCACAAAATACTAGAGTTTTCAATAAAATCCTATCGAGCACTTTGAGATGTCTTGACCCCTTCTCTTTTCCAATAACATTGCGAGAACGTTAACGTCCATTGATGAACAGGCAGACGGAGCTTTATTTTCATCCATAGGACAGCACCTGAAAACAACGCAGCACTTCCCCAGCACTGCACTTCAGTGTCAGCTGGACTGCGACTTGAGTTCTCATTTGGTACTTGAATCTGAGGCAGAGGTGAGAGCGCTATAGACTGAGCCAGAATGACAGAGGCAGAGATTCTGACGGTTGGTACCTGTCCCATTCCTCATTGATATCATTGCTGGATTCGGCCCCTGTAGTGTAATCGGTCTCGGACAGAAACTCCTCTTCCTTTCCATGTTGGCTCCTCCTTCTGCCTTTAGCCAGGGGCCTGTTCTGTGTTTCTTTCCCAGTGTCCACCGATGCGGTGGAGCTAAAGACCCTGGACGGACACGAGGGTACAAAATTACAACCAGCAGAATACCTGAGCAACACAATGAACTTCATTGAAAGGGCAAAGTTTGAATAAACCCCACCTCCTTTCCCATGACAAGAGAGGGACCATCAGGACCCCGGGTACAAAAGGATCTTGATCAATTTACTTGAGACAGTGATGGACCCCACAAGCCGACATTTGAAGAGGCAACAAGCATATTCCATGATGTGGAAAATAACTCTGAGATTGAAATGGTTACACAATGTAAGAAGGGTGTGGAAAACATAAAATATTCATGTTTGTATTTTTCTAAAATTCTCTGGGCCAACACCTGCCTGAGTCTGGCAAATTAGTAAACACAACCTTAATTACGAAGCTGTTTTTCTGTAAAGTCTCTTTTAAGAACCGCAGAAAACTGACTTCAAAATTTACGCTGAGTTCAACAATTAGCAAATTCTGGACACACGGAAACGCTACCGAAAGAGAACAAATTGGGAATTTCTCCCCAGATGTTTCCTGCAATCACGATTCACAGACTTATCTAAATTTGCAGTATATCTTAATGGAATTCCTTGAAAGATTCTGATTCACACAAAAGCTAAAGATTGCCCTTCTGGCAGTCTGATCATGCAGGAATTCTGCTCCGGTGCAATCCATCTCTAGAGGTTTTGATAGGAATTGTTATTAAGGAATCTGGTTGAGAAATATTGCCCCTTTAGACCACTTGTTGCTTACGAGCTGCTGGTTGTGCCCCTCGGTAACCACTTACTCGTTGCCCTTGTAGTTTTCCGAGTGGTAGTAGGCTTGTTGAGAGTTGTACCCATCTACGCTGGGTAGGTGGACCATGTAGGGATGCTTATCGGAATACGGGAGAGTTTCTGTTTCATCCTGATCTGCGTCGGGAACAGTCTTGATCTGAAATACACCAAATTCCATAGAATGAATCAAAGACTCAGTTACCCACTGCAGCCCAAATACTCGAGGAGTGAACCCTGACCAGACCTGACCTGACTGAGGTGTCTTGGGTGACAAGCTCGTGCGTCAGAGTGAAAATGGGGTTGTTTGAAGTCAGGCTGCCCAATGTGGACACGGTCAACAGTCTTTCTCTCTCTCTCTCCCACTCTCTGGCACACATTAACTTAAAGGGCAAGTCTGACCATGTACTGTGAACCTGCAGTCAGGCGTTGTTAACCCGTTCACCCCCACAATCAGGTAACCTGTATTCCACCAAAGCTGTATTGACTTGCCAGTTGCTACCTGGCAGACACAATAGTAATGATGTGATAACCTATCATTAACAAAAAATATTTGTTATAGTAATCCCCGTTCTCCAATTTTCTCCCTTCCTCTCCTGAAGGTGCTGACGTGTGCTGGGGTACATGAGTCAGCCAACACCATCAGCCAACACCCCCACCTCTATCTTCACCCCCTCCTCCCAGTGCAAGCAACGATTGAAACCAAAGTATGTGCATCAAAGTTAATAAGTAATTGGACTGAAACCAAAGTTATCACAAAACAAATACACCGTTGGCTGATTTGCTTGGTTTTGTGGCATAGCTATTAACGGGTCAGTCGAATACGCCTCTCAACATGAAAAGCGCTCAAGGTCAAAGTGAGGGCTTGGCAAGGCATGCCACCAGGGGGAACCAGGCACAGTGAGTGCGTGTGGAAACTACTGTGGACAATAGACCATCTCAAGCAGAGAATAACTCAGCCCTTCCCTTAAGGGTAATAATGGCTCATAAACAATGCAGTGTCTGAAGGTCGCTTCACTCTTGTGAATGCCAAATGTCATCGGGGACTGAGGCCAACCGAAAATTCGCAGGAGGGAACCTTGATACAAATGAAAGTACAACTGCCAGGTAGCTTGTCAGCTACACCTTGTGATGTACAGGCAGGAGGGTGAAATGTTCAATCAATGTACACTTGGATCCAATTTCTAACCACATCCTGGAATTCACAACACAATGCTGCCCTGGTAGACCTCAGACATTGGTTGATCCAATGGAGTTCCTAACGTCCACACCACAAAACTGCTAAACTTCTAAACACATTGGCTCTGTCATGCCAACAACAACGGCAACTTGCATTTATATAGCACCCCTCACGCAGGGTAGAGTCCCACAGAGTTGACAGTGGCGGAGCACGATGGCGAACTGGTGGGAGGTGACCTTAGGCACAGTTGAAGAGGAAGGTCTGAAGATGGGGAAAGAGGAGGCGAGGTGGAGGGATAGAGGAAGAGTGTTCCAAGAGTGTGCTAACAGACTACAGGTGGCTGAGGTGGTGAGTTCCCTTTGTGTATCTCAGACGTCAGGGATCAGGAGGGGAGTGTGGATGGTGCAAGGGGTGTTTGGGAAAGGGAGAGAGGAAATTAGTCACTTACCCACTCCTCCACATTGGGACCAACCTCTTCTTCAGCAAAAGGTTTATCCCAGAGGATGTTGGGTTTCCCGTATTTCCATATCTTGTGCCGAACTCTTTGGGCGAAGAAGCAGATAAGGCCAAAGGTCATGGAAACCAGGAATCCGCAAACTATTGCGACTGCCTGCGAGGAAAGAGAAGGGAAGCCATTAACCGCGAGCCATGAAACTTTACGTTTCGTCATGTTGAAACATCTCAATGCCCTCTATGGAAATTGCTGCCAAGTCCGGTGGTTGTTTTGGCAAATGCAGCAACCAGTTTCGGGCACTGTAAGGCCCCACAAACAGCCACAGCACACACAGTCACATCCACTCCACAATATATTCTGTGACATGCTTTGAGACGGCGCGATAAGGCGCTATATCAAATGCAAGGATTATTATTATTAGATAAATGACAACAATACCAACTTGCATTTATATAGCGCCCTTCACGTCTCGGAGCGCTTAAATGACCAATTTATCTGGATGATTCCAGAGACATGAGCCAACTGAGCCGAACTGGACTTAATAACATATAACATAATGGAATACACAGCATTATAAATCTTACCTCTTGGGGTTCCACCACGCAGTAGTGGTAGAGATACTGATTGATGAGAAGCCCACCTCCAACAGGTGTGTTGAACTGTGCGCAGAGCATTCGGATTTGGCTGTAGGAGGAGGTGCCGGCACTGGCCGTGGGATTCACTCCCATGATATACACAATGGAGGCGATCAGCTCCAGCCCAGCGAAGACCCCACTGAATATTATCATCAGCAAGTAAAACCTCCGGCTCCTCGAGGTGCTGGACTTGTTGATGCTCATGACAAGGAAGACCAGGGCGGCGATGAAGATGATGGCCGCCATGGCGATCATGAAGCCTTTGGCTGCTCTGGGGTCTGTGCCCAAACCAGAATAAATGCCTCCACCATAGTAGCCACTTCCTCCAATGCCTCCACTATAGTAGCTATTTCCTCCAATGCCTCCTCCTCCATAGTAATTCATCCCAAAACCACTTCCACTTCCTAAACCGCTTCCATAGTAGTTCATATCCCAAGCCAGGGTGGAAGCTACACAGGCAAAGATGCCGAGGCACAGGACTATGATGATTGTTTCTAAGATGCGGATGATCCCTGGTGCGGAACTCCATTTGTAAAAGTGCTGGGTAGGGATATCTTCAATGTAGTAAGATCCTGGTGGGGGCGAGTGTACATCGTACTCATACCTGTCCGAAGTGTGTCCATATCCTACGGGTTGGCTGAAATGACTGGGTGGGCTGTATTCAGGGGGGTTCTCCGAGGGTCTCCTGTCGTACATGGTACCAGCTAATCCCAATCTCAGGCAGCTTCAAAGAGACGGATCAGATCGCTAAAGAAATGACAAGGAAAGAAATTGATGCCACTTTCAAGTTAACTTCAGATCGTTTAAACCAAGAGAAACAATATTATTTTGTTTGGATGAGACTCTAAGCCTTCCGCCATAGTAGTCCCATCTGCCTGTTCAGGTGGACGTGAAAGATCCCACTATTTGAAAAGAGAATGGAGTTTCTCTCTCCTGGTGTCCTGGCCAACAAACCCCCCAATAAAAAATATTGGTCACTCTCTCCACGGCTGTTTGTGGGACACTGCTGTATACAATTGACTGCTGTGTTTCACCCACAAAATACAGTCACTGCACTTTACAGCATATCCTGTGAAGCACTCTTAATGATACAAGGATTATTTGCATGCTCTCTCCTCATAGAGGAGAGTGAATCGACGCTTTCCACAGGTTACGTGACTCAGTATAAAGATTTCACAAGCACTACATGCCCGTTCCTAAATTCCCAATTTGCAATATCCACTGCATTACGAGTTCTGTTTGACATGGTCTTGGCTTAGCTTTACACCTTCCCTCTTACACATTGCTATTTCTTCAGTCAATACTCTCCGCTCTTCACACTGAGGTCTACTGCTCATTCCTCACCTCCATCAATCCCTTCTCTCTCAGCCTTCAAATCCCACTCGATAAACTATCTCTTCGATCACGCCTTTAGTCAACATCCTGAAATTCCCTTAACTCCCCCCCCCCCCCCACTCCCCAGGAGGATGGTCACCAGTTGGTTGCTTGACACCCAAGTGCCGGGGGTTTGAGCCCTCGCGAGGTGGACTTTAAGACATTATGTCCGGAAATGATGACAACGGACAGGATTTCTTTTGAGAGGCAAGGTCCGACAGTCTGGATTGACCGTTCGCCGGGAAAGGTTAACTTGGAAAGGACATGGAGTTCACCTCAAAGAGAGGTTTGCGGTCGTTCTGAACTTTTAAGTTCGACAATTTGAAAAACGACAACAACCAAATAACAACAAATTACATTTGTACAGCGCCTTTCGCGTCAGGAGGACGACACAAGGTTGTTGCAGGGCTTTGTGGAGGGGCCCAAAAATATATATTTTTTTAAACTTGTCGAGAGATTCACACGTTGCAACACACATGCCTGAAGTACTCTCCCTACGGACACACACACACACAGACACACACACACACACACACACAGAGACAGATCTCTTCACATTTCAACCCGAGTTAATCTTCAGATGGAATCGCAGCAAAGTTTTGAGACGAATCCTCTTCCAGATGGACAGTGTTTCCCTGTTATTTTAATCGGATCCCCTTTCAACCCCGCCTGCCATCTGCCATTCCTCCAAAAACAGATCGATTTTGCTCGCAATTATTTCAAACAGAATCGACGCTCTCTGTCTCTCTCTCTCTCTCTCTCTCGCTTTCCCTTCCGCCAATTATTTCCCACATTCTGTCTCTCTCTCTCTCTCTCTTTCTCTCTCCGTCTCCCCTTAAAAAGCCCGCATCAAAAAAATGCAGCGTCAACCCACTTTGAAGTGTACCCTGCGAAGCGCTTTGAGACGTCTCAACGGCGTGATGAGGCGCTATCTCAAACCCAAAGATTATTATTATCCACAGACACCAGACCGGGTGTGTGTTTTTTTTAAAAAAAACACAATTTGCATTTAATTACCATGGCAACTTTTCCCCCCCTCCCAAAAAAAAAATTGGGAAAAAAATGATCATTTGAGACCAGGAGGAGGAAAAAAAAAGATAGGAATCTCTCGAGTTCCAAACAAACCTCTGTCACTGCCAAACATGTAACTTTTCAGATTTACCTTCGGGTTTTTTTGTTTAATTAAAAGAAAACATTTCTGAAGCAATAATTATTTCTGAAGCAATAATAAATAAGTAATAAATAAATAAATAAATAATAATAATACACAATAAAAGTTCTTACCTTCTTTCTCTCAGTTGAGTGATCAGCACAGTTTACCTGTGTTTTTTTTCCTCTCTCTCTCTCTGTCTCTGTCGGATCTTTCGTTGAATCTTTTCAATTAATTTATAACTCTTCTATTTTTTCTCTTTCTCTCTCTCTTTCCCTCTCTCTCTCTCTCTCTCTCTCCTCTCTCTCTCTCTCTCTCTCTCGTTCTTTCTGCAACTTTCAAAAGGGTTTCACAGGGAAATGTTTTTTTCTTTGAAAAATAATTGTCTTCCAAGTCGAGAGTTCTCGTTTCGGTTCAGAGAGAAAGAAAGAAAGAAAGAAAGAGAAACAGATGCAAACGAAAATGGCAGCTTGAGAATTAATCATTCACCCCCAAATAATAGGTGAAACTCTCCTGGAGAGAGGAAGGGGGGAGAGGAGTGAGAATGTTCAGCCTCTCAGCAAAAAAAAACTTCCCCAAATGCAAACTGTAGACGTTTGTCTTTTTTTTAAAAAAAGAAAAAAAAACACTCACAAAACAATCAAATGGCTCAAATGGAGATAAAGAAGAGTGAAACCGACTCGGACGACGTGTTTTTTGCGGAGTGTGACCCACTGGTCCACGCACTGAGTGTGAGACTTCGGAGCAACTCATCACTTTAATCCTCACACGAGCTCTGGGTTTAATCATTGACTGATCGTAAATATCACCAATAAATAAACGCACAGAATTCCGGGGACCCATCCAGGAGCGGTGTTATATATATATATCTCTCTCTCTCTATATATATATATACATATATTTATATTTATAATAGAAATCTCCGCTTTTTATGAGCCTTTTTCTGTTGGGGGTTCAGGATTCGGGTCAGTTTTTGCTGAACAGCGCACACAGTGATGTCTCTGCTTTGTGGAACTGTCAAAACAGGTGACGGACACTCACTCGCATTTGCTCATCTGTTGGGGACCCGGAGGGGCCGAGGGTTTGAGTGCAATTAGTGGCTTGGAATGTGTTGCCATATAAACCAGGTTTTTTTTTGATGTAGAAACGCTGCAAATGGGAAGTGAGGGGGAGTGGGTTTGTGTGAAGGAGGAGTTGCAAAGGGTCTGAAGGACCTTCTACGTCTGTGCGCTGTATCTCTCGTGTTTTTATAATAATCTTTGCCATTTGATATGGCGCCTTATCGCGTCGTTTTTTTTGGAAAGGAGTTATAACAATAGTCTTTGCATTCGATACAGCGCTTTTCACGTCTTCTCGACGTCCCAAAGCGCTTCACAGAACACACTGTAAAGTGAATTGACTGTATATTTGTGGGCGAACACGGCAGCCAATTGCGCACAGCAATGTCCCACAAACAGTCGTGGATTGAAAATGACCAATTTATTATTGTTTTTGGTTTTGGAGGGATTATTATTAGGCTCTGTGTGGAGTAAGGAAACTTGCCCAAGGTTTGGCCCTCTGCCTGGAATTGAACTCAGGTCTCTCACTTGCAAAGCGAGTGCTCTAACCACTGAACTACAGGACTCCACAATTATTACCCCCGGAAAGGAAAGCGATCTGCCAATCGACTCACAACCGGATTCCTACTTACTGCTGGGTAAACAGAGGGGTGCGGAGTAAGGAATCTTGCCCGGGAATCCTGCCCATGTCCTCTCGCTTACAATGCGAGTGCTCTAACCAATACACTACGGGACTTCTTATGAAATGGGGATAATTAATGCCCGCGGTCAAACTTGCGAGAATATTTCAGGGCCACGTGCGGCAAGCAAGCATTCATCAAGGATAGAGGTGTGTCGGGTCCTGTTGCAATAGTGAAGCTCTTCCATTTTTTACTGTGACAATAAACCAAAGTACAGAGCATAAGATACAAGAGGTGGAGCAGGACTATGTGTCAGGACCATCATTGGAACACCCACGATCCAATCACTGATCAATATCTGCCATTGATTAGGTTTAAAGCAGGTTGTGTTTAGAGTTAGGGTTAGAGTTAGCGTTAGGGTTATAATGGAGATAGGATTCATTTATTGTGGGTCGGCCGGGGGTCTGACACCTGCAGAAACCCATCACCGTTGCTTAAGAGTATCCAAACCAAACTGAGAATTCCATGCATCCCCCACACGCGTGGAAATTCCAGAGATAGATTATTGGGATGGAATCCGCTCTCTCTCTCGCTCTCTCTCTCTCCCTGGAGGGACGCATTCACATTCCAAATCCTGCTTACCTAATTCTGAAAAGTATTGGGTAAGGTTGGCAAGGGATAGAGTTAAGTGGATGTCTCCACTTAACAAAAGAATATTAGACATGTTATTTTATCTCCAAAAAACAGCTTTATTTGTGATTACACACAATGCCCAATAGACTGAACTTCGTCGAACCCTTTGTATGTCAGTAAACACATGACCTGATTTGATTATTTTCTTAACACTTCCTCTTCCGCCAATTCCTCCCTTTGCCTTCCACAGTTCCGTGGGCCATCGGAGGAGCTGGACACGATCACCAGAGTCACTCTCTCAGTAATTGTCCTGTGAGCTGGAAGCTAAATCGTACTCCTGGATTCGTTGTTTAATGTACGAGAGCTTGTTCTTCAGATAGGTGCACCTCTCCTTCTTCTCCAGGAACGATGGGTCCTGTTTAACAAAATCTGCTGTTACTACAAAAAGAGGGAGATTTGAAAGAACCATTTTTACACAGCGGAGAGTCTAATATGGGGCATTTCTGATCAGTTTTCTTTAATACGATTGCAGCAGAGTAGAGTTCCCTTTGCCATTCTGTGTTCCTAGGAATGACAAAGGAGTCGGTGTGACATATTCTGGGATCGGAAATAAATCGCCTTTTGCCTGACGTGAATTTCTTATTCAGGAATCACATTAAGAAATGGTGCATTTAAGTTGTAAGGAACCAAACTTACATTTTTTTTCCTCTTGTACTGTTCCAGCACATTTGTGATTCTTCTGTGTTCCTGGGAAGGAGAGAAAGGAGACGTTTGTTTGCTTTGCGGAGTCACTCCATGTAATAGTGCTGGACTGAATCACTCCAACGCCTCCTCGAGGGGAGGTCAGTGGGATCTCCTTGGGACTGAACTGGCTTAATGGGTAGGGTGGTCCTAGTTGCAATAGCAGCGGGAAAGCTTCCCAGACAGCTCTATCAATGGCAAGCCATGTGGTTTCAGCTGGTTAGACTCCAGCGGTTACCCTAACCCACACTCTGGGGTCCCCAAGCCTGGAATTCTCAGCTTGGTTTGGATACACTTAAGCAACGGTGATGGGTTTCCGCACGTGTCAGACACCCGGTTGACCAAAGAAAATAAATAACATCTGCGTCCAAATCTCCACACGTGCAGTTTCCCATCAGATAATCACTGGCCAGCAACCAGATACAGGAAATCAAACCTATTAATTTGCTCGGAAGGCTGACTGCAGTGCCACCAACATCAACTCAGAGCTAACATCAGCTCAGGGCTGAGATCAGCTCAGAGGTAACAGCTCAGGAGCTGCCTGGTCTATATGACTCAATACTGTTTGATGAAAACAACACAAGTTGTTTGTTTGGCTTCGTTACTGGGCAGGGCTTTATCAACTGAGTCATTGAGGGATACGTTCACCCAACTTCAGGAAAAATTTTTATGACTGACTTTATGATTTTTCTCTGAATTATTAGTGTCGGGATATACACGGAGAAGAGAGAGAGAGCGATGTGCACACAAACACATGCAGGTTATACAGAATTACGCAGACCGTGCAGCATCAAAACAGGCCGTTTGCCCAAATGAATCGGTTTCTAATCCACATGAGCCTCCATCCCTCCTAATCACCTCTCAAAACCCTCTAATTCCATGGTCACTCATGTGTGCAATATATAGAGGTGCAAAGTACACACAGACACCTGCATAAACAGAGAGAGAGAGAAAGAGAGAAAGGGAGAGCGAGCAGAAAATGAAGAAAGAGTGAGTGATGTGTGATTGTACCCAAGTCCTAAAGGTGAAGGGATAACACTCTGTACAGTCTCATACTGACTGACTGACCGACCAACCGACCTGTTGACTTTCTGTGTAACGGGGAAGAGCTTCGATCATTTGCTCCAACTTTTGGAACTTTCTCAGTGTCAGGTGGATCTCAATGTGAAGCTCCTTGTACTCCGCATATTGATCATTAAACACAGCCTTGTACTGCTCCCTCTCATCCATGCTCTCAATCTTCGGATACTTGCTGCAAGATGAGAGAAAGAGAGATTATTATGGCGGTGCTCTTCAGAGTTAGTCTTGTGAAGTCCTCCTGTCATGAAAGGCACAATAACAAATGTGAGGATTCTTGTCATTAATGTAGTCACTGCCCCTGAAGCACTTGTGGGAAGTCNTTTTTTTATAGACCTTTTGATATTAAAGATACTTTATCAAAGCAAAGATTACTATTGTTATTTAACACTCAGCTTGGTAAATCTGCCACAGAAAGATCTTATATTAATAAAAATCTTTGCATTTTATATAGCGTCTCTCACATCGTTGAGACGTTTCAAAACGCTTGACAGAATATACTGTAAAGTGGATTGACTGTGTATTTTGTGGGTGAAACGCAGCAGCCAATTGTGCTCAGTGATGTCCCATAAACGGCCATGGAGCGATTGGGATTGTTGGCCAGGACACCAATCTTGTCCCACTTAAGTGTTTCTAAGGAGTGGTGGTGTGTTTTGTTGGTGATGTAGGGTTGAGCAACAAGTTTTATGAGCTATTCTCCTGCCAGCTCCACATTACTCCCCATCATAAAGAGACCCATTGTAAAACACCTGTTGTCACCTCACTGTTATCTCATGGAAATTTAGAGATGCACGTGACCAATACTGATTGTTTTTCAACTCACTAACCTCGGGTATGACACCACTTGGCACAGCGTGACCTCAGTTATTGAATAACAAAGACACCAACAGAAAAACGCCCTTCAGAGGCTTGGCGACCATCAGAGCACTCTGTATTACTGCCAGGGTCTTCGTTCCATTCTCAACCTGGATTTCTAATGGAAGGTCTTTCACTGCACAATGAAACACCTTCATGAAAAGGTTCTGGAAGAACCACATTTTACTCTCTGTGGCCCATTAAACCTTACTCTGCACAAGGCATCGCCATCACACCGGCTTCTACGCTCGTCATAGAAAGGCCTGTGAGTGTGTGAAATGCTCTGGGCACCTCTGAAGTCCACAAATGCAGAACCAATCGAGATATTCAAGTGACAGAGGGATTAAGTTCTTGCGAAGAAAGAGCAGTAAGGATAGGAAAAACAACGACAACAACTTGCATTTATATAGTGCCCTTCACGCGGGGTGGCATCCCAGAGCGCTCAAGGGTTATGGGGAGGGGGGCAGTGAAATAATACGTTGTGCAGTTATTATTGGGGAAAAAAAATTCTCCTTACGTGACGTAGTCTGGTACGATGTGTGGCCTCGGGATGTGCCCGGCAGGAATGGCTGAGTTCAGAGTGCCAGCTGCGTCTTCCCTGAACTTGCCCACTCGCCCTCTCAGGGGCCGTGTGCGGGAAACACAATCCCGGGAAGCGAAGGGTCCTGGGGAAAATAGCGTCTTCCGACCTCCTGCAGCGGACGCGCTCTTAAAAGGAATAACCGAACACAGCAAAGGCAGAGGTTAGAATTGAATGTTGCCCAGAGGATAATCGGGACACAAAATACCCTTCCAATCACCGTGGTGTAAACAGGAGCCGCAGTAGATTAAGATGTTTTTAAAATGAAATGAGACAACACGTCCAGTGGAGAACTCTAAAATAATAACAGTAATAATCCTTGCATTTTATACAGCGCCTTATCACGTCGTTGAGACGTCTCAAAGCACTTTACCTTTGCAATAGACTGTAAATGTGGACTAATTGACTGTATTTTGTGGGCGAAACCGCTGTGCTGTCTATTCGGTGAAGCGCTTTGAAAGGTTTCAGCGACGCGACGTGATAAGGCCCGACATCAAATGCAAGGATTATTACAGGATTAATATTATTACCTTGTTCTTGAGCGCTTCCCTCTCCCTCCTGGTTTGCTCGTGACGCCACACCTTCAGGGACACGAGTGCGCTGACCAGGTGCAGGACCATGTTGACAAAGAGGAAGGCGATAGCCCCACTCTGCCCGCCCTCCACACGGCACAGCTGGCTGTACAGCGGGTTATTGGCCATGATGGTATAGCAGATGCCTCCTAGATTGAGGTCGTTGATGTAGACGATGCCGGCCGCCAGATAGAGAACAAAGAGGCAGAGGTTTATGGCGAACTCGGTGATAGACCACCAATTGGAGTCCAGGAGAATGGTCCTGTAATACAAAGTCAGACCAATGACCAGGAGACCCACAGTTACCATCCAGGCTAGGCCGACCATCACCAGCACAAATGTGGTCTTTGGTCCATCGTAGTAATTGCCATAACTGTTTCCAAACCCATAGCTTATAAAACCACCACCATGTAGATTGCGCCATTGACTGTCTTTCTGTATATATGCCAAAATACAAGCAAACACCATTGCACCAAAGAGAATCTGAATGACTCCGAGTACCCGGAGCAAACCTGCCCAAGACTTCATATAGGAATGTTTCAGATTATAAACATGGATCATCTCCTGATAGCTCTGCCTTGACAGAGGCTCCTTCTCCACGGTTCCGCTAGATGTCGATGCTTCATTCTCTTTTGGGGAATTAAATTTCCCTGAAATGAAAAGATTGGAGTCCTTCTCTTTGGTCGCCGACTTTGACTCATCCTCAGACTTCTGGAGGTCTAGGCTTTTCGGCTTGAGACGACTCAAGAGGGGAGACACTGGCGGGGAGCATTCCCCTGCCCCCAAGGTAAAGTCAAAGTCAAACAAAGGCTCACGGTCTCTCACTTGCCGGTGAAAGAAGTTTTTCCAGGAGTCTGGGATGAAACGTCTCTGAGGTTTTATGTGGGGAATGGTCAGCTCCTTCTCATCCTCAATGTTGATCAACCCACTTCCTACCGGGGACTGGAGAGGCAAAGGAGGTGGGATCGAAGTTGAGCTGAACGTTTCACCCTCCTCGCTGCTGGTGCTGGCTGTGTTTGACATTAGTTGCATGGGCAGGATCTGCCTTTGAACATGTGAATGATCCACCGTTTGGTTCTCTGTCACATACCTCGAGCTCACGGTAAATGCAACCGACGGCATCTTTAGTCAGTACCTCACCTCAGTTATTGAAGCCAAAGGAACGATAGGAAGCGACCAATCTCTCTGAAATTGGATGACACGTAAAAACGATCCACTGAAGTAGGCACAGTCCTATTCAGCAAAGAAATTACCTTTCACGATGTTTCATTGTATCGACATTGGCCCGAGGAATCGGTAACTCAACATCTCATGTCAGTGAATTCTCCTTCCTTCATCGCCCGGGTTTGGCACAAGAGTTGGAGTTGTCCTGATGTCTCAGTGTCAAGCCATGAAGTTGGCGTTCTCTGCTTCGTGGGGTCTGTGTGTGGCTCACTTGTGATTCCTCCTTATTTCAGGTTTATGTAGTGCCCGGAAGTAACTTCAAAATTCAATGGGAGTGGTACAGTTCCATTGGTGATGAGACAGTTGACTTAGGTCTGTTGGCAAGAAGTCCTTTTGTGTCAGCAAAAATTAATAATAATAATAATCCTTGCATTTCATACAGCCCCTTTCATATCCTGAGGAAGTCTCAAAGCACTTCACAGGATATACTCTAACTGACTGCGTATTTTGTGGGCAAATCTCGGCACCCAGTTGCACGCAGCAGGGTCCCGCAAACCGGTATGGAGTGAAAACAGGCAGTATTTGACAGTTTTTACTCCGTTTTAAGAAAGTTTCCTTACCTTGGCCACGGCCTGTGCTTATGCTGTTCTGCAGCCAGCCAGCAAGGGGTGCTGACGCTTGGTCTAAAGGGACTGAGATTTCCTTGGCTCCCGTCAGGTTAGTAATATAACAGTTTCTTGTTTATCCACAATGTTTTAGCTATTATTAGTATTTTTGGGGGAAGGTTTAAGTGTCAAGGCAAGAACAATGAGATGATTCTTCAGAGGAACAGACCCTCGGTTCAGTCTCTAAGCCCAGATCTGTTGCGATGTCCTGTTTGCCAAGAAAGAGTGTGCATTCAGTATTACCGCTGTCGCTTCCAGAACCCTGGCGTCAAGGGTCACTGCAGTTTAATCAGACTGGTAGTGACTGGCCTCATTCCTGAAAACTCAGCACATAGCGCAAGCCCCCGATGGATGCCAGGGCATCCCAGAAGGGATTGGAAAAGAGGCCAAGTTGTCGCTAGCAACCGATTACACAAGGTTAATAGCAAAGAGTGGATGGACATGTCCCAGGGCAGGGCTGGCACTGGGCAGGGTTGGCATCAGTTTAAATGTTGCTTTAATTATCATTATTAATAATAATGATAATAATCCTTGCATTTGATAGAGCGCCCTATCACGGGTAAAACACGGCAGCCAATTGCGCACAGCAGCGTCCCCACAAACAGTCGCGGATTGAGTGACCAAATTATTATTATTATTTTTCTGGGTGGGAGTAGGGGGGATGGGGTGGTGTGGGGGTGGGGGTGGGCGATGAAATCGGCCAAATAGACCTCCCTACGAGTTTTATAACGGAGGAGCGCAGATCTGTCAGAATCGAGGTTTTAAGGCGAATTAGGAGGAATTAAAGGGTTCGAAACAGTCAGATTCTGAACTCCAAAACACAAACGAATAGGTTGTGGCACTTGTCAAGGACAACCCTCACACCAACCCAGTGCAGAACCCTTTTTTTTTAAAAAAAATATTAAGAGAGAGAATAAGAAAAGACGCAATAGCCACGCAAGTTTAAAAAACCTTTTCATTCAACAAACTTTAGCAACTTACTGGTTGGGGCTGAGCCTGGGTTGAAGGAGGCTTTGATTCCCAGAGTGTAGCAGGTTGTTCCTGGTGGAGTTTTTTTCCCCACATTTCTCTCCCGATTTGCACCGTTTTTTCCCCACTTTCCCCGTCCTTCTCTGTCGCACTAACATGGCGTAAAAGGGGTTAGAAATTGGACTGAAAGTCATAGTCACATGAGGGTGAAACTGCAATGAAGAGGTTGGGTTTAGATATTAACTAGAGAGGGACAGACACACACACACACACATACAATAAATCAATCAGACCTCAAGTTAGAGAAAGGGAGTTTAAAGCTATGGAAATATATATTTTTTTGGGGGGTGGGGAGCAGATGAGAGCAAAGAGGTTGTAAATCACTTTAGGGGAAATTATCAGTTTTTAATCAACATCAGTGTTGCCAGAGGTTATCGTCTTGTAAGTAATTAATCTAAATTACTAGGGCGCAATCTGATAGGAATGAGGCAAACTTCAGAAGCTCCCACATCCTCTTTCGCGGAGTCCTCGTGTCAAATGGAAAACTAAATTAATAATAATCGCTGCATTTGATTTTTTTTTGTATAGCGCCACATCACATCATTTGAGACATCTCAAAGAGCCTCACGGGGTACACTGTAAAGTGGAGTGATTGTGCATTTTGTGAGTGAAACATCCAACTCCCAGTGATCTATTGCACTTATCCGGGTTAAAATTCCATTATCTAAACGAGATTGAATTCGCTATTTTGCAGGAACAGAGCCTGACAACTCTAATGTGAAGTGCAGTGAAATCCGGGTTTAGATACAGTTCACAACTTTCCCGCTCCCTGCGACAATGTGGTCAATAAAAGATGACCTCCTATGGGGATGGAAGTAACTCTTGCTCAGGGTCATTATGCTCCAAAACCTGACTCACATTCCCTATTATTTCCCTTTGCTTGATCTGCCCAGTTGGTTTCATTGTTTGGTGAGTATTGTCAGAACCAAAGTCCACCAGCAATATAATTCCACCACCCCTTTGTGGACAGTGCTGCTGACAAATAGCCTCCCTGACCAACACCACAGTGTTTCCCAACCAACACCAAAGGTTCCATGGCCCACAGGCTAACATAAGGAAGGATGGAGTGCCAAAACTAATTTGGTCCATTGTAACCACTGTCTCTCATGGTCGACTCCACTCCCACCCACCCAACCACCCCCCCCACCCCACCCCTGCCCCCAGTAAAGTAAACTCTCATCTGCCTATTCAGGTGGACGTTTAAGGTCTCATGACACTATCCGAAAAAAGAAGTACGTTTCTCCTGGTGTCTTGGCCAACAATCCCCCAGGTTATTTGGTCATTCACTTTGCGGAACTTTAGTGGGCAAAATGGTTTCCTCATTTGTAATGATAGGTCAAACAATCTTCATTCAGTGTTTCGCCCGGTCTCTCTTTGATACCCTCTATCACTTTCCAATATTTCTCTCTCTCAGAACATTCACCCTAGACTGCCTAAGCCTTGTGGTAACTGAAGGACCATTATAGGAACAGGAGTGGGCCATTCAGCCCCTCAAGCCTGTTTCACCTTTCTATAAGATCATGGCTGATCTGTACCTCAACTCCAATTACCTGCCCTTGCTCCATATCCCTTGATACCCTAACTATCTATCTATCTATCTATCTATCTATCTATCTATCTATCTATCTATCTATCTATCTATCTATCTATCTATCTATCTATCTATCTATCTATCTATCTATCTATCTATCTATCTATCTATCTATCTATCTGTCTGTCTGTCTGTCTGTCTGTCTGTCTGTCTGTCTGTCTGTCTGTCTGTCTGTCAATCAGTCAATCAATCAGTCAATCAGTCAATCAGTCAATCAGTCAATCAGTCAATCAGTCAATCAGTCAATCAATCAATCAATCAATCAATCAATCAATCATTGAGGCTGCCAATGTTTCTCTTTGTTGAGGTAACCATTTGTCAGCATTACATTACAATGAGTTGTTGCTTTGTGGTGTGACATCTCTGGAAGCGAGAGAGAGTGTTTGCGACAGCTCACATTGTGTACGTCAGGATGTGAGCGAGGATTAATATCAGTGATGATTAGATTCCTGTTTAATGGCTCTTTAAACACTCTCCTCTGCTCAGTTCAGGAATAGGCTGCAGGTTAATGCATTGGGAGCACTTTGTGAATCAATCTTAAGTAGATTTGGGGAACCTGACATTTTCCTTTTTATGACTCTAATTTATCACCAGTCCGGCCCTATTATCTCCAATCTCTTCAGATCTATTAAAGAAGCAGGAATCTTTCTGGGACAATTGCTTCCATTTGTGGGATCAGATGTGGAGGTGGTGGGGTCCATCATTGCTATATCCTTCTTGGTGGGTGGGGGGGGAGTTAAGCAGGGTCTCCTTGGAGCTCAACTGGCTCCAAGGTGACATGCTTGGCAACAGAATGTAGGAATCGAGCCAACCCTCTGTGACAATCTCTAGTCCGGTTCCTGAGCCAGACGGGTTCGCAGTATTCCAGGGCACTGCTGATGACGGCACAGCCCGGCCTGGCTTATTGGCAGGACTAGGAAGGCCAGAAAAAACATCACACTGTATATGTCTCAATGACATGATAAGGCGCTACATCAAATGAAAGGATTATTATTATTATTCATTTCCCCTGACCTTGAGGTATTTGAGTGAAAACTCCAGGATATTAATGTGACACAACCATGGACTAACCCAACCATGACCAGTTTTACTAATGAGCTTTCCCTCGTTCCAGTTGATCATAATATCCTATTTCTTGTCACCTTCAAATTTGTCTATAACCACAAATCCGTGTTCCTTTTTTTTAAGGGATAAAATGAAAGAGGCCAACATTTCTTAAGAAATCCGAGTGGGGTTTCCTTTTAAGGAACTGGAAGTTTGTCAACTCTTCCTGGGAAATTCAATGTGTTGCAATGTGCCATGTAATGCATTCTTCAGTCCATTCAATGCTGTAGAAATTCAATAATTAAGCATTTTCCTATTAATAATAATAATAATTCTTGCATTTGATATAGCATCATTGAGAGGTCTCAAAGCGCTTCACAGAATAAGTGCATTTGTGTATATGTATGGACTGTGTATTTTGTGGGTGAAACGCAGCAGCCAATTTGCCAAGCCGTGGATTAAGTGACCATATTATTTATCTATTTATTTTTTGTAGGGGAATATTATCCCCGGAATGCGATCCTCCGATCCTCCTAACAACCGGGTTCCTACTTGAGAAATCTTTTAAGAATATTGTTAAGAAATCGGTTAGGAAATAGCACAAAAGGGACCCTGTTATGCTTAATTTATCCACTGTAGTTCTTTTTGCATTGAAAGCATTTGGGTGTGTGTCCAGTGGCGTGTGGGCGGATGGGTTTTCTCAGAATAACCAGTGATAGAGTTACCACCAGGGGACAGCACGTACCAGCTAATGTCTGCGAGCACCTGCCAGCAAAGAGAGCGAGAGAGAGACGCAGAAATGAGCTGGATATTTTTATCCCTGGTTACAAGCTCCAGGAGTCACCTTGACAAAATACTGTAATGATTGAATGTGCTGAGGTGTCAGCTCTGCAGGCTCTGAGGAGGGACCGGAGCAGTGAAGCTAATCAATCGCACAGTCAAGCTGCAGAGATAAGAGGGCAGATAGCAAGGCCAAAGTGATGGAGAGCAGGAAATTGTCTATGTGTGTGACGGAGAAAGAAAGGGAGATGAAACAGAAGGATAAAGAACAAAGATTGAGACAGGAAGGTATTCGAAAGAGAATTAAAACAAGGATAACCATTTTGTTCAGGTGGAGAAAAGAGAACATTTCACGGGAAAGAGAGTGCGGGGATGGATGGATAGTAATAATAATAATAATAATAATAATCCTTGCATTTGATATAGCGCTTTTCACGTCAGGAGGACGTCCCAAAGCGCTTCACAGAACACACTGTAAAGTGAATTGACTGTATATTTGTGGGCGAACGCGGCAGCCAATTGCGCACAGCAATGTCCCACAAACAGTCGTAGATTGAAAATGACCAATTTATTATTGTTTTGGGTTTTGGAGGGATTATTATTAGGCGTGTGGAGTAAGGAAACTTGCCCAAGGTTTCGCCCTGCCTGGAATTGAACTCAGGTCTCTCGCTTGCAAAGCGAGTGCTCTAACCACTGAGCTACAGGAGAGAGGAAGAAAGGTTACATAGAGAGGAGAGAAGAGGGCGGAATGGGAATCGAGCAAGAGAAAAAAGGAGAGAAGGGAATATAGTGAGAAAGGGACACGAGACAACAGAGAGAGGGGGGAAAAAAACCAGGGACAGAGAGATGAGAGGAGAGAGGGTATAGGAAGAAACGAGGCGAAAAGACTTCAAGTGTTTAGTTAAAAGAGGGAAAAAAAGGCTGAAAGAAAAACTAGAATTTTTAAAAATAAAAATGAGAAACAAAGCAACATATCAGCAAAAGAGAGGGAGGTACATAGGTATAGGATTAGGCCATTCAGCCCCTCAAGTCTGTTTCTCTATTCTATTAGATTGTGGCTGATCTGTACCTCAATTCCAATTAAGGTGGAAGCCATGGGCTGTGAACTGATGGGAGGTGGGCGGGTGCGGGTTGGAGGTGGGGGGGTTAGGGGGTAATGCCCCATCACTCTCCGCTCAGTGGGGTCACAATGGCAGGGAGAGGGCACAAGAGTTCCCAATGCTCTCTGTCTGACATTCTCCAGGTTCTGGTTGATTACATGTTAAGGCAATGGCTTTACGGGCATGGAAATCGCGAGCTTCTGGTTGCCAGGCTGGGATCGTCAACGCATTGGCCGACAGGTAATGGAGGACGCAGTGATGTGCAATGTGGTTGGCATTGCACTGCGCTGACAGAGTTAACCCCTGCTCCAGTCTGCAGATGTGGGAGAATTGAGTGGAGTTCACTGTGCTGATGAGGAAGATGATAGGGGTAAATTGGCATGAAATTGATTCTTTTGCTTTCCATTCTGGAGTACTAGCTGAGCCGAGTGCTATGTTCTATTGATTTCCTCGTATTCATTTTCCTTTCTCTTCAACTCAGCCATCGAAATAGTCCATCACACCCTGACTGGCTCAATAGAAAATGGTAATGCTCATCACATCTCCCCCTCGCCCGGTTAATTCGTCAGGGGTGAAAAAAGGAGAGGAGCCAGGAAGTGAGAGAA